GGGGGGGATTTCTGCTCCGTTAATCATACCTGCTGGTGATCTCGAAGGTGGTGCCGAAAATCTGGGCACGCACGAATTCCGCCATTTTGAATTAAGAATGGACGGCGCACCAAGTTCAGTTCAGTAGTGAGGGGTTGTGTCTAGACGGAGTTTGTTGGGCGGTGGATGTCGTCGGAGATGAAGAGAGATGAAGGGAGAGGACGATGAGAGAACGGAGAGGGAGGGAGGGAGAGGAGGACTGATGGAGAGAGGAAGTGAAGTTTTGAGGAGAGAAAAAAAAACTAAAATAAGAGAAGAATGACCAAATGCAACCAGCGGGCCACGGGGAATGATATCTAAGTTGGTGGTGCGCCAAAGTTGGAGAGGGGGGAAGAAAGAGAACAAGAACAAGAGATGGTGAGTAGCGAGGCAGCAAAAGCCGTAGGTGGCGCCCCAGCAGGGTGTGTGGGGAAAAGACCTTGACTTTCTCTGCTTCTCTCTGTGCTCCTAGTCCGTTGAGGTCGATTTTCCGGAACGCCCAAAACAAGACCGATGACGTCCGCGACGGAAGCAGGGTATGGCAGAGAGTCCAGCGACTACTACTAACTATTGCTGCTCAACGATCAATAAGCAGACAGCCAGCAAGCAATACTCAGCAACAGCAACAGCAACAGCAACAGCCCTGCCAGATTTCTTACCACACCCTGATCTAGAATTTATTAACCGGATGTGGCTCCCACACTATTCTCCCTCTTCCCCCTCCAGATGATGCATCCCTCCCACTACGCTTACCTAACCATCCACATGGGATAATCTCTCCCCCAAGGGACTCTTGCTTTCATGCGTGGTACCTGAAAAGTCCAGTCGATGACTTCAGCTCAGGTATGATCTTTTTCCTACGGTACATTCAGATTGCAACAATGGTTTCTATACTACTTACCCCCACACTCCCAACTAACTGCGCCGACGAGGATGAGAATGAGAACGAGAACGGTACACCGAGTTCCAACTTTGAGTCTTGAGTTTCTTTGCTTTTGCTTTTGCTTTTGCTTTTTCTTTTTCTTTTTCTTTTTCTTTTTTAGATCACAAAATTGAGGTTATGGCGGTACCCAATCAATCTATCGGGCTATGATGGAGGAGGAACGAGGCATCATTCTCTCAGATATGGCCAGCCCGCCCAGCCCGCCCAGCCCACGTCCAACAAGCATGATGGCTCTCCCGGCTACTACGTAATAATTCTCCCTTTGCTGAACGATGTCATCATACCTCGGTGGGTCTGAGGGTCGCCGATTCGCCGTTCCAATCACTTCCATTGCCTTCGCGCGTCAAATCCAACCCGCTCCATTTTTTTTCCCTCAGTCCGGTCGAGTCCAGTCCAGTCGGAGGTCCAGTCCAGTCTCTGCCATCTCTCTCAAGAACTATACTCCGAGCCGCACGACTTGGCCTCTTCTCTCAATGAGAAAACGGTCTTAGATCCTTTCTATCCATATCTTTATCTATATCTATATCACATCTACTACGAGTTTCCTCATTGACTGGGGCGTCCCCCCTTCCTCTCCCCCTTCCCCAGAATCTATTAACCATCTAGACCCTCATGTTCTCGACTCCACCGGAACTTCTTCCGGTAGGTCGAGACTCGAGACACACCATGTCGCGGTTGTCGGTAAAGACCGCCCATCCCTCGTTAGGTCAAAGCGCTGAAGTGCTTAAAGAGGGCCACGTTCGTTTGGAACAGTCTTCCTGGTTTACCCGAGACTCGGTTGATTTTACGTTCTCCAGGAGCTGATCCCTATAATGATACCTTAGCTTATCTAGCCTGCCGACACTTTTCTGTCCAGACTCGCAGTCCATCGTTCGTGCCACGATCCAGGTTCACGTTACATAGTAGAGCGTGTCCGATCCGCCTGGGTACGACATACCTGTCTAGGCTTGCGGTTGATTGTATGTAATTTTACTGCTCCAGGAACCTAAATCGGCAATCAATCGGCCTGGAACATTCATCGAAAATGAGCTTCGATGGCTGCTGCTCGAGTCTGATCAGACGACTGAAGATAGAGGACGACTGTGGCCAGAAATATGCTTGTCGTAAGGCTCCGCGGTCCTTGTTGCCAAGTACTTTGACCTTGCTACACAAAGACAAAGAGTTAAAGTTCTGGGTGTATTGTACAGTACATACTCATCAGAAATGGCACTCAAGGTAGCTGAGATATATATAAAGAGCAACTCAGGGTGACCATTAAGAAGTGGAGCACATCTAATGCGTGGGAAAGAACAATAAAGTAAATAACAAGCCAAGACTCCCTGTCAATAGGTGCCCAGTAAGCCTCTGGAACTCAGACCCGATCGCGCTCCGCGCTTGTCTTTATATAGAGCTGAGTGACGGCAAAACTTTCGACCCTGAACTCATGCGCTTTGCCTGGAATAATAGGTCTATCAGATGTGGCACATGCGGTCTTGGAAACAGTATGCGCAACAGCAGAATGATTCTTAAGGAGCACGCTATTCTGGAGATGGGGGCAATCGCCGGAGTCATTAATCCCAGAGAGCTGATATCCCTACCTTAGCTACTGCTAGTGTGACCATGCCTCAGCCCCTGATGAAGATCCCAACACATCATCACCATGATAGAGGGCTAAAGGATAAGCTGACCATGGGACCTCTTCTGTGGCTTTGTGTCCCGTACGTGTCAATGTGCAGTTCGGAATGAATAATGCGACGTGAGGCCAGGAATTACTCCGTCTAGGCGGGCTGGGAAGGAGAGAATGGCTTCGTATGCGAGCAGAGTCTGCTTACCGACGGCCACCCTTAATACACCATGGCATTTCATGAAGGTAGGAAACAGATACCAGGAATCCACTTTCGATATGATCATTCAAGCTCAGCTGCACATGTACCTGATGCTGCAGACTCTATGGAGCCAGAGTTGACAGTAGGGTGATCCATCGGGAGCATTTCCGTCCCAGTCCAAGTAAGGCTGCCTGGTAAGGTAACTAAGTAGAAGGGAGGAGAGGACAAATCAAAGCGTCCAGCTTGGCAGTCATTATCTTTCATTCGAACCCTTTGTCGTTGGCCCATGTCTGGTCATCTGGTCCCCGATCGAACTACTCTACTAAGTTACTAAGAAGTAAGTAGTTTAGATATTGGTTAACTTGGACTAGTCTCATAGCCTGTAGAGTGGGCGATCCACGTTTTCACCAAAGAATACCCACTCGTCGCCCCTACGATCGAGCGAGTGTATGTAATCTTTTCCCTTTCCCTTTCCTTTTCCCTCGGTCTCCTGCCATTCTCCACTTCCACCTGTCGACCTTAACAGACTTTTGAACTGAGTATGACGATTGGGAATATCCACTCTCTCATTTCATTCCACCTCCTACATGCGATCTGACCTGACTTGACCTTACTACACTACTTACTGTTCACCAACTAACAAACTTAACCTGCTTCCCTCTGAAACACCCACGAGCTGTCATTTCTTTCTCTCACACACTACCCTAACCCTTTCCACATCTCTTAACCATTAATCATGAACCATTAATAGATCAATCAATCTACACATCTGACTTGCTCCCCCCCCTCCCCCCTCCCAACCCCGATCGACCATTTGCCGACCGACCAGAAAGATCCTCGTTGCTTACATTATCTCTCACTCACGATCCGCGCTTCCATCCACTTTTCCCACATCAACTCCCGATCGACCTTGACTAGACTGCCCTTTTTTAGCGTCAGGTCGTCATTCTCGTTCGCTTTGCTGCTCCGCAGTTGGATCCTGACCCCCCTCACTCACCCCAGCTTTTCCTCTCAGCTCAGACGAGTCCGACCACGCCAACGATCCTGCACTTCATCCAACCGTCCTGTTCCAACACGCACCTCCCTGGTTTCCTTCCCCCTCCTCCCTTCTCTTCCCCTCTCTCGATCATCTGCATCACGATCCCATCGCCTCTGTTCCCGGAAACCTGCAGTCGTCGCTCAGACCCTCTCGCTGTCTCAAACCCGAACCTGTCCGCTGTGGCTTTGCCTTTGACCATTCCGCGCGCAAGCCTCGATCCCTAATCGGGCGTCCTCGTCGATCGCAAACCTACCACCCTTTTTTATTATCGCACCGAGACTTTCCCCCATTGTCTCTCGATCGCGCCAATTTCCCTCTCCTCCCTCGATTCGCCCGGTCTAAGACCTTGATCGACTGGCTGTTCGAGAATCACATTGTTTCGGGTTTCAGGTGTCAGCGGTCTGATAGGTGGATGCCGCGCCCTTCCGCAGGCAGCTAATGGGCTAGTTCTCCGCTGTCTGGGAGTGATACGAGAAAATGGGTTCGTGTATGAGCTCCGAGGCGACCGGCGATGTCGAGCAGAAGCGGAAGAGCCAGGCTATCGATCGCAAAATAGAGGAGGATTCGAGGCGACTACGGCGAGAATGCAAGATCCTACTACTCGGTCAGTTGCGCGTTTCTTGCTCGGAGAGTAGCATGGCCCTTGAGACGCTTGAGGTGTGGCTAACAGGATGTGTCTTGCCTTAGGCTCCGGAGAAAGCGGGAAGTCGACAATTGTTAAACAGATGAAGATCATCCATCAGAATGGCTACACGGTCGAAGAGTTGTCGTTATACCGTCTGACAGTCTACAAAAATCTCCTTGATTGCGCCAAATCGCTCATCGCCGCTTACCACCAATTCTCTCTTGAGCCTTCGAGTCAAAAGGTCCGCGACTATATCCAGTACATTTACGATTATAATATCAACCCTGATCCCAATGTGCCGCTCGACAGCAAGCTAGGGGATGCGATCACCTACCTCTGGAACGACCCGTGTACGTCGACGGTATTAGAACACCAGAACGAATTTTACTTGATGGATTCCGCACCATAGTAAGACTGTCTACGCTTTTCACACTCGCGGCACGGATGCTGATGCAGAGGGACTAGTTTTTTCGAGGAAGCCAAACGAATAGCCGCTCCTGAATACATTCCCAGTGTGAATGATGTGCTTCGCGCGCGAACGAAAACCACCGGTATCTACGAGACTCGATTCACAATGGGTCAACTAAGCATACAGTATGTGACTCTTTTGTGTCTGACATGCGAATTCTATAATCATCTTCCAGTATGCTTACGTGATATTTAGCATGTTCGATGTAGGCGGCCAGCGCAGTGAGCGCAAGAAGTGGATTCATTGTTTTGAAAACGTCACATCCATCATCTTCTGTGTGGCGCTTAGCGAATATGACCAAGTACTACTAGAGGAAAGCAATCAGGTATGCATCACTTTGTCCGCCGGAAGGTAGCCATCGTCTGACCCGCCCGAAGAATCGAATGATGGAAAGCTTGGTGCTTTTCGATTCCGTTGTCAACTCCCGTTGGTTCATGCGAACGAGTATCATTCTCTTCCTCAACAAGGTCGACCTTTTCCGACAAAAGCTCCCTCGTTCACCCTTAAACAACTACTTCCCTGATTACTCGGGCGGCAATGATGTAAACCGAGCCGCCAAGTACCTTCTATGGAGATTCAATCAAGTCAATCGCGCACATTTGAATCTCTATCCTCAGTAGGTCTCCAGTTGCTCGATTACATCCCCATGATATCTGACTTCTACTGCAGTCTCACTCAAGCTACCGATACGACCAACATTCGTTTAGTCTTCGCTGCCGTGAAAGAGACGATATTACAAAACGCTCTGAAAGATTCCGGCATCCTCTAGAGTTGGCAGCTGACCGGGTAGTAGCGAGATACTGGTAGAGATAGTACATGCCGGTACTGTGCTGGTCCTGCGACTGAATGGACCAGTCTCGCGCTTGGTGACCGGTTACAACCTTAGATCTTCCCGCTTTGACCCGTGAACTTTTCCTATGTCCCGGTTGGGGGGATATAACGCTGGGATGCTCTTCTCGGGCGTCTCATTTGACATTATGATCCCTTCGGCGAGTCGTCCGAGCCTTTCTCTTTTGGCCGGCTCCTCCCTTCTTTCCTTCTCCTCTTTTTCCTTCAGCCCTCTGATTTGTCTGCACCTCATGATTCTCATTGTTACCCACACGCGTTGCTTTTTTTTTTTTTTTTTTTTTTTTTTTTTTTTTTTTTTTTTGGTGGGTCGGCGTCGGCGTTGTGGTGCTTGACTTGATTCACCGTTCGAAGTGCCTGGCGCTGGATTGGTTCGGAAATGTTGGATATGTCTGGCAAGGTGTTATTTGTTGGTTTTCCTAATGGGGTCGGGGTGGCTTGCTCTTCTGGGGATCTTCGTCTGCGTTGGCCGGCATCGGATGCCCTTTAACCTTTCAATTGGCTTGAAAGTTGATGAACCTTTGATCTCAAGCTGAAAAGTTAATGGCTTGAACTTCACTTTGCATATAGCTTGTGGTGGGGAACGCTTGATATTCATTTCTCATGCCCCCCCGAGCTGTTCCTCATGCCTGTCTTCCCCCATCTGATCTTCCTTTTCTTGATTCCCTATTGATGTCATGCATTTGGACGGCGATCTTTCATTTTCATATCTATCATAATATGCCATTATAATCATCTTTCCTCGCTCATTCCTTTTCTTGTTCTTTTCCTTTCTTTTGTTTTGCCCAATGTCACCATTTCCTTCTTGCTACGTGGTCGCAGGTACCCGCGTTTCTACGTCTCTCTCAATCATTGATAGCGATTATACACATGTAATCTAAACCCTGCGAATTCTTCTTTTGTCTCTCTTGAATGTGGAACATTGCTGGACTTTCCTTTGGGCTCTTTCAAGTTGTGATGGGTTGATTCATTGCTGCTGGTTGGAAGGGTGCTGGGACACGACCTCCACAGCTTGGATGGGTGGGAGGGTGGGGTAGTGTCATGAGGAGGAGGATAGTCGAGGTCCGATCTCCATTGATAGTTTCGTACTTAGTAGGTACTGTGCACCTCATGGTCAGAGTTAGAAGAGAGTAGTAGAGTAGAGTACACTCGAGTACCGTCGACTCTTGAGTGCGGGGTTGGCTTGTTTGAAGCTGGACCGAAGAGGCTAAGCCTGACAGCACTGAGGTCCAACACTTGCTTGGAACTTGAGCTTGGAAGTACTGTACCACACACAGCACACAGCACGCAGCACATCAAACACACTGCCCAGTATACATGGAAGGAATTCAGGTGATTCCTCCAAAATATCCTCCAAGGTTCCTGTTGTATGTCTCTTTTTCAGTCGCACTGTCCAACAAGAAGACACAATCGGAATGAGATGTTTGAACCACGCGGACTCCCCGGTTGGCGTGCGTCATAGCGGCTGTCCGCACTGACCGTGACGGCATCAACAAATATCTCTCGCTATCTTATCGGTCAGCCCTGCAACTTCCCTCGTCCCATATTCAATGTTTCACTCAAAGGGCTCAATGTCTCCATGTCTCCATGCCTACACGTCTCCATGCCTTTATCACCGAGGACGCCAGTGGGGTCTGTCACTACCCATGGGCTAATCCACACCCTCCATATACTCAGTAGGATCCATTGAAGACGGCGACTTTCCTTCCTCCCGATTCCGGGCTCTCCGTCGTGCGGTTCCCACGCCATCTGACACTATGCAAGCTCCGGTTCTACCAGGGCCTAGACATGCGTCTAACGTGCATGGGAAACGGCCCAGTCAACGTGCCAACGTATGATCGATTCCTGGTTCCCCTCAGTATAGTCCTGTCAGCGTCTCAATCAATCCACCCCTCCGCGTCAATCCTCCTCCCCTGCCTTGCTTTGATCCTGGAAACATCATGTCCATTCACAATTCCTTGTCACGCGGTGCGATGCGGATGTAGGACTCCAATTGCTCGAGTCCCTAATCCCTCATCCCTCATCCTTCTTAAGCTGGGGTGTGTCTACCCGCTCTCTGCCTTCCTTCCCTCTCTCTCCTCTCCTCCCCCTCCTCGTACTCGGCTTCCTTCCTCTTGATTCTCTCTCTCAAGTGGATGGCCCTGCCCTCCAATTTTCTTGCGTGATTATCCTTGTTTCTTTTTTTTTTGAAAGATCCTTCCATCGCATATCTTGTTCTCAGCTACTATCCGCTCCTCACCTTCAATTCCCCGCAACGCCTATTTTGCTTCTGTACTGTTCCCGTCCTGACGCTCACCATGGCTGCCGAAGGTCGCCGCGAAAGGAAACCCTCTGTGGGAGCTCCCGTCTCCGAGCTTCAGGGCCCCGTTGGCCCCAGCTTCAGCCGCCCCAAGCACAGACGTACTTTCACCGGTTTTGGCCCAGCTGAGATCAAGAGTGTCGAAGCTAGCATTCCCGAGCACCTGAGAGAGGCGTGAGTACCCGAAACCACCCCTCCTCCTCGGTTACACAGACAACCTTGCTGTCCGCTCAACAGGGGGACCAGACTTATTCGTGATCTGCCGATGGAGAACTTTGAACTAATTTGAGCAATCATTTAGGTGGAAGAAACACGTAAGATCAAGATCATTCTAGCTTCTCAGGGACCTGTGCTAATTTTACTTCACCGGCCAGTCCGTCAACGGCTTTACCAACAAAGAGGAGTTTGAAGTAGGTTGAAGAAAGACATTATTCTCTTCCATCATACTAACATTTACGACAGAGTGAATTGGTTCGCCACATTGAGACCACATTGGCTCGCTCGCTATACAATTGCGATGAATTGTCGGTCCCCTAATTCCAACCCTTGGCACTTGGAGAAGAATCTTACAATCATCTAGGGCTGCGTACTCTGGAACGGCGCTAGCCTTCAGAGATCGCTTGATCATCGAATGGAATAAAACCCAGCAACGTCAAGCTTCTGCAGACCAGAAGCGAGTTTACTGTATGTGTGACAAGCTACCCTCTTCTGTGACCTGACTACCTCGCTCATGCCTTATCCTCAGATCTTTCGCTGGAGTTTCTAATGGGCAGGGCATTGGATAATGCAATGCTCAACGTTGGTCTGAAGGATGCTGCAAGAGGTAAGGGATGCGTGCCGCCACTTCACATGAAGAACCCATGCTGATGTCAGATGTGCGTTGTCGCAGAGGGTCTGAAGGACCTTGGCTTCCGTATCGAAGATGTTATCAGTCAGGAACATGACGCTGCCTTAGGTAACGGAGGCCTGGGACGTTTGGCTGCTTGTTTCCTTGACAGCATGGCCACACTCAACTATCCCGCGTGGGGCTACGGTTTACGCTATCGATATGGTATTTTCAAACAAGAGATTGTGGATGGCTATCAGATGGAGGTCCCTGACTACTGGCTCGATTTCAACCCTTGGGAGTTCCCTCGCCATGAAATCACGGTCAACATCCAATTCTATGGTTGGGTTCGGAAGTATCAAGACGAAAACGGCAAAACCATAAACTCATGGCAGGACGGCGAGACTGTCCAAGCAGTGGCATACGATGTTCCCGTCCCCGGATACGGCACCCGCACGACGAACAACCTACGTCTGTGGTCCGCCAAGGCTTCTAGCGGAGAGTTCAATTTCCAGAAGTTCAATGCAGGCGACTATGAGAGCGCCGTCGCGGAACAGCAACGCGCAGAAACTATTTCTGCGGTGCTGTATCCGAACGACAGCTTGGACCGCGGCAAGGAGCTTCGATTGAAGCAGCAGTACTTCTGGTGTGCTGCTTCCTTGTTTGACATTGTTCGACGATTCAAGAAGACAAAGAGAGCTTGGAGCGAGTTTCCCGACCAGGTGGCCATTCAGCTCAATGACACACATCCGACACTGGCCATTGTTGAGTTGCAGCGCATTCTGATCGACCAGGAAGGTCTGGAATGGGACGAGGCTTGGGGAATTGTGACGAAGACATTTGGTTACACCAACCATACCGTCTTGCCTGAGGCTTTGGAGAAATGGTCTGTCCCGCTGGTACAGAGCCTCTTGCCCCGGCATCTGCAAATTATCTTCGACATCAATCTATACTTCTTGCAGTTCGTGGAGAAGAACTTCCCCGAGGATAGAGACATGCTGTCTCGCGTGTCGATCATCGAGGAGTCGCACCCGAAGATGGTGAGAATGGCTTATATCGCTATCATTGGATCTCACAAAGTGAACGGAGTCGCAGAGCTGCATTCAGACCTTCTGCGAACCACTCTCTTCAAAGACTTTGTGACCATCTACGGCCCAGACAAGTTCACCAATGTCACCAATGGTGTAACCCCCCGTCGTTGGCTTCACCAGGCGAACCCCCGCCTTTCCGACTTGATAGCTTCTAGATTGGGAGGCTACGGATTCTTGACCGACCTGACTCTTCTGGATCGGTTGGAGGCATTTGCTGATGATAAGGCCTTCCAGAAAGAGTGGGCAGAGATCAAGACTGCCAATAAACTTCGTTTGGCGAAGCACATCAAGGAGGCCACTGGCTATAGCGTAAACCCGAATGCTTTGTTTGACATTCAAGTGAAGCGTATCCATGAGTACAAGAGACAGCAGCTCAACATCTTCGGGGTCATTCACCGATACTTGAAGATCAAGTCGTTGTCCGCCGAGGAAAAGAAGAAAGTCTTGCCGCGGGTGTCAATCTTTGGTGGCAAGGCCGCTCCAGGCTATTGGATGGCCAAGACGATTATCCACTTGATCAACAAGGTCGCCTCTGTCGTCAACACCGACCCTGATGTTGGCGATCTTCTGAAAGTCATTTTCGTCGAGGATTACAATGTCAGCAAGGCCGAAATCATCTGTCCCGCTTCGGATATCAGCGAGCACATCTCTACGGCGGGTACTGAAGGAAGTGGAACCAGCAACATGAAGTTTGTGATGAACGGAGGCCTGATCATCGGTACTTGCGATGGAGCCAATGTATGCGAGCCGCCCTTGTCTATACTGAGATAATGCTAACCCCTCCCTCCAGATTGAGATCACCCGAGAGATCGGCGAGCAGAACATCTTCTTGTTCGGCAACCTTGCCGAAGATGTGGAGGAGCTCCGCCATCGCCACCTGTACGGGGATTTCCAGCTCGACCCGCACCTGGCCAAGGTCTTCGACGCGATCCGTGGCGGTATGTTCGGCGACGTGAACAGTTTCTCGGCGCTGCTGGCCTCGATCATCGAGCACGGAGACTACTACCTCGTCTCCGACGACTTCAACTCCTACATCACCACACAGGATCTGGTGGACGAGTCGTTCCGCAACCGCGAAGAATGGATCTCCAAATCCATCGTCAGCGTGGCTCGCATGGGCTTCTTCTCCACCGATCGCGTCATCAGCGAATATGCGGAGAGTATCTGGAACATCGAGCCTCTGGTCGTGAAGGATTAATGAGAGGGTCCCATCGTACAGTACAGTCTCTAGCATGGTGACCGGATCTTAGGGATGGGCAAGAGAGAGAGAGAGAGAGAGTGAGAGTGAGGGAGCTTTGTATCTGCTTAGTTTGCTCATTGCAGAGTGTCAATACAGCCAATGGTTTATGTCATGACCGTTCCTTCTCGGCACGTAATACTCTATGTGGTAGACTCTACTTCAAGTCCTTCGCTTCCATAATTCTTACACTACGATAGATGCTATCAACACGACACATGAGAGGGAGATACAGCTAGATGCATAACGATAAGGATCTATATCCAAGTGAAACGAAAAGACGAGTGTATATGTATCCGACCCGCCCGTCCCTCAGGCACTCAACTCGGCCATGCGTTTCTGCAGTTCCGGCACCGCTCGGAGATGGAGCTCCAGGTCTTCTTTCTCGCTGCAGGAAGAGAGATCATTAGCTTAGGTTCAGTGGGAAGCATTCGGCGAGAGGATTGACAAGGAGGAAACGACGTTCAAAGAGTGGATAAGATGATAAGAATGAGAAAGACCATAGAAGCCACAACGAGGAAAGAAAAGAAAAAGGGGAAGGGGGATGGGATGAGTCCTACTCTTCCAATTTCAGCCGTCGCTCCCAGTCGAGCTTGGTAAAAATATACCCGCCCTGGCCGTCGAACTGGAGGATACGACGGTGGTATTTCCACAGGCTGCGACGGTGCGAGACGGTCATGAGGGTGATGCCGAGGCGCTTGGCGGTCTCGTACATGATGCGCTCGACCTCGAGGGTGACGGAGGAGGTGCACTCGTCGAGGATGGCGTACTGGGGGCGGTGGTAGAAGAGGCGGGCCATGGCGATGCGCTGCTGCAGGCCGCCGGAGAGGACGTCGCGCCACTCCTCCTCGGCGTCCCAGCCGCCGGGGCGGTCGACGACGCCGGCGATCTCGACCACCGACAGGATCTCGTACAGGTCGTCGTCCGTGATGCCCTTGGCGCGCATCTCGCGGAGGTTGTCCGGGTAGATGACCTGTTGGCGGAGGGTGCCGCGCGAGAGGTACGGTCGCTGCGGGATGTAGAAGATCTGGTCTGGTGGCGGCTTGTGCACGGTGCCGCCGTATACGGGCCAGAGGCCGCCCAGGATGCGGAAGAGGGAGGACTTGCCGCAGCCGTTGGGGCCGACGATCAGGAGGTGGTCGCCTGGGTGGACGGTGAAGGAGAGGGCGCGCACGAGGATGTCGCCGTTCGGGGAGATGATGGGCACGTTCTGGAACTCGATCGAGTCGGCGGTTTCGGTGACGGTGCCGCGCGAGGAGAGGGTCGCCGCGTGGTCGGAGGTCGAGTCGGTGGCGGAGGAGACGAGCTTCTTCTCGAAGTGGCCGGATTGAAGGTCGTCCATGACTTCTAACAGGGTCGAAACTCGTGCTGTGTGGCCGGCCAGTTCGGAGATTTCCTTGTAGGAGAACATGAGGCGGCCGAATGCGTCGGAGGAGGAGAGGAGCATGCGACGGTTCGTTACGAAGCCTGTAGTTCCTTTAGAATGCGACTGGAATGAAGGAAGGGAAGTCGAGACTCACTTTCGGTACGGTCACCCATGGTCTGCGTGACTTGGCCGGGGATCTTGAAGAAGACAGGGATACTGCAGAGGACTAGGCCCAGAGCGCCCCAGAAGTACTTGATCACGAAATCTTCCATGAAGCCATGATAAAGACGTCTCCGAAGAATGCGATTGACATGCTTGATGAGAGTGAAATAACCCTTGTCGAGCGTGTCTTTCTCTGCCTCATGGCCATGGTATAGCGCAATCTCCTCGCTATAGTCAAGTAGGCGCGAGTGGAGGAACCGGAACTCTCCTTCCAGACGAGCCTCGTCAGCCACGTATTTCCCGAAGGGCGGCGTGAGAGCCCGCATGACGTTGGCCGAGATCTGCACCAAAAGGCTCATGAGGAAAAGACCCTCGCCGCCAACACTTTTCGAAAGCGAGTAGTTGTAGATCGCCATGTCGAGAACTGGCTTGGCCAGGTTGGAGTATAGCTCGGCCAGACTGTCAGAAAAGCGAGACACGTCGACGGTGATGAGCTGATCGGGGTTCTTGACGCGATCGTCGAGGGCGGAGATGGCATAGAACGTCATGTTCGAGAGGTACTTCTCATGAATATAGTCGGTGAGACGCTTGCGATAGCTGAGAGCCAGCTTGCATTGGTGGTATGAGAGCTTTCGGTATCGTTAGCTAGGGGCTTACATCTTCCGTCTCCCCTCCCCCAGCGCATCACCACCACCACCCATGGTCAAACACTCACCATCGAATTCGTAAACGTCGCCGGCACAGCAACAATCATCCACCACACCAATCCCAGTAAGAAATCCTTCCCCTTGCCCCTCACCAGATTACTCACCAACCGCCCGTCCAGCTCGGCGACATACAGACTCAATAATGTCCTCAGCACGAGAAACACACTATGGCCGAATAACAACCGCAGTTCCTTACTCCTCCACCCCGGGATCACAATCTTCAGCAGTCGAAAGAGGTTCCGGAAGAACTCGCGATTCACTTCGACCTTCTTCCGGGGTATTTCACCGGCGCCGGCGCCGTTGCCGTTACCGCCGTCGCCGAGACTGCTGGTTCCGGGCCGTTTGCTCCGCATCTCTGCCTGCTGTTGGGAGGCGGCTTTCTGCTCGGAGATGGCATTGTGGATGCGCTTGGCGAGAGCGGCGAAGAGGGCGAGGTAGACGGTTCGGGAGACCTGTTTGCGGTGGCGGAGGTAGAGGGAGGTGAATCGGGAGAGGAGTTGACGTAACGGTATGGACCATCGCTCGGGCGGTAGGGGGAGAAGGAGCTTCGACTGGACGGCCATCGTGGCCCAAAGTAGATAGATTAGTTATCTATCGTAGCTAGGGTGAGTCGACCAGTTTAAGGGAAGCATGACACCGAGGGGACACAGGGAGTGAGTGAATGAGATGAGGAAGAAGACAGTGAGTGGAGTGGAGTGGAATGGAGAGAAGTTGTTGTTGTTGTAATGCGGGAGGGGAGGGAAGGTGGAATGACATGTGAAAGACCGACCCCATGCTCGCGGCGGGTCTTGCCCCGGATTTCATGGGGGAATTTTTGAGCCGAGGATGGGCCAGTCTTAGTCAGCCACAAACTAGCCAGCTAATTTACTTAACAGTAACTATCGTCAAGTCCAAAATGGCCCATTCTTAATGGTCTCGCTACTTAGTTTACAAGCATTATAGACGACATAACCTCACAGGAAGTATATACAGCGCTGTGCAAATCCCCTCGCATGATATAATCCCCAATGCACAGGTATGAAAAGCTGGCTACCGACTCCAAAATGACGTAGATAGATCACCGGGCCAAGGTTAAACGATATTATCCCAGAGAGGCAATAGTCGCTGGGAAGAAAGGCTGTACTTATTGAAACCTCTCAATACGGTGAAGGACGATCAGGCTCGGCCTGATTTGTTTGTTTATGAGCCCCAGGTAACGGAGATGGAGATCTCTTGCCGCTATTGATCTGTGCAGCGATCTGGCTTTGTCGGAACTTCTCGAAGCCTTCCGAGTCTTGTTGCTGGGCAGCCCAGAGCTCGTCCACCGTCGTGCCGAGGTCTTTGAACGCCTTAGCTGCGTTGACACTCTCGAAGTTCGACCGCATTTGATCCAGATGCAACCGGTCGAGCTTCTCTCGTAACGCAGCGATATGCGATTCGTCAAAAGTGAGCGATGACGCATCGTCGTCCGTCGGATCGAACGACGGGCTCAGGAAATCTCGTCGGAGATTCTGCCCCAAGCGATGTACGTGACCTTCCTCATGGGTCATGGCACGCGAATGGAGTGATGTGATCGAGCTTGCCCGGGACAGTCGGACAGCGTAGTGGTCATCCTCGTCATCCGCAGCAGCTTCAGCATCACCATGCGTGACATTGGGTGGTGTGCCATCGCCAGCACGCGCACCCCACACATCTTCGCCAGAGTTCTGAGAGCTGGTTTCGGGGAAGCTATAGGGCACCGCCTGTGGTACAATACGTGTTTCAGGATATTCGTCTTCAAACCGCTGGATCATCCTCTGCAACGTGAAATCCAGGAACTGGAGACGCCCTAGTGAGAGTACATGGTTAGCATAGGTGGTTCTGGCAAGAGAACGGGAACGAAACATACTATAGTTGGTGTCATTGCCAGCCCTATCTTCCCGTACGAGGGCAGTTTGAATACGGGTCCGAATGTTGCGCGCAGACTCCAGTAGATTTTTGGACATGTCCCGAGGCTTTCTAGTGACGAAGGACCGGGATTTCCGGTGTCGAGGGGTTGCTGTGCCACTAGGGGGGCCAGATTGATCCCCAGGAAGAGAGCGGTCTACATTACCAAGGCAAACACCCAAGGCTTTAACCACACCAGTACCACCAATCACATAGTCTTCGTCGGGAGCCGGGTCGTCATCCTCTTCGACTGCTTCTTCCCCGGCACCGTGACCAACGATATGCTGCAGAATTTCCGGAACATGGACAGCTGAGCGTGCGGCCGCAATTTCAGAAAAATCGGAAAACTCGACTGCGATGGCACCTTGTTCGAGGTTTTGAAGAGAGTAGGCGACGATCTGGGATGCGAGAGCCTTGACAACTTCGTTATTCTCCGCAGTGGGGACTTCAATGTCAACAGCAATAATAGTGCGAGAAACGCGCACCGCGGCCATCAACGACGCATAGACGGCACACGCTTCTTCCTGTGTGGCTGGATCAGTTGCCGACGCCAGCGCCGTGATCAAGGGGTTCTCCAGGATGTTGAGATGGCATAGGCTCGGGCACTCCGGCAAAACTTCGGCTAAAGCAATTGCTTGGTCAGGGGACATGTTCACATCCGCGAGATGGATCCGTTTGAGCGCAGGCATCTTCGGAAGAAAGCGCCTGAATGTTGGTAATGCGTCCGGCTTCATGGTGAACAACTCTGGATTGTGGGAGAAATCAACGAAGCGAAGATCAGGCAGGCAGGCCAATCCTTGGAGCAACGGGTAAACGGTAGTGGGCGTAAGAGAGCAATCGGCCAGACTCAGCGCATAGAGCGGGTGCACATCAGAGATGGCAGAGGTAATCAAGTCAAGGTGGTCCCGGATCGGGTTCCCACCCAAGTCAAGACCTTCGCATTTTCCGGCCTTCAAATAGCGTACAACATGCTCCAGACTTTCTCTTGAGAGCGCGTTATTGGCAAATCCAAGTCTTCTCAGACCCACAGTGGTGGCTGCGTCACAGATCCGCTGAGTATCCTCAGCCGTCGGATTGCATTCGCTGAGAAGAAGCTCCTCGAGATGATCCCCGCCGAAGCGCTGAGCGAGCGCGTTGGCGAAGACAGCCGTTAGCTCGGTAGAGGCTGTTGTGCAATTCGCAGGCTGGACAGCCAATTTTCCAGAAGCACTTATGGGGATAGGTGTCCTGGGAAGCGGGATGCCAGACAAATCGATGGCCTTCAGAGATTTGGAAAGATGAACAAAAAGACAAATATGAAGCCATCCCTCCGTGCTGATTTTTGGGTTGTCCTTCAGCGACAATTTCTCAATGACGCTGAACCTCTCTTCCTTTTCCAGAGATGGCATCTCTGACATCTTGCCTCTCTTGCGTTTGCTCCACATTTGCTCTACTGTCCGGGTGGAGAGCAAAGCGGCGAGGATCGACCGAACCGAATCATCAGTCAAGGCACACTCCTCGAGGATGAGCTTTCGAACCGGAACAACGGCCAGCCAGTCACAAAATGTGGCTGTGTCTTCAGAGGTCATGGGGAAAGTGCTCAAGTCTAGTACAGCAACAGTGCCCGGAGACTCCGCTAGGGTGGAAGACGGCTTGGAGATTTCATCCACTATCCTCTTCAACACGGGGGTTTCACGCAACTGACAACAGCGCCGATAGATTCTGACCGGATCCGTGGTCGGGTGACTTTGAGACTTGGGACGACTGTTGCCAGACGCCGGCGTGCGAACGCCGTACTCCTCACCGTCGGCCGTCAGTTGCATGGGAATTGTGCCATTAGCTTCAGCCTGCCTTCGCCTTCTTTCTCTCCGCTCCCTGCGCTCCTCCTCTGACCTTTTCTTTTTTTCTTGTTTTCTGCTCGGTTCTTTGGTTTCCCCGTTGGGCGTTGCTTCACTAGCTGCCGTTCCAGGCGAGCCTGAAGACTTGCCAGTAGCAGTTTGTTCCTGGGTGTTACCTTCCTTGGCAGTGGTTGCAGATTGCGATTTCGCCGGGGTAGTCTCATCCTTGTCCTTCTTGTCCTTCGACTTCGAGTTCGACCTCTTCAGTTTTGGGCCATGGATATCCGGCACGATATGACGCTTGCTGTTGATCGCCGGCGCCTCTTCATCCGACTCTCGATATGATAGCCCCGCAATCTCAACATCAACGCAGAAAGCAACACGCCGCAATTTCGCCTGATTTAGATCGGCAACCTTGCATCTATCCCGGTCTTGGTCGATGTTCATAACCCGACGCGGACATATCGTACCGTTAGTGGCCAATTTGCCTGAACCGCCTGATGCAGATGAGGAAAGCTTCCGAAATGCGCTCGACAAGAACGAGGGACCCTTGGGGGAAGTGGAGGCAAATGGGCTGTTCTCATCCTTCCGCTCCTCCTCCTTATCCTTCGGGGAATACGCTGCGCCAAAGGGGTTGTGATTGTCCATCTTCGAGACGGGCGACGTTGCTTTGGTGCTCGGTTGTGCTTTCATGTTGGATTGTGAGGGAGGCGTGGAACCCGAGGAGAACCTCGAGCTGAGGCTGGAGATCCATGAGTTTCGCCTGCCCGCAATTGGGCGCGGGGCGCTCTTTTGTGAGGCAGGTGAGGAGCCCGTCTGTTTCGCATCCACCGCCTTTTCAGATGTTTTCACCTCCTTCTCACTTTGTGACGCCACACTGGGTGTTGCCGTAGTCGGGGCATTATTATTCTCGGTAGGAGGCTTCTTTTCGGCGTCACATTGTTGCAGATGGGCGGCCCCTCCGTCCGGTATCGATTTGTCGCTGACCAGTGATGAAGCCGACTTGCAGCGGGATAAATGGTCTGCGGTCGATTGGGGTGAGTTCGGGCCATGCACGCGACTGATGTTCAAGTACGATCAAACTCACCTTTATGCGAATGATGGAGCCAGCTAACATCCACAGTCTCAACTCCTTCCATTTTGGCAAAAACGCTTCGCGTTGCAGTGTTGCTGGGATGTGACGTAATAGAGCAGAAAGGGTCGTGAACGGGTTTGATTGAAGGCTGAACCTGTGAACTTACAACCCAAGCACTGCCCGTCGAACAACAAACAAGGCGAATTAATGGCAGGAGTCGTTCACAGGCGAGAAATATGGTCGAAGAATGCTGAGCGTCCGAGAGAAGAGGGCAAACCCGAGGAATGCGCAATGCAGATCATTAGTAGTTAATTATGAACGGCGACGGCGAGAAAGTTCCATCATGACATGACGGCGAGACACAGCGGACATGACGGAGCTGAGAGTGGGGGGTTTTGGATACAGAGTTGCGATCGTGAGGCGGATGAGAAATAAATCGCGCAATCAAGGATAGGGAGAGATAAAAGGGGGTGGGAGGGGAGGAGGGAAAGAGGGAAAGGAAAAGAAGGTGTAAAGTGAGGGAAGCGAAGCGAATATCTATGGGAAACGATGGAGACGGGGGTTAAAAGAAGGAAGAGGAATGGTGCGGCTTTGCGGGCACAAGAACGAGGCGATCGGGATGGGCGGTGGGAACTGGAACAACTAGGCTGGAAAAGGACTCATAGCATGATTGTCCATTAGTTCAGTCGGTGGAGAAAAGGGGAGCAAAGCAAAGGCGACCATGATTACATACTGGAGTCTTTTTTTTTTTTTTTTTTTCTTCGTCTTTTTCTTTTCTATTCTGTTCTACTAAGCTGAGTACTACTGAGAATACTCGTACTAGATTATGCCCGCAGCGGAAGGAAAGGAAGGGAACGGAAAAAGTGAAGTGGTCTGTCTGGTAAGGTAAGTCAGGCCGGGCTGGAACACCAAACAGATTCGTAACCTGGTAATTTGGGTAACTTCGTGACTTCGTATTATGCGACCACGGCCGATGACGGAGGGGAGAGAGACCCATTCATGGCATGGCAATTACGCCTCACCAGTGTCGCCACCCTTTCCCTTCTCTCGTCACTTTGCCAAGCCTGACCATACATTACACCCGTTGACCTCCGTTGCCATCGCCTATGATTTCAACTGTGACGATTGCAACCCACAATAGGGAGCAAAAGAGAGGGAGTGTGTGTGCTTGGGAGAGGGAGGGAGAAAGGAGCAAACATCGGCCCAAACGCCAGTCAGCAGCAAACATAGCACGCACATGGAAGTACTCGTATCTACTGACAGTCAATGGTGTTGTCGTTCATGCTCAAATCGTGGAGTTCAATAGCGTAAGGTATGCGCTGTCCAACTTTTTGCCAGCCCAGTCATTGGCTCAGCCTATCACATCCTCACTAAAGGCCCGTCTTATAATTGCTTGTACTCCCTCCGGCACATGACCAGGTCACCCTACAAGAAGATCTCATGTGCTTCAAGGTTTCTTCTACACTGCGACGTGAAGTCATCCTGTGGCAGATTTCGATGGAAGATAGTGGTTGTAACAATTAAGCAAGCCTGCAGCCACCTCCACAGCCAATAATCCTTTCCTTACTCAATGGGCCAGTGACAGAAAGCGGTCATGACGAAAATGCTTAACTACTTGTTCAACAAACAAAGCAGCTTGTCGCCAGCGTGCAGGTTGCAGAAAAGCTTACTGATGCTGATCGACAACAATCCCTGATCAAATGAACAAGAAAAAATAATAAAACAAAATAAAAATTCTGTGCATTGATGGCATTGATGTGAATACGAATGCACGTGCCAGTGTGATAGAGAAGTTCAGCCTTTCAATCCACACCGGGTACACCATGGGATCAGTTAGGACAGAAGGCTACCAGAGTGGCCTGTTTGTGCCTTACTCAACTTCAATTACCATAGACAAAGGCAGACTCATAGAAACGGTAAGCGTCTGTCTAGAATATGCTGAAGTGCGGGTAATATTATGGCGGACCCATCCATCTGATCCACAAAGAATCGTCACATCCCCGGGCGAGCGGGCCGCACAACTTCGAATCCTTTTGTCTTTTTCTTTGCCCACGGCCATCTCCTGGATCTATCTGGCACTGTGGAACGGGATGGTTCCATTCGTTCTACCCTGGCGCCGATCTGCGATGCCATCGGCCGACCGTAGTATTGATCCGCCTCGCGTTTGGAATAATCGCCATCGCCGCTGATCGTGGCCGTGTCTTCGTCCAGGACACTCAGGTCTACCGAGCCCAAGCTTGAATCCCCCGATTCACTTTCGCTATGGGACTGCGTTTTGATGGTGGTGAAATGCCGAGACGATGAGGATTTCGGAGTTACGGGCCGAGGAGCTCGAAAGTACGATGGAATAGCGTCGGTGGTGTATGGCCCCATTGGTTGAGGATAAGCTGATGTGGCCTCCATTAGCACGATCAAAAGATATTGTGTCCGGACTGGACCGAACACACCTGCAGGACGAAGCTCTGGGAGCTCTGTAAATGAAGACTTCCTCGTCGACCGCTGCGAGAGTTGACCGATCCCGAAGACCTGTAGAAAGACCTATTAATTGATCTGACTTGTGAATATCCGTACCGATTCCACGTACCGGTGCCTGATGGGGTTCCACGAGGTTGCTACCATGGGACTGTGTGATTCCCAATTCGCGGAGTGTAAATAGCACGATGCTCGAAACACTGGGAACGAAGAACCCGAAAAAGAGCATGGCTGCGTGAAGGAACAAGATGCTGTATGCTATCAAGCCCTTATCGCGCTCGCTCGCCTGGAACTGTGGGAGGAATACACAAGTCATGGCAAGGCTGGCAAACCTCCACAGCGAAAAGCACACAGGTCTCCATGCGTGAAAGTCCCGACAGTTCCACAGCAGACAAGCAAGATTGAGCGTTTCACAAACCATAAGAACCACAGTCTGAACAAGGCCTGATTGTTGTAGTGCCCCGATCGCTATGCCTCTGACAAGCGGAATGCCGTACAGAACAAAGAACATCCAGCTTCCAGAATAACGGTTAGGAACTAAGCTCTCCTGGAAAAAGGCCCCTTGTCTATTACTCTTCACTAAGTACCATATCGTGAAGCCCAGAGACACGGTGAGCAGACCGATGATCAATACCGCGAAGAAGGTACGATAGACCGGAAACCATGAGGCTATAAGAAATTGACTCGAGGAAAAGGTTACGAGTGGAAGGAGGAAGTAATCGAGCACTGTTCGGAGGATACTCCAGCCAGTACGCTGACATTGAGTCACAGACTCCTCCTGAAGGTCTGTCAGCTCAATTGGCTGTCGCCTCCGGAAAGTCTTCGATACCCATTGAATCCCGAACGGAACTTGCACCAACACGATGATCCCCACAATAACGAGGACAAGGTTGACAATCGCATTGACCCAGAGGTCACTAATGACGGTTCCGCCCAGCACCTGTGTCATCTCCTCCAAGCCCCAAGTCGAATTAGTGGCATAAAAACCGTCGTTGACACCGGGATAAGTAAAATCATGTGTCACAGGCCAATTTCGGAAGATGAGCGAGGACCAGGCCAGCTGCCCGGCGATTGCTCGGAAAAAACCAGGGTATGAAAGTGTCAGGCAGCTGCTTAGAAAGATGAATTGGAGGAAGTGCAGACAATCACCTAGGCCCCGTAGGTGGGATTGAGCTGGATCTCGAGATAAGTCGGCAAGCTCGTATCGAAACATGCTTCTTCCATTGGCACGAAGGACTTTGAGCGGGGCTGTCGTAATTCCAAACAAGACCATAATGACGAAAGGAAGAGCCTTCAGGAGTTTTGAAGCTAGTGAGCCGATATAGGGTGTGATATGGGTAGCGGTACAACTAATTTTCTGATCCTCCAGTTGCAGTTGAACGGTTGTGTCCAGTGTGTGCAGGGCATAGGTGTGGTTGAGGTAGTAGGAGGTCTCATAGATGGCATATCGGCGGAGACCACCCTCCATATGAGCCTTTCTGTTACCTTGGTTTGACAGATTGGTGTTGTATTGATAAGGGCTTTCAGCACATCTTCCCCTGGGCTCTCCCTGAAAGCCTACAGGGTGACCCAAGACACTTGCATCCACAACCAATTGTGCCAGGGATCCATTGAAAGAGTCGCAGGTATCGGAGGTGAAATCGCCCGTGAACTTCAGGAATAGTGTTGTCCCTTCATGATCTGGAGAAACCAGATAACCACTTAAGGATTGCGGTCGAAAAACATGAGGCCCAGTCAACGCCGTACTAGCGGGGGAGCATTCCCAGCCGCGAACAAAAGCTGCCTGCGCCGATGACAGGAGCAGAGCCCACAGGAGGAGAGGCGACATCAGAACAAAGACATGCCAGACTATGCCAAACCGAGGAGGAGCATGGTCTTTCTCCTGAATGAGAAAGAGTGTTCTATGACGAGTTTATCAACAGCGATTGATCGATAGGCGTAAAAATAGAACCATGCTGCGGAGGAGTAACTGAGTGAACTAGTCGAACTTAAATAAAGCCGCTCCACCGGGCACTGCAAATTCTTCAGAGGTTGTCGCGATTGGCAAAGTGCAAGTTGGCATTAGCCTCCAGGCACCGGGGGCGGAGTCTCCGAGGAAAAAGAAGAAAAGGAAAGAAAATTAGATGATGTGGGGAAGATTGCCCGAAATAGCAGGTGACCTTGTGGACCTCACTCGGTGCCGCCGTTGCAATACTTAGTAGTTCCTACACTAATGATAATCTTTCCAGAAAGAAACAGAGGTCAATAGTTGCAGCCGCTTGGTGTCGATCTATGCAATCTAGGCAAATGTTGGGATCTTATCTTGATGTCTGCCTCTGGGTGTGGACTTTCCATCCCGACCCAGCTTCCCCGTCAACTTGACGGTACCTTTCACCGTGGCCCCTCAAAGCCAGGTCTTTAATGATAGCACCACCTTAATGATTCGTTTTCCCGGGCGGAAATGGTCTGTGATGAGCACATCAACAAGACAATGCCATGGAGATGATGGCCCTGAGTCTCATCCGCAACAAAACCACAATTCGTGTGCCGAGGATCCGGGCAGAAGACCCGCTACCAGCAACCCACTTTGTCTCGGCCCGTTCATCATCATGGACTTTGTCGACGGTGTGAGCCTTAAGAGCTGAAAGCCCCACCAAGAGTCATGCGGGAAAACATCAGCGATACTTCAGCTCGTTGAACTCGACTTTGATAGGATCGGCAGCCTACCGACGCCTCAGCTGGTTGCAAGCCTCCGGCGCCATCTGGTCACACATGCTTCTTCTGTCTGGCTTCAGTGACCATCGCAGCTTCCATTTACCCAGCTGCGCCGGCACATGGGGCTTACTGAGTGGGCGAGGCATGAGAAGGTACCTACCTGAAGCACTCGCAGTTCGGAAGGTGAGGGAATTAGACCTTTATGATGAAGCCCTGGAAAAGTTGGACGAGAGAATTCTGCGAAAATGCTCTATATTCTGCTGGCAGTAGACACCAATCGAAGCCTCTAAGCTAACCCAACGCGGGACATTCTTGCTCGATCACGTGTAGAATGGTGAGGACATGCGACTACTTGAGCCCATCATGAACACAGAAGACAATACATAAACACAATCTAGATAAGGGAAGTCGGCAAAATGGATTCGTGACATAGTTCACACGCCTTCAAGGAGTGACCAACAACTAAGATAACATACAACATCACTAATCACAGAGTAGTTGTCAAATCAGCTTCATCTGCAACAGGCCGCAGTCACCTAAGAGAACTGTAATGCTTACTAATATTGGAATTGGCCTGTCAACAACCCCGGTCATGACCACTACAAGCCGTAAACCCCCTCAAGGACTTGGATTTTCCAGTGTAGTAATGCTTGACCTTAATACAACTTCAGTACGATGTTATAGAAGAACCACGAGATCTCTACTTTCAGCGACTTGCAGCAAGGGCTCATGGTTGTATACTTACAGGAATACAGACATAGACCTTGAATAGTTACAGTCTATTGTTGGTAATGATCACGCAAATCGCTTTTCGGTGCGCTCGAACACCTATTTTGCGCGATAAAGCAATATACCGATGCCCTCACTCCGTGAGTTAGTGTACAAACTTCTATGGTATGATAGCGTGGCGTTGACATAACAGTTGTTGTCTAGCCACCTCAGCAAAGCAGGAGCTATTCTCTTGTACCTCGAGCCGGTACATCTACTATGAAAAGATCCGACTACATGAGCGGTATGTCGAGTTCAATCCCGACGCTCTTCTGCGCGAAACCGAGAGCCACGTTGGTCCTACCCACGGCCACGCTAGGCGCATTCGCAAGCTCGCCGAAGGGGGCTTCAGTCGCGTCTTTAGTATCACCATGGATGACGGTTTTGACGTGATTGTCAAAATCCCATACCACATTACAGGGCCTAAGCACTACGCGACGGCCAGCAAAGCTGCCACTCTAACGTACCTCAACACCAAGGATATCCCTGTACCCAAGGTGTATAGGTATTCTTCTTCAGACAACAATCCGGCCGGGGTAGAATATATCGTCCTGGAAAAGGCTGCAGGTGTCGGGTTAGAAACTAAGTGGCTTACCATGAGTAAGCGGGAAAGACACACTCTCGCCTTGAGTGCAGTGGAAGTCGAGAAAAAATTCTTTGATATCCCCTTCCGAGCTATCAGAAGTATTTACTTCAAGCAAGACGTTCCGTCTGGCCTCCAAACAACATTGTATAAACCTGATGTTAAGTCGGATCGTGACTCAGAAATCTTCTGCATTGGCCCGACTGCTGACTATAGATTCTGGTATGGCAAAAGAGCTGAGCTAGATCTCCATAGTGGCCCATGCAAGTCCACCGACCTCATGATATGGATGTCGAGATGTGCTATATTTGATCAATAAAGGGAAATCCCACGAGGAGTACCTTGCATCAATCGCGAGGAAAGAGATTGAATGGACTCGCCGATTCGGATAATCACTAGAGCTTGATTTTCCGCATAATGGTGTGTGTCCGGGCGAAAAGTCCCCAGCCGACTACCTCAGTCTTCTGGAGAAGTACCTCGCACTGGTGCCATTCTTCTTCCGAAAAATGCTGGGCATCGTCTCAACCAGCCCACTCTTCGTCACCCAGGTATTTCCATTCCACTTACTCTCTATGATCGAGCTAACAGTTTCGAGACTTGAACCCGAACAATATCTTCATTTCACCTGATACCGGAGCTGTAACCTGTATCATTGACTGGCAGTATACGACGATTGAGCCACGTCTGCTAGCTGCGGGCTATCCGCGTGCCTTCGAGAACCCCGACCCCGAGCAATCTCCCACTCTCGAAGGACCGTCGCTTCCACTAGACAACGAAGCCCTGTCCCCCGAGGAGAAAGCCGAAGCCGAAGAGCCTTATCGCCGGCGTCTTCTCTTCTACTACTACCGGATCTTCAATGGCCACTCGAACAAGCCGCATATTGAAGCTCTACGCGACCCCATCCTTCTTCCTCGCCAGCACCTCGTTGGCCGGGCCGGCAGACAATGGAATGGGAATCTCATCATTCTGAAAGAGGCATTGCTCCGTATGACTGAGTATTGGCCTCACTTACCTGACACCAAAGGTGTATCGTGTCCGGTGCACTTCACCGATACTGAAGTGGCTGAGTTCGGTGAGCAGGAGCAGTTGTGGTTTCAGCTGAATAGCCCGGTGAACCATTGGAGGGATCAAGTCGGTGGGGTCAGTGAAGATGGCTGGATCAGTAATGATCGTTACGATGACACCGTCCGGAAAATAGCCGAGCTGAAAAGCTCTCTGTTGGCTACTGCAGAAGGAGATGAGGAGGATATTCGGTTTTTGGAGAAGGGATGGCTGTTTAGGGATCGTCCGGAGATCTATTGAGAACATTCATGTATAGTTGAAACTAATATGTTTGTTTAACCTTTAGCACTGATTAATATTTCGCATTGTTGTTGTCCTTGGGGCCAAAATCGATATAGGATTAGAGAGAGAAAGAGAGCGATTAGCTTGAATCTGAATTTTCCAACAACCCTCGAGCTGCTAAAGCCCACCAGACATATCAACAGATTCCTCCATTCGAACTACCGCGGGAATCAGGAGCTATAGAGCGGAATGCGCCTGAATATCTGAAGCTGAAAGCCCAACTTGGGTGGAAGGTGAAGATTCTGCTGGACGGCTTTGCTAGTGCTGATTTGATTGGAATGGGTAAGTACTGGATGTTCGTATGGCAACCCGGGATCGGGATTCTGAGATTTGTCTTGGTTTGGAGCGAAGTGTGTATAGCCCTAAAGCTCTGACTGATATCCTCATACCCAGAAGCTTCCTCATGGTAGTATGGCTTTAGGTCTAGGAGGCTTTAACCGGCCATAATTGACACAACAATACTGTTAACATGATAGCATCAAGATATGGCTTTGATATGAAGTATTCTTTTATCTGTTTCTTCGATTAAGTTCTTAAGGGGTTTTTATGCGGAAGGTGTCATTTATTAGGGTAATGCTTCAGGGATTATCTTATGATTTTCATTGATTTTCATTGGTTTTTGAGTTTCAGGCTGTATATATACAATCTCTATATCTATATGTTGATATGGAGTACCTGTATACTGGGAGGATTTAATCTTGGACATCTTCTGCGCCGTAAGACACTCAATCCCGTCTCCGTCGTTACTGGAAACCTTCCGCAATTATAACCAGACTAATAGTATTTTTTTTTAGAAAACAACAAATAAATTGCGAGTTTCTTTCTTGAAATTCTTCTATGCCCAATGAGATCTCATCACCTCGACTACTTTTTTGACGATTGGCTCGGCGATGTCAACCACTTCATCACTCCCAGAAAAACGACGGGGGGCTACCGGTGCACTTGTTGATCCAGTCTGTACAGGTGTTTCTGACCAAATGGTCACACAAAATATCTGTCCAGTAGCAGAGAAGTAGTAGATTGACGCACGACAGAGGGTGAACCCGCCCCCACTAGAATATGAATTTGTCGGAGCGCAATGCCATTGGCGTCGCGCTCCCACCGCATGGCTTCCGGCAAGTTTGCAACGCGCGATTTCTCCACGTACTGTGGGTTTCGTTTCCTGTACTCACAGGCAGTCAGACCATTATATTTATCTTCTACTTTCGACGGAAGACACATACAAGAGGACTCCTCGTGATAACCACTGGCCTGGGTGGAGAGTATGGTAGAAGGTAAAGCCATCTCGAGACCCTGAAGGATGAGCGGCTTGTGTTTGAAGGATATGGATACCTCCAGTTGATGATGAGGGGAGACTTCACGCTGATAGTAGGGACAGAAGCATGAATCACAAAGGGTCGGCTGAGTGGACCAAAGGCTCTGGATTGGCTGAGGGTGCCGCTGCTTGGTAGGTAGCGTTGATAACCTATTGTGCGCATGTGTGGCTTCCTCTGCAACTTATTGTCCATCTTGTTCTCCCTGTGATCGAACGCCAGAGTATCCTTGGGATCATAGCTTGGGTCAGCGACGAACTGACGGAACGCGGCCAATTGTTAGTCTAGTGTGCTAAACGGGTAATAGATTTGTCCTCCCCAGACTTGGCCCGGTTGATGATGCTGAGATTCTGCCATCTTCAGTATTGAGTCACCTGAGTCTAAGCCCAGAACTCTTGCGTGCCATGCCTCAGTCGATACCTCTCAATCTCGTCTGAAAGTGCTCTTGCATTGCGAACCATACGCTTAACAGCCTCGACTTCGAAGGCAGGCCTGAAATGCGATTTTTCTAAAGTGCCGTACATGTCTTTTCGTTCTCGACACTCCACAGCCTCGTCAATTTGGGTGCCCCCAATCGCCGGTAGCGATACCACCGTGGGTTCCTTGGTGGGAGGGAGGCATAGCTGGACGGAGACGGCATGCTGTGTTCAAATACTCGTCTCTAATATGCCGACGGTCGAATGCACGCTGAAGAGTCTTGAACATATCCTCAAGTGTACACTTCGAACAACCCATTCGTCGCATTTCGTCTTGAGAAAGTGGTTAAGAGCCTCTATAGCATTCCATTCCATTGCCCCTTCTTTGACTGGAGTCGTGGAGATGCCTGGGCAGAAGTTCACAAATCTTTACCAGCGTGTTTAGACATGCGGTGTAATAGGCTAGTCAGCCTTAGATACTAAGAAAATGTTCCTCCCACTGCGACAATCGGACCTCGAGAATTTTGTTGATCCTTTTGGCGTTTTGAGCGCGTTCGTGGCCGCGTTGCGCATCTCTCATAGCCATTCCTTGCGTGCGCGAGAGACGCTGAATAGTGAGCTAGAAAGTTGAACGATCCTCTTATGTCTCGCCGTCTGGTAATCTATCAAAATTTGCTGCGACTGCGCAGACATATTAACGTGAAAATGTAGGCGGGGTAACGCCCCAACCGTAACAAGCCCACTTGAGTCCAAATATTAGTTTAGCTCTAATAGTACAGCAATATGAGTAGTATACCTTGAAGTCTGGGCTACCAGAGAACTGTTCTTGCTTCGCGTCTTCTTGGATAGAAGAGGACTCCTCGTAGCAACTGTAATGGACCAATAAGCCTAAGTGCTATGAATTTAAGAAGTAGCTTGTAGCCCGAAAGAGAAAGCAGTTCAGCTACCCGCCCTTTCGCACTGCGACCGCAAGGTCCATGTTCTCGTCAAACCTAGGTCCCAAATCTCTTTCGTTATGGTAGGCCACTACCAAAAGATCTGGCCTACCGGCAGGCCAGATAACTCGTAAACCCAAAGGCTTTTCACCAGGGGCCCCAGACCTTGATATTATCTGAATAGCAAGGAAATTCAAGGTAGGGGCGCGAGCCGGATAGTTCCAAGGGCTTTGTTTGATCATTGCGAAATGGCTTTGGGTAGCCTTCCCATTTCTGAAGGCAACCATCACGCTCGGCGTATCTCCTGTCTGCCGCCATTGCAAGCCTCAGGGCATAACTATGCCAGACTCTATGTTTACTGCCAAAGCCTGGGAAACCCCACTATATTTTTGCTAGTCAGTATATCTCTAGACATACTAGAGTATCCGCGTAAATGGGAAGCAGTTTGCTCATGTATCGTTTTCTGTGCCATTCGGATTTCTTGTCTTCGTGAAGCAGAAACTCAAGAGTCACAATCGGACGCAGCTCCACGATTTTCTTCTGGTCTATCGAATATGGCATGGCCAGTCTGCGCGAAGCTGCATGGCATAAGTCTTCAATGGTATGCTTATGCTGTTCTCTCGCAAAAGCTCCATCTTGCAGACATTGTTTATGATAGCACCGTTATCAGGACTCCTCGTGCGTGGCTCTGTTTGCCTCTGCGATACTCTGAGTAAGGAAGTCTGGAGTTGACGGGATTCATGGCTCTTTATATATTGCCCTCTGGCCTCGCGGGGCATCACTTGATGGTGGAAAAGTGCATTTGTTTCCGGAAGATCTCTCGGTGTATTTCTCCTTCTCTTTGTTTGTAGTTCAAAACTCTCCGCACAACTTTCACACTCTTGAACTCTGATGAAAAATCTGTCGCGATGCTCATTGTAAAGTTCCGGTGCTTTCATTCACGATATGAGAGCACTGCACTTTCTTTGTCAAACGAAGACCTGCTTTGTCAAGCAGACCTTGCTGTGGTCAATAGCTCCGGGTTTGGCCGTTGTTATTGCAGAATATGCACCGGCGATCTCCGAGTTTGTACCACCTCTCGAACTTGTCATGAGAATCTGTGCACTCTGAAAGGGAATTCAATGGCAGTCACCTGCGATATGGCCTTGGAGGCGTGTCACGGAGTTTATACTGCGCTTTCTCACAGTATCTCTCCGGATTTTTGGCTAGTGTGAAGTAGGCGTGCACCTCCTGATGGGAAGACTTGGGGGTTGAGTCCCTGAGCACTTTTCTCTGTGTATTCCTGAGAGCTGTGGCTGGTCCCTCAACCCCTTGTTGCAAGATTGGTATTTCGTGCACCATTTCTGATACTCGGGATCTCTGGGATAGCTGGATTCTTCTCGGAACGTCGTCAATCCTTGGCGGGGTCTCAGATAGGCTGCTATGATAGGTTGATACACAAGATGGACGAAGGACCAGGGAATCTGTTTCAATGAGCTCGAGTAGTATGGAATGTCTTAAATAACCAGACACGAGAGAAGAGGCTCAGGGTGTCAAAAAGATGTAGAAGGTATAAGGAAGTCAAGAAGAAGAAAAGTGAAGATATATACGAGAATAAGTTGTGGCAGTACTGCACGATAGTGAATGATCAGATGAAGGACTTCATGGTATGTGTAGCAATAGCAAAGAGTCTAGATAGTGAATGATGTATTGACAGTATAGCTCTATTCAGCCAGAGCCTACTGAGTACCAGCTATTGTTCGTAGACTTGCTTTCCGGTACAGAGGGTCAGGAGACAGGATACACTTGCTTGTAGTCCTAGATGAGTATGATCAGCCTTTGACATGCCCGTGTCAAGTGATGAATCACATCATATGGACGACTCAGCCTTGTTATTGATAGCTTCCAGTTTGCCAAATCCACCAGAGGTTCTATCGAACACTATATCCTAATGAATGGCTAGAGCAGAGATGGGCCTTAACAAGCACCGACCACAATGGCCATTTTCTCGGGCAGGCTGGAGACTGAGCATAGTCAGCTGAAGAAAATTGCTATCTCATCAAAGTAAAACACAGGGCCTGCAGTGGCCTTAGGGTTCCCCAGGAAAGTCTTTCACTATGGAGATAGATTTCGCATGCATGTATACTGCTGCTAAAGTGTATTTGGATGATGCTCCATCTTTGCATTCAGACGAAAGCCTGGGGTAGATGCAGTGGACGTGAGGGTGATACAAGAATCAAGAGCCCAATCACGTGAATCAGTCACGTGAAGCTACTGACAAACGACCTCCTCAAGTCATCGGGAGCAGTCCAAGTATCAGGTATATCGCGGGGTTATCATCTCTACGCTACAAGATTTACCGGAGCAATTGTGGAATGGTTGAAGCTGAAAAGGAATTCGTATTATGGACGTTTTGCTCCGAATAAACCCCGAACATAAAACTCCGGTCGTAAATGAGTCTCCGATGAAGACTACTTGGGATATCACAATTTTGAGAAAGCACAGTTGGCAAATGAACCCAGGTCACCGTTTTTGGATTGAGAGATTAACTTTTGTTTGTGACTATCGCACTTCACGAATGCATTGAGCACGATTTGCCTCCACAAAAATCCATCTAAGCAGCAAGCTCGCGGATCTTGGCCTCGATGCGCTCCTTGCGCTGCTCGTGGGTGAGTCTGACCTTGCGGAACTTCTTGCTCTCGGCCTTCCACTCCTCCTTGGTCTTCTTGGAGCCCTCGTCCTCATCCTTCTTGAAGGGGTCCTCACGGATGGCCTTGTGGGCCTCAGTGTAGAGGTCCTCAATGTCACCGGCCTCAATACCAGCCTCGGTGTACTTGTGGAACTGGCCACGGAAGCGCTCCTCGTCGTCATCGGCGAGACCCTCCATGTACTCAGCGACGTGACCGCCGAAGATGTAGTTGCGGAGAGTCTCAGCGTCGAGCTCCTCGGACTCGATGTCGAAACCGGGGAAACGGCTCTCGGAGTGGGGGACTATATATCTATAAGCTTTTCTGTGCGAAATTTCATCGACATAGAGGGAAACTCACCGAAGAGACCGGCATCGGAAGCACCCTTGAGGGCACCGAAGACACGGGCACCAGTGGAGGTGCGGGCCAGACCGACATCAAGGACACACTTGAAGGGGCGGCGCTCGCCATCGTCGGTCTCAGCAGCCTCGGTCAGGCTAAAGATGATAGTTTAGCTAGAGAAGACATGACTTGATAGGCGTGGTTTGCATACTTGTACTCTCCATCAGCCTCCTCAACACCAGTGAAGGTCTCGTCGAGGTTGAGCTTCTTAAGGAGACGGCGACCGACAAGGAGACCGGTGGCGTAGGCGGCAGCCCAGTTGGTCAGACCGTTGGTGATGCCATAGCGCTTGAGCTCGTGGGAGTAAGCGGCGGCGTGAACCTTATCGCCGGTGATGTCGGAAGAGACGATCTGGCAGATAACGTCGCTGTGCAGATATTAGCCAGATGCCCGATTCTCTGGTTTGTGCGATATGGAACGCCTACCGGTTGGTGAAACGGACGACGAGACGGTACTTGGGCGCGTTGTACTTGTTCTTGGCCTGGGTGATCAGGCGCTTGCGAGCATAGTAGTCGGTCTTACCCTCGCGGCGACGACGGTACTTGGTCTGGTAGCGGCTGCGAAATGTTAGCGAAAATTCAATGAGCCTAGAAAAAGGAGAACCAAAAAAAAAAAAAAAACTCACCTGTAGTAAGCGCTGTTCTTGACCTGCTTGTGGAAAGGCTAGATCACGGAACAAGCGAGTCAGCAATTTGCGCTTCAGAGGGGACATCGACTTGTCCGAAGCATCTTGCAAAGACCCGAAAATTCGTCCCACAACGCCTCTACAGCGGGCGGGCGAATCGTAGTCCCATTTGGAGATGAAGGAACAGTCGAGAGCAATCCTAAAACAGATGCTCCTGTGCTAGAACGTGTTCTAACTCACCATTTTGACGGTGACCGGGTGATGAGGACCGAGTTGTCGACGTTGGCTGCGTAGGAAGAAGGAAGGAAAATTCGTGGGCTGACTTTGTGGAAGGCCTCGCTTAGCGTTGCCTGCATCCCGGCGCAGAATTGCGGTTGGCGACGAGCGGGCGGGCGGCTTGGCCACCCTGGACCATGTATGGAACGGAACACCAAGTATACTCCCATCACTACAGAAATCATGCTGGTCAGGTCAATAGTTTCACTAAAGATTTTATTCTGGCAGGGATATCGCTCTGTTGTCGACCTTGGAAAGTTTTATTGATGGCGAGGCTTAATATGGTGAACAACAACCAGGGGGGTCAGACCAGCCCCTATAGTCGCGCCTTATCTGCTACTACTAATTGCAGACCGGTCATCTTCTCTAACTCCCGGACAGCATCTTGTGTTCGTCCTAGATTCACTTTCAGAGTCCTCATTCCTGCTTTCTTTGCACCTTTCAAGTTCTCTCCGATGTCATCGAGGAAAACAATATCTGACGCACGCACCGCACCTCTGCCTTTCTCCTTGGCGATGCGATTCATCTCCCGCAAAGCAGCTTCATAGATCTTTTGGTCCGGCTTCCGGAGGCCGGTATGTGCAGATGATATAAAGAAGTCAAAATGTGATTGCTTGTCGTTGAGATCCTGCCCATACGGATGACCCTCGGGGAAAATGACAGTATTAGACAAAGCCCCCAGGATAAATTGGCCGGATTCCTTCAGCTTCTTCAAGGCCGGAAACATGTAAGGGTCCGGCGTCCGCGACACCCTCATCATTTCCCAAAAGAGGAATTCGGCATCGATCTCAGGCACCGGAGGGGTCGGCTTTCTGGCCTGGATCTTCTCTTGGAACTGCCTCCAGAGATCTGGATTCTGGAGATCGTTTTTGAATCCAGTGAAGAAGTCGGCGTCCATCTTGATGTCTCCTCGTTCTAGTTTGTGCCAGCTGCCGTTGGGGGATGTACGCGAAATGCTGAAGTTCACCCATCCTGGATGAATATTGTGGGCAAGCTCGTAGTCCAAGATGGCTTGGAATGGAGAAAGAACCTAGGGCTAGTCAGTCTTGAATGATCCGTTCGAGTGTAAATGCATGGATGGAGTCTTGGCCTTACACACACTCCTCCGATATCGAACAGGAGGCCTATAGGTCGCTGGTTGTCTGACATGATGACGATGTACTATTCAGTACGGGCATATGAGCTGCGTAGAACTGCGTAAGCAAGCTAGCAAGCAAACGTCAAGTCAGTATATGTAGAATGCGCTGCTGATCAATGCTCGACGTCGAACCGCGGAGTAGCGCCTTGGGGAGGCAGATTGCCGAGGTTAGATAAAGGACCTCGTTCGATGGCGCTTGCTCATCGATCAGTGCGGACCAGCCCCATTTAGGAATCACCTCAGATCTCCAGGTGGCGGTGCCTGCTGCATAGTACCGTGTATTGCTGCAAGAGGTTCCTCATGGGGATGCGACCAACGCAAGGAGCTGATGCTTGATCATCCGGTGGTGGTAAGGGCGAGTTGCGCAACGATCACGTGCCCGCGTTATCGATAGCAGGCGGCACGCGTCGACGGCGAGAATCAATGGAATCTCCTTCTATCCTAGAAGCACCGACGCATCGTCACTATGGGGCCATGGACTCGACTCGTACCATTTCCGAGTTGAAGTCGTCCTTCATCCGGGCGCAAGTGCGGCTTTTGTCTGAAAGCCTCATACCGCCCGAGGACTGGCGACACTATGCATCTGAGGCCACAGAGGATGAGCTGAGCGATAAGGTGGTCGGAGATGCTCTCAAGAAATGTGAGTGTTTGACTTGACGTTACTGCTGTCAAATCACTGGCTTTCATGTTCTTCCCTGTGTCTTCTTTCTACGATATTTCTGTCAGGCCTAACCCGGCAACAGTCAATGCGTCTCTGAAACAGCACAATCGTATCGTTTACTCGTCCCAGGCGGTTCAGCATGTCGCACAGCAAATCGCAAGCCTTTACTGGTCTTCCGTGAATCAGGCGATGCGCGACCGGGGCTCTCTCCTCCAAGGGGTGGAAAAATCCGTGGACCTGTCCAGTCATTTGTGAGCCACAGCTTGGGCCCTTGTGCGGGAAAGGATCATGCGTGTTTGACAGGTCTGACTGTATATCAGGAATATCGCACAACTGCCGTTGGAACTGGAGGACCCAAATGCGAATGATGAGGATCGAGCACGGTAGGGATTACATGAATGGCAGGTTTCAGTTTCATCTGGCTAAACGTGGTACAGATACCAGGAACTACGCGAACAACTGGTGTCCTTGGACAGCCTTCGGAAACAGCGACAGCGGCGGTTGAACCAATTGCGACAGCTACAACGGTTATTAGAACCCTTCCAAAGTCCACAGGATAACATCCAACCGAATTTGGTGACTCGAGATGGGGAGTTGGTTCAGGAACTGGAGAAAATGCGGATGCTTGTTGCGCGTGTAGGAGGTCGGATTGAGCAGGGAAAGAAGAAGCTTAACACTGACGGGCAGAGGGCGTCATCGTATTCGCTAGGAGGGGATGAGAAATTGGAAGCGTTGTTAGATATGACAGAGTGAGTTGAGAGGGAGAGAGGGAGCGAGGGAGCGAGAGAGTTCAGTAGAGCCCATGGAATAACAAGGGTGTGAAAACAAGAAGACCAGTGGACTGCATGCTTAGAGGCTGCATATACAGTACATACCTGTACCATTTGTTTTTCCCCGGAAAAGGTACGGCCGAGACGCGTAGCACAGCTGCATGGAACAGATTGCCCTAGACAATCAATTCACATCAGCATCATCATCAGTAGATCTCAATCACCGACCGACTAACCCTACTACCTTACGGATTTGCTGGTCTAAATTTAGGGGAGAAGGTTTCCAATGCAGTTGGTAGAATTCTGGAAAGGTGCAAGGGGGCAGGCAAATTGAAGTGCAGCTGCATCATCATCATCATCCTCCACCACAGCAGGTGCCAGTGACAGCAAAGAGGGCAAGGGACCTTGATTAGTAGTATTCTTATTTGCGCTGCCCGGCTGCACCTGCTGCTGCCTCTGCTGTTACTGCTGCTTTTCCCTCTTCCTTCTTCTCTTCTTTTTCTCTTTTCTTTTTTGACTTCTCTCGTTTGTCTGGTTATGGTGTTACTTCTATTGTGAGACTCCTCAGATATTCCCCTTGGCGATTATCATCAACTTCACCCCCGATGTTCCTGGCCCTGACCCTGTCCGTGCCTCAACCTTCAGCCCATTCATGAATCGAGATGGCAGAACCCGATGTCTTCACCGCCTCAGTCTGTGGCGCTAACGAGGCTAGTGCTCGGAGTGAATATTCCGGCACTCCGGCGCTTGACCCTTTTGGCTCGAACCTGGTGGTGGTAGACAACACGGAGCGCAATGACGCTGGCCATTGCCAACCGCATCTGGCCTTTTCTTCCCCAGCTTCAGCTCCTGCCCCTGCAGCGGTCGCTTTCCCTGCGCTAGACTTTCCTCTCTTCCCCGAATTCAGCGAATTCATCTTACCCGACCGTCAGATCAAAAGCGAGCCTGTCTCTCCGTCCGGCACCATCAACGCGTCCAAAACCGCATCTGCTCCCAAGACAACCTTCGTTCGTGGGCATCGTCGTCGCTCCACCCACGTTACCCGCTGTGATCTTGAAAAGTTCCGCAAAGAGATCCTCGGCGTAGAGTCGCCAGGATTTGGATTTGACGACGATAACAAGTTTGCAACACCTACCAACCCCGCCCTCGACCCTCACTTTGAAGCTTTGAACCGCGCTTTCGAGGCGGCAAGCATGTCCTTGAACAACAGCGGGGGCATGCCGGGCAGCAATCCTGGTGCGAACATGTATGCCGGCTACGTGGATAACGCCGGCGCCGGTCCGAACATGGCCAACGTACCCCGTCAGTCGATGTCGCCTGCGATGCCACATACCCCTGGTCAGGTCAATGGCGCCGGGCTGCCTGGGATGAACGGTGGAATGCCCATCAATGCGGGTCAACAGATGGATCTTCATCATCTCTACGACATGGTTCTCGAGTTGAGCGAGGTCTTGAAGAATAACCGTGAAACTACGAAGAGTATTGTTACTAGTGCGGAGGAGATTATGGTATGATTCATCAAACTACAGAAGTGGGCGTGGCAATGCTGACGGTCTTAGAAACGTTCTGTTGCAGAAGGAGTCAGCCCGAACATCCAGCAAGTCAATGGCGAACTTTCAGGTCGGTAATTGACCTTCCGGATAATCGCAACCATGCTAATTAGTCCAGCTGCCCGCATCGCGGAACTCGAACGCGCCCTCGCGAAAGAGAAACGTCTCGTCGAAATACTCCGGAACGAACAGGTGGAGAACACAAAACTGATCGGTGAATACGAGGCGGCCGTGGGTGTTATGGTGGAGCAGATTCGCAACTACTGCCAGAACAACAACCTCCACTACCTAGCGCAGAAACGTCACTATAACAACCTCCTCCAAGCCGAGCGTGACTCCCACCTGGAGAGCCGATTGGATCGGGACTACTGGCATGCGCAGACCATGAAATGTGCTGAGATGATCCGCACCGCCTACCGCTTGCGGTGCGAGGAAGAGGAAACCCCAATTCGCATCGTGGCCGGTCTCCAGAATGAAGTGCGTGCCTATCGCAACGCACTAGGCATGGAACCCGAGAAGCCGGAGGAGGAATACGGCTGGGAGATCCTGAAAGACGTCCCTGGCGGTTCCGAGTAACATGGCAGCCTCCGTACCCTGGCGGTATGCTTGAGCTATGACGATGACGACTTGGTTATCGGTTTTAAAAAACACACCACATTGCATAAGGCGTTTTGGAGCAGCACATGTTACTTAGGGATTGTTTACGGGGAAAGATACCCATCTTCGCATAGTTTGTATCGTTGTCTTTCTGCTGGTTGTGGTACGAGGCAGTTACCTCGGACATTCGCACCGGATCTATCACCCAGCCTCAGGATCTGAAAGTTGTTCTTGAGCAGTTTGCATGCATTTTACGCAGCGAAATACTAATTATGCCTGCTTAATTTCTTTTCATTGAACATGGACCTCTACTCTATTCCGTGTAAAACACCTCATCCAGCACCTTCCACCACCCAGGACCCTCAGCACTACCCACAGCGCCGGGAATCGGACTCTCCTGCAAGACCAGATAACGTCAGCACAGACGGCCTCCCACCTACAAAAAGATAAGAGAGAAAGGAAAGGATAATATACCTGCATCCCATCGGTCAAAGCCCACCATTCCCGCACCTTAGGATTCGCCCGCATCCGCTCCATATCCCCCTCGTAGTCCTCCCCGATATACTTGAACGTCGCGAACAATGTGCGGTCGTTATCGAAGAAGATGGAATCTGTTTTCAACCGGGTCAGCCTCAAGCACTAGTCACTTTGCTTTGTGTGCAGTATGTCAAAGCGACAATCCGCTAGTCTCTTCTCATCCTCCTCGGTGCAAGTATCTCGTCTCCCTCAACACTCCCCGGTCCTGTACTGTACTATGCAATGGGGAATAGGTACTGTTCAAGGTGGAGGGGTGGGGGGGGGGAAGGCAACATACAATCCCGAATCCCACACTCGTGGATCTGCCGCAGCACCTCGGGCCACACGTTCGCGTGACATTCTTTGTATGCTGCTACTGCTGAGGGCTTAAGGTGCACGATTTGTGCGATGCGGCGGGCTTGCGGGGACATTCTGGGGGTGGTTGCTGTTGGGTTGGGGGTTTGAGGGTTGTGCTGGGGTGAGGTTGGTTGTCTTTGTTGGTATCGTTGGGATTTATGACTCTGGAGGGTTAGGAAGAGTGATTGAGTGCCGGAGATGAGGTTCGAGTAAGGTAAATAGGGCCGAGGGATGTACTGTACTTGTGTTCTTGTGGTTGGGGTTGTGGTGTGGGGATGGATGGAGGAGGGGTTGTTATGGGTTCGGGGGGTATTCGCCCGAGCGCGGGGATGATCTTCGCTCTTTGCTTGGGGTGCTTGGCGCTGCTGTATACTTGGTGATGGATTGAGTTGTTGGTGGTTTGGGTCTTAGTTGGTTCTATTGAGGGTATTTCATTGTTGGATCAGTTATTGACGCGCAGGAGCATGGTGCTTGCGGCTATATATTCAGTGGCGGTAGCAACTTTTATTGTGGCAGAAGCGCGAACTCACTTAAAGGGCACCATACAGGAAGTCATTAGGAAAGTAATACCGAAAGTTAAACAATAGAAGAGAAGTACACGTTTGGTATCCATCATAAATCAGTCATCATCAATAAACCAGAAAACATTCCAACCCGCAACAACAGCTCTACCGTTGCCCAACTTGGCTCTTCGAGACTGGTCGGATCCACGACACAACCACGTTCGCTCCTATCGATATCGCACCGATGATCCAGAGGGACCTGGAGTAGTCCGAGCCATTGTAGCGGAATATGATTGCAAAAATGATGCCGCCAAGGTTTCCCATTCCGCCAACAGCGCCGGAGACCACACCTACATCATTCATATTAACATCTCATGTTGCACAAAATTGGTGATAGAGCCAAGCTTACCATTAGCGAAAGGATAGACATGCGGCACCAAGGCGAAGTTGGCGCCATTACACGACTCCAAGAAGAATGCAAGCCCGGCGATGAGGCCGAACATGGTGGATTCGGATTTGGGGTTCGTCAAGCCGATCGCGAGTTCGAACGCACCCATGACAACACCCAAGAACACGAGCAGGATCTTCTTCGACCACAGGTTCTGTGTGCGACGGAGCAGGAGGTCGGCAAGGAAGCCACCGGCGGGCCGGAAAATGACGTTGAGCAGGCCGAACATGGCAGCCCACTGTCCAGTCTTGGTCTGACCCATGTGAGGGAAGTTTGCGGAGTAGTACTCGCCCAGGTTGGAGTTAATGGCAAGCTCCGCACCAAAAGAGCAGGCGTAGGGGATAGCTACTGCGGCAGTAGATAGACTGAACAGTACCCCCATGGCCTCCTTGCGTGTAGGGGCTATGACCGTCTCAGTTCGGAGGGCGTCAAACTCGGCGATGGTTTGAGAATCGGAGCCAAGAGACACTGGGGTTTGTGCGCCCTTCTTCTCCACATCTGCCATGACATTCGTCATGGATGGCGTGCTGGAAGGCTGGTTGGATATTGCGTCCGCTTGAAGGTCGACAATATTGCCTTCCGACTCGGCAGCCATCTCGCGATCCCAGAGGTGACGCTCTGACCATTTCCCCGTCGGTGTGTCTTCGCACAAGAACAGCATTGCCAATGCAATGACAACGATGATAATGAACGGGACAATGAAGGCCACTCTCCAGGCTTTGTGGGACGACAGGCCTTGGGAGTAGACCAAAGAGTCGTAGACGGCAGGCATCACAAAGCTAGAATGCGTTAATCAGTGTTGATCAATGGAGTCGGATAAACTTAAGGCCTCAACTTACTATGTAATGCCACCACCAGCATTCCCCCAACCTCCAGCAAGGGCATTGGCCATCCCGACAATCTTCTTGTCGAAGAAGCCCGTGCACCAAACCTGACAAGGCACGAACGTGCCTCCCAGTATACCAATGAAGAACCGTAGCGCAATCAAGCCCTTAGGGGTGGTGACCAGACCAGCCATAGCAGTGGGAATGGCACCGCTGAGCAACAGTCCAATGAACACCAGCCGCGGTCCATACCGGTCACAGAGTGGTCCTGCCACAAACCGCACCAGTAGTCTAAGCAATTGGTCAACTGCCTGCTCCGAGTGTATGGGAACGTGTACCTTACGTTGCTAGCAGGGCAACAATGTTCGAGTTTGCCACGTCTTGCTGTGTCATGTGCAAGTCTTTTCGAATCGTGACAGTCAACTAGACACATTGGACAGGTCAGTTTTGATCGTCAAAGCTGATTGACCTGGAAGGCTTTCCAACTTACCAGCGGTGGGAAAGCGTACCACGAAAGGAACGCAACCATGAAACCGAGCCATGAAAAGAAGAAAACCCGTCCATATCGATCGAATGGGTTCAGCACAGGGATAGACAGGGCTTTGCGATTACTTGGATTGATATCGGGTGAGGCAAAGAGCAGTTTGACAAACTTCATGGTCAGTCACACCTTATGTGCAGGTGTCTGATTGATGAGTTAGGGAGAAAAGTTGAGATACAGGACACAGGAGAAATGATAGAACTATAGATTGAGCACGAGGGTATCACAGCAAGCAACACCACCAGGGTGCGGAAAAGAGAATAGGCCAATGGACCGCTATGCAAAACAGCGGTGCTATGGGTCCGGAGGTTTTCCTGTATTCTAGGACAGAGGAGATGTTTAGATCCAGACTAGGAGGAAAAAACTTGAACCTCATATATAGACCATGACTAGAGTCATATCTCCAAGGCATGAAGGTATGAACACAGGATGATGCGCCTGGCGAACGACCGCCATGTCAGAGCTATATCTCTATCTCCTAGGAGATATTCGGATGAAAGTCATGACTGTGTTAACTCGAGATTAGGACACATGCCCAGTCGCATATCTCCCAGCACCTCGTAACAGTCCTGGGCAGTGCGGCAGCAGGAAAATCATAATCGAGGCGATGATAATGAAGCCAATCTAGACGGCGACGCGCAGCGATCCACTCGTCGGACGGCTCTAACATGATAGTGGATACTGCAGTTGGTAGCGCAGCAGCACAGTACTAACCGGAGATGACCTCAGGGTTCGTGGTATGAAGCGAAGATCCAGACCCATTTCCTTGCCTCCATGTACAGAAGTGGCCAAAGGACGTGATTCATCAGGCCAAGAGATAAGGCACAGGGACTCTGCACGGCAATTGAGTTGTTGATAGGCATGGCGCTGATACTGAGGCTGATAAGGAAGGAAATCTGGAGGAATAACTCCGCGGAGGTTCTCTCAGAACCGGCGAGGCAGGTTATCTATCAGTATCAGCAGCGAGACGGCACTGACAGGCCAAGGTAGCCGGTAAGTGGGCCTCCGTCCTGGTGCCCATCTCCATCGGCAGCCAGAAAAATTTTCGCCATGAATGGATCATCCCGGTTCTTGGTTTTGCTTGACTCGGTCAACTTGCCTAACCTGCTATAATCTCTGCCCCAACTTAGTCCCGACTAGTCGCTGATCGACTTTGCTGAATGGCCATCCATAAGAAATGGGAGGAGCACTACGTCTCCATCGATGGGGACTTCCCAAAGGCGGGTGTTTCGGAGCGGTGTCGGGAAAAGCTCTGAAGTCAGCTCATTTTGCATTCATTATTTGCAAATACCCCGTGGAGGTAAGTAGATTGCCAGACCCCACAGAAAGAGAATCCGAGATTCCGGAAGCGTATCTGAGTGGACGATAGGGGGAGGGTAATCTGAGTGGTGTATTGATAAGGAGGAAGTTTGTTTCTGTTCCATGGATCGGGAAGCCCGAAAAAAAATAAAAGGCCCAAAGCGGCAGTGGAGATCAGGTGCCACCAGCCCGCCAGCCCGCGCCTGCACAGACCATGAGATGGGCTGATGCTCGCGAGGCACTGGACGGCGGCCCAATAAAAAGCTCCTCATTAGAGCAGCGGCCAACGTGATGCCCTGTACCCTAATCTCCTACTAATACCATTAATGCAGCACTGCCATTGTCTTTAACGAGGTAATACTATCAACATGAATAGAATAACAGCATATCCTTGAGACAAAGGGATAATAAACGCACAGGAGTGTGTGCGCAGCACATCAATGTTCATGTCACGCCCGGCGGAAAGTGCTCATGTCTATAGTGAGGTTTCTGGGGTCGACCTCCTTATCCCTTGTCATGTAGGAAAAGGATTAAGTCCTAGCCTCTAGCTAAATCGCCACGCAGAAATTCAAAATTGCGAACATAAATTGGTATCCCTACTTTACAGAGCTAATGTATAACATCCCAGTATAAGCACTAACGACTTTCAAGAACCAAACGTATCCTCATAACGGCAACATACAAACACTACCAGTCAATCACTCCAGGCGGTGCTGCTCGCTTACTTAACGGTGCCTTCTCACCCAACTTCTTTCCGCGAAGTCCCCGGTATTTCTTGTCGTGCTTTTGGAATGGATCTGGTGCTTCTCCCTTCTTCACCTTCCACTTCTCGGTCCCCAGGACGGAGTCCAGCTCATCCACCGGAGGCAGCTTCAAGTAAACCCAACCATCATCACGCTCCTCAACGGGAAATGTGGCAATATTCATGCTCTCATCGTTAGAGCAGCGGCCCGCCTGCTCCCCGTTGAGCTCAAAGTTGCGTTTGTGATTCGGACAGGACACCCAGTACTTGCCTGCATCATCGTCGCCAATCAAGCCATCTGATAAGACGAAAGCACGTTTATGAGGGCACATTTGCTGTGTCGCATAGAACTTGCCTTTGATCTTGAAGACAGCAAGTTGCGTATCCCCGCGTTTGAGGTTTGCGGATGTGATTCCATCGGAGAAGTGGTCTGCCTTGATCATAGGCTGCCATGAAAGACTAGACCATTGGTGGCCCTTGAAGTCCGCCTTTGCGGGCTCATTAGACCAGTAGGTGGGTCTTTCTTGGCCACGCTCCTTGATGACCTCCACAGTTTCAACCGTCTCATCTGTATTGGCGAATTGTTGAAAATGTTTGCGCCGCTTCGGATCCCGGATTGTTTCCGTCCATTCGCAAAAATAGCCGTCCACTAGCTCCTGCATTTGCTGCTCCATTTCCGCGCCAATCCCTAACTTGTCATCAAGTACCACTTCTCGTAGGTACTCAATTCCACCTGGAAGGTTTTCAATCCACCGCGCTGTCCGTTGCAGCTTATCCGCCGTGCGGATATAGAAAATGAGATACCGATCAATGAGAGGGATAACTTTCTCTGGGGGCACATCTTTCGCTAAGATCTCAGAGTGCCGGGGTTTGGCACCTCCGTTGCCTCCAACAAAAATATTGAAGCCTTTCTCTGTGGAGATTAGGCCAAAACTAGCGGATGTCAGCCCTTGATTTGTGACCGGGAGCGCGGGAGTGCACTTACTCCTTGTTTTGTGCTTCAGCGCATTCTCGTACGCATCCAGATACAGCGCCCTTCAGCTTGTGAGGAGACCGAAGACTCTTGTAGCGCTCTTCTAGACGAATAGCCATTCCAACACTGTCTCCATTACCGAAACGGCACCAGGTCGTTCCGACACAGCTCTGTGACAAACGAGAGTGTCAGTCATCTAAAACGGATCAGCAGGGATTACAACGCTCTTACCTTGATGGTACGCAGGGACTTCGCATAAGCATGGCCACTCTCCATGCCCGCGTTCACGAGTTCTGTCCAGATGTCGAGAAGATCCTGCTTCTTGGCTCCGAACATATCGATACGCTGGCCTCCAGTGATCTTGCAGTAAAGATTGTACTTCTTTGCCACTTGTCCAATGGCAATCAGCTTGTCTGCAGTGATTTCGCCTCCTGGGACGCGAGGTACCACTGAGAATGTCCCGTTCCGTTGGATATTGGCAAGGAACCTATCATTCGTCTCCTGCAAATCATGGTATCCCTTATCCATGATATGGGGATTGAAGAGACTAGACAGGACGGATGCGATCGCGGGCTTGCACAGTTCGCAGCCAAGGGACTCGGGGTTCTTTCCCACCGCTCGCATTACATCTTCGAATGTCTTCAGCTGTTTGACAGCAATAATGTTGTAGAGATCAACGCGTGAATGTGGGATATGAATACACACTGCGGTGCGATTAGCTTGAGAATTTCTGAAGAGAGGAGAATAACGTACGGTTATTGGAGACTTCTTGGCCCATGTCCAGCATGGTCTTGTTGAAGATCGACTGCACTAAGGGCATGCAGCCGCCGCAACCGGTCCCTGCTTTAGTGCACGACTTAACTTCGCTGATGGTTTTGCAGGTGCCACTCTTGATCTTGGCAACCAAGTCCCCTTTGGTGACATTGTGACAAGCACAGATCTGGGTACTGTCGTCACTGTTCACCCATTAGCCAGATTTGCGGGTAAACGTTGGGAATAGAAATACTCACAGGTCGTCCCCATTCTCCTCTCCATCCTTTTGGGCACCCAAAATGAATTGGCTGGGAGGCACCTCTAATTCCTTTTGCATCTTGACCATTTGGTTCAGTTTGAGATAATCTCTCGTATCTCCGATCATCATTCCACCGAGCAAGTATTTACCATCCATGGTGAACAGGTATTTCTTGTAGACACCACTAAAGGGGTCTTTGTAGGTAAGTGCTTTTACCAACGACTCACTGTCATTATCGCTGTCTTTCCGGTCAGTTTGAATCGACGGCCTTTGACCAGGAAGAAACTTGGGCCCATCCCTGTCAGCGAAGAAATCACCAAAGCTGGCAACATCTACCCCTAATAGCTTTAGTTTAGTGCTAAGGTCAGGACGTTTGAAGCTTTTTGGCTCTTTATCGGGATTCGTCAGGTTGTATGCCAGAATATCGGCCATTTCGATACCCGGAGCGATGATACCGAACGTTTGATTTTCCCAGCTTGCGCATTCGCCGACAGCATAGATATCCTCAACGGATGTCTGCAGACTACAAGGCTCGATTAGATCGAGGTCAGTCCAAGAAGTGTACACGAACATACCTTTCATTGATGACAAACCCTCCTCGCCCCGCACATTGAATGCCTGCGGTTTGCCCTAATTCATCCCTGGGGTGGACTCCGATCTGAATTGATTTGTTAGCGCAAAAGGACATGAGGAATAACATAAAGACAGAAGCATACCGCAAAGCATATACAGCAACAGCTGATTTCTTCACCATCCTCGAAGACGATCCCCGTGACATTGTTGTCAGCGTCTGTCTTGATCGTCGCTACGCGCTTCTGGTGCAGCACATCCAAGCCCAGCTCTCTGATTTTGCGTGTCACAAGTGTTCCGGCATCTCCGTCCAGCTGTCTGGCCAGCACCCACTTGTTACGATCAATGAGTTTCACGTTTCCGAAGTCACCAAGATCAGTCATGGCTTTGGCTGCTTCCAGGCCTAACAAGCCCCCACCAACAGTAACTCCTGTCTGGCCTTTGTGCTTCGAGGCAAACTCAATGAGCTTCTCGAGGTCGGAAATTGTCCGATAAACGAAGATCCCTTTAGCATCGTAGCCTGGAGTATGGGTAGGAAGGACGGCATCGGAGCCAGTAGCAAGGACAAGGATATCGTAAGTGATAGTATCTCCTGTTGACGTCTTGACTTGCTTGAGGCGGGGTATGATCTCCGTTACCCGCGTGTTGAGATGGTAGTCAAAAGATCGATCTTTGACAGAACCATACTGATCGACTTCAGTCACCATCTATAACTACTATCTCAAACATGGATAACTTACCCATTCTGTCGGCTCAAGGTACAGGTCCTCGATCTTGCGGTGCTCAAAGAATGAAGAAAGCCCAACCCGATTGTATGCGACATGCGGCTCCTCCCCGATAACAAGAATATCATATTGCCGACGGTCCGCATCTTGCTTGATGATCTTTTCGCTATTGTGAGACACGAGCAGTCAGCACAATTTCCACTCATACCATGCACCCTGGATGACGATAACATACATCAACGAGATAGCAACCATTCCCAAGCCTACCACCACAATCTTTTGACGTGCACACGAGTCATGTCTGCGCGGCTCTGTATTGGTGGTAGAATCCATGCCGGATGACGTTAGGGGGGAGACATCGTGAATGACAGGGTCGCTGCTTTTGGATCCGTCCAGCAGAGGCATTGTATTGGATGACGCAAATTCAGGAGATTCTGGTATTGCGGCAGATTACAGAAAATTCCCAGAAGGCTGTCTTCCATACCACCAAATGGCCAAGGAGCCTTCTCCTCATATACTAGGGCACATCTCCTGATGATTTCCGCCAAGTTGCTGGTAAGCGCCCGGCGACAGATTGCCTGACTCGAGCCATCGTCTTTCTCCGTGGCACTCCCTTCAGAGAAAAACTATGAGACAATTAATTGGGCCAATTCCGGGCCACAGCCAGGGGTCTTTGCGCCCCGCCAGGTCGATCATGGAAGCCACCGTTCATGGGTTAATGGGAACAAGCCGTGGATCAGGGAATAGGAGCGAATGGATAAGGGGAAGGTACTGGGGGGAGTAAGCGCCGAGGCACCCTTCTAGACCCAACGAGGGTAGAATGGGGCAAAGGGTGAAGACAGGGTTGGATTGCCACACATGCACTCACATGTCTCCGCGGAGAAAGAGCAGGGAATGGGTTGGGTGATAGTGAGGATAGATAGCACGGCCAGATATTGATGGTTTTACCAACAATAGACCCAAAGCTTATCGGTCAGGCTGATAAGCAAACTGGATCCACCCGACTGGATAAATAACGCTTCTTTATGTAAGCTATGCACATGCTTAGTTTATGCTTCGGCATCGGCTCCTTGCAGGAACTCCTCCTGCTTTGATTTATCCCGATCTAAATATCTCCTCCATTCCTCCCTCGACGCACGAGGACCATGATGAGGTGCCACAAATGGGCCCATCTAGCTTCATTCCACTCTTGCGGCCGAATCGGCCTTTCGATGTCAGAACTCGTAATCAGTCCGATGGGGTGGTGGACCAAGTGGATCTCCCACTACTAACCATCCGGCACCGGCCTTGTTCATCACTCTTTTTCGGGTTCTCATTTCATTCTCCGCGGCCAAAATGAGTCTTTTTACCTTTCTCCTCATTGGAGTGCTTTTTTCTCTTCTTCTCTTAGTTCGTTATCTGCCGCTATCGTTCACTATGTCATGGTTTGGGGGGTTTTCTTCTAATATTACTATTTTATTACTATTTATCCGCCCCCGTTATATTGCGCCAGAGCAGAACAAGTTTGTCTTGGGAGGCGAAGAAGGACTGGACTTCGGAACAGGCTTCCTCTGCTCCTTGCATTTATCTTCTGTATCCAATCTTTCGCGTTCAATTGTCTCGTATATACCTCACTTTGAATCCCCCGGAAAGACCCCCTTCTGATCCCGTGCAACTATTTGCAGCAAACGAAACTGTTGCCCTTCTCCGTGGGTAGGCCAGATTCCGCAGGCTTACTGTTTCCTGTTAAGCTAATTCAGACGCCGAATCCCCATAGTGCCCCCTTGGAATTCCAAGCTGTGCCCTGATTATCGCTGATCATTTGGCCTGCACCTGTCCGAGGCTTTCTTCTTCATATCTCATTCCTATGGGCATCTGACCTGTCGCCTGAAACCTAGGCTTGCTGGCTCCTTACAATAGCTCTTGTCCTAACTCTTCCTTTGGCTCCTGCATTGAGCATCCCCAATTGCATCATGGCGACAGTCACCGAAGTGAGGACAGAGGTTCTTGCTCTCCCGCTCAAGTCGGGTCCCATCACAGTAGATCAAGAGGAGATTTCGAGGTTCGACCTTTCAGATTTACCGCTACCACCGCCATCCAAGGAACCTACGGAGGTTCTCAATGTGGATAAACCTACGCCGGATTACCACGTTCCTCGAGACCCTCGTTTGATCCGGCTAACGGGTGTGCACCCCTTTAATGTCGAACCACCCCTCACAGCATTGTACAATGAAGGTTAGTGGCTCTTGTCATCTTCCTTTGGCTACAGAGCGTCCCATTCTGATATACACTCAAAGGTTTCTTGACTTCGCCGGAGTTGTTCTACGTTCGAAACCACGGTCCTGTTCCTCTGGTCAAGGATGAAGACATCCCTAATTGGGAGATAAGTATTGAAGGGTCAGTACTATATCCCACGGAAAAAAAAGCACTGTTAGTTGACCTGAAACCAGTCTGGTTGAGAAGCCACTCGTTTTGAACTTCCGTCAGATACTGCAGCAATACGACCAGATCACTGCCCCCATCACCATGGTGTGTGCAGGAAACAGACGAAAAGAACAGAACACCGTACGGAAATCCAAGGGCTTCTCATGGGGCTCGGCCGGCTTATCAACGGCGCTCTGGACTGGTCCTATGATGGCAGACATCCTGCGCAGTGCTAAGCCTCTTCGCAAAGCCAAGTATGTTTGTATGGAGGGAGCGGATAAACTGGTATGTTCTCGTCAAGAATGAAAAGCTATTGACCACTAATGACTCTGCGGTAGCCCAACGGATACTATGGCACATCCATCAAGCTCAACTGGGCCATGGACCCTAATAGAGGAATCATGCTTGCTCATAAGATGAACGGGGAGTCACTTCGTCCGGATCATGGACGCCCGCTCAGGGTGGTTGTGCCAGGCCAGATCGGTGGCCGGAGTGTCAAGTGGCTGAAGAGGCTGATACTCACCGATGCACCGAGCGACAACTGGTATCATATCTATGATAACCGCGTTCTGCCGTAAGTCCTGCAGTCACCAAATAAGCATACCCACTGGCTCACCATCTTCAGGACAATGATCTCACCTGAAATGTCTGCGAATGATCCCAATTGGTGGCGTGATGACCGTTATGCGATTTACGATCTCAATGTCAACTCTTCTGTGGTATATCCTCAACATAAGGAGATGCTTGATCTCTCGTCGGCTGGACCGACGTACACTCTCAAAGGGTATGCGTATGCAGGAGGTGGTAGAAGACTCACACGAGTTGAGATCTCCCTGGACAAAGGGAAAAGTAAGGCTGTCGCCTGGTACTTTCTGCTCAATAAAAGCTAACTGATTTTTAGCATGGCGGTTAGCAGACATCACATATGCTGAAGACAAGTACCGCGAGTTCGAAGGCGATCTATTTGGTGGTAAAGTTGACATGTTCTGGCGCGAAACATGCTTCTGCTGGATTTTCTGGTCTCTTGATATTGCTGTACCAGAACTTGCAGACAGTGACGCCATTCTCGTCCGCGCAATGGACGAGGCCCTAAGCATCCAACCTCGCGACATGTACTGGTCTGTCTTGGGGATGATGAACAACCCCTGGTTCCGGGTGACCATCACCAAGGAGAACGGAATGCTCTTTTTCGAGCACCCCACCGATCCTACTGGAGCTGGTGGCTGGATGGAGCGTGTCAAGAAGACGGGAGGTGATTTGGCAAATGGCAACTGGGGCGAGCGTCACGAAGGTGAAGAACCAGCAGTCCCTGAGGTTGAAAAGGAGATCAACATGAAGAAAGAAGGTGTGACCCGTATGATTGGCTTGCAAGAGTTCAAGAGCAATTCCAGTGAGGAAAAGCCTTGGTTTGTCGTCAATGGCGAGGTGTACGACGGCACCGCCTTTCTTGAGGGTCACCCTGGTGGAGCTCAGAGCATCATCTCGTCCGCTGGAATCGACGTCTCGGAGGACTTTCTTGCGATTCGTAAGTCAGCTTGTTGTTTTTCAGAAGCCGTTCGAAGACTAACATATCAGCAGATAGCGAAACAGCCAAAAAGATGATGCCCGACTATCACATTGGTACGATGGATAAGGCCTCCGTGGAGGCGCTCAAGCAGAACGACGCACCAAAATCAGACGAACCGCGCGCCGAGTTCCTTCAATCTCGATCATGGTCCAAGATAACACTCACCAAAAGAACGGACGTATCGTGGGACACGCGTATCTTCACTTTCCAGCTGGAACACGAAAAGCAGACTTTGGGTCTACCCATCGGTCAACACCTTATGATCAAGGTTCCAGACCCCTCCTCCAGCAACGAGTCTATCCTCCGCTCGTATACCCCCATTTCTGAAACCAGTCAACAAGGGACGATGGATTTGCTGGTCAAGATCTATTTTGACACTCCCACACAGAAAGGTGGTAAGATGACTACTGCCCTCGAGAAACTACCATTGGGGTCTGTCATCGACTGCAAAGGCCCGACGGGCCGGTTTGAATACCTTGGCAACGGCAAGGTTCTTGTCGGCGGCAAGGAGCGATTTGTGCGCTCATTCAAGATGATTTGTGGAGGAACCGGGATCACGCCCGTCTTCCAAGTCCTGCGTGCTGTCATGCAGGACAAGGAGGACCCCACCACCTGCATTGTTCTAAACGGCAATCGACAAGAGGAGGACATCCTCTGCCGCGCAGACCTCGATGCCTTTGCAGCGATGGACGACAAGAAGTGTCAGATCATACACACCTTGACTCAGGCTCCCGATAGCTGGACCGGTCGTCGGGGCCGCATCGCGGAAGATATGCTCAAAGAGTTTGCCGTCAATGACGGGGAGAGCATGGTTCTTGTCTGTGGCCCGGAAGCCATGGAGAAGTCAGCCCGCAAGATCCTGCTGGCACAAGGATGGGCAGAGGCAGATCTGCATTTTTTCTGATTTTGGCCTATTTCGATAAAGTTGTCAGTAGAACTATCTAGTATGGTATAATGTCCGTAGCATGAAAATACGAGAATGTTACCATAGATGCATACACGTCAGCCTGTAGATGTCACTAGGGATTCTACCAGCTAGCAGCAAGATTTCCACCCCGTGCCGGACGGCTCTACGCTGTAGAAAATTAGACATGCCAAAGGCAAACACAGATCTGGCAGACCTTCTTCGCCATACTTATCTGTAAGTCCAAACCACACTGAGTCGCTCATCGCCGACAGCCTCCATCCTTGTCCTTGTACCTTTCGACGATCACTTCCCGACAGCCATCAATCAAGCATCGTCATTCTGAGACTCAAATCAAGAGACTCTGTTATCCTATAGTGCTATTTGACCGAATCCTCTATCATTTCAGTCGGCTTCACATCAATACAATGGCCCTCAGAATATTACCCTGTGAATCTCGAGCTATGAGCAGAGGAATACAAGTAACAGCTTACCTCCTAGCTGATTCCTCGCCTTAGATACCATTGGCTCAGTACTGGCAACGCAGAACTGCATCGATCCCTCAAGCCAGAGTTACATCTTGATGAATGCCTGCTGTCCAGATACAATCATTGGTAATCAGCATATGTTGTTGTCTGGACGATTCCACGGCATGACTTCTTTAGTGCCTATTCCATCTGAGTCTTTTGCGACGACACTTTCGCTCTGGAAGACCTACGGAGGGACTTCGACCTCCAGGCCCCACAGCCGTCCTGGCGCTGCGAAGTGCATAGCCAGGGGTGATCGCAACCACTGAAGCTATAAATCTTGAGTCTGATACAGCTGTGACGCATCACATGCTCCGCAATGCTTGATTGTTCTGTCATTCCTGCCTGTACTGCTGCACCTTCAACTAAGAGAAGGTTGGCTGAATCCATCACAGTTGAGAGAGATGAAGAGGTGTTTGCAGTTCTCAAGAGCTGGGGAGGTTCGTGATTCGAGAAGCAGGGAGGTGTCACCGAAGTCATCCAATCAACCTATTTACATTCACCAACCCCCAAATCAGCTCGCCTAGATCAGAAATACATGACTGATATCACCGCCCAGCCTATCCAGCACTTCAATAATACGCCTTCACCTCCAACCGCGCCAACAGATGATCAAATACACTCCTCGGGCCCTCCCTCTCCAACGATCGCGCTCCGAACGACAATTCCGGAGCATCATGAACCCCCTCCACCCCTCGCAGATACGCCAGAAACCCAGCGACCTGCTTCCGAAACATGACGAACAACCTCTTAACCTCCTCGACGGCCTCACCCCTCACGCCCTCCCCACCATCCACCCTCGACAACGGCGCAAACTCCAAAATCGAGCCAAAGCACCCATCCAACCATCTCCTCCCCTTGTCTACGACCCCCTGATCCGTGTCTTTCAGGAACATCGCCCCAAGCATCTCATCCAACACCCGCTCGTGCATCTCCCGGAGCCGCTGCACAGACCCCGCCGCCTCGATCGTCCCGTCGATATCCCCCCGCTCCAGACACGCCTCCACCCGCGCGAGCCGGTCCTGGAAGCGCGTCCACGCGGCCCCGACGGCCACGTGGAAGCAGTAGTCGCTCACCGCGAGCACGAAGTGCTGCGCCTCGATCCGGAAGCGCTGGTAGATGTTGTGTGTGTCGCCGGACAGCGAGATCCGGGCTGTCGAGTCGCGGATTAGCGTCTTCACGACTGAAACCATGCGCTGGAGGCGGAGAAGGTGTTGGAAGAGGATGTCGTATTTGGTCAGTGAGGTCGGCGTGAAGATCGTCGCGAGGACCGGCGTCGCGGGGGTGTAGATCAGGCGGAGGAAGTCGAGCGCTTCGAGCGCGTGCGGGTTCTTCGCGCGTTGGATCTCGGCTGGGCTGAGGGAGCGGATGGAGAAGCTGAGATGGGTGTGGGGTTCCGGTTTGTTGGTGGTGGTGGTGGTGGATGAGGAGAAGGAGAAGGAGGATTCCTCGAGAAGGCCGATGAGGACGAGGCGGAGTTCGGAGCTGGCGGGCGGCCAGGTTTCGCGACTCCGGGTTCCCAACCGGAGACCCGTGTGGACGGCGGTGCGGACGACGCCGTGTTTGCGCTCGCCACTCGTCATTTCTGGGTCGAAGAGGGCGTGCGAGAGGCGGGTGGTGAAGAAGCCATCCCCTAATAGTTGGAAGCGCCATTGGAGGGTGAGATGGGTGCGTAAGTTGTGTTCTTTGAAGAGCATGTGGAGGCAGGAATAGTCGATTAGGATGGCCTGAGAGGATAGGAGCGGCGCGAGGGAAAGGTAGGGGGAAGATGTCAACTCGGGGCTTAGGTCGTGGCTCTGTGAGTGCGGAGACTCAAGGTATACTGGTTGGGCTTCTTCGATCAGGCGTCCGAGTCGATTTTGCGATAGAGCTGCCTCTTCCGGTAAGAGTCCTGCTGTCTTTGAAGACCTGTCGATATCAAAGAGTTCAAACGTTCCCTCGATCTCGCTGGACTTCTCGGGCGTCAAAGCATCAATTGTCCGAGTGGCGTGTGGTTCGAGTGATTCACCTTGATTGTACTTCAAAATTGCAGAACGAAGCCTCGCCTCATACTCGGATGCTTTGCTCTGAATCCTTTCGATATCCAACCACGTGCCAGCACAGTCCAGCTCAACAGAATCAGCACGGTAAGTTGCATGGCTTGCAATAGGATGTTGCGGGTGGGTCAGCTTAAGAAGCCGCAAACTCCGTCCAGTTTCAAAGATAAGCTGTGCTTGATCCGGTGGGACAAAAGAGGGCATCAGGTCAGGCAGGAATCTATAGTCAACTCTTGTGGCCTTGGATGAGAACCTATGGCTGTCCTCAAGCGTCTCACGAAGCGCAAACGCTCTCCCGCTGGACGCTAACTCGATTGAAGTCGATGTCTCAGGGCGAAACCCAATCCAGGTTTCCACATAAGTAAGCCAGGGCTCCATGACCCAAATGACAATCTGCCGAAGGAGAGCCTCCATTTGGCCGTACACTTGCGCGAAGTGTGCCGCTCGTTCAAGGACAACGGAAATCAGTTCGGCCTCAGACACGGCTCCCTGGACAGCGTCAACTATGTTCGCCAGAACATGCACTAGATCCCCGCATTGTCCGAAGAGGCTCTTGACCTGGAGAAGAGAAGCAATATAGGTCGCATGTCTGGCAAGCTGCTTTTCAAGGGTATAGATGATAACTGCTGCAGCGCTAGAGAAAGCGCCAAGCGTCGATAGCTCATTCGACTTGACAGGAATCTTATCCACAAAGCGTCGGATCTTCTGCATCTTGGTCCCGCACTGGATCAAGTCGTTTGTCACGGCATTTAGAGTAAGAGCGGTTACACCGGAGATGCGAAGATTGCTGTGCACAGCCTCGAATACCTGACGTTGTTCATTGTAGCGGAAAAATATGGAACCCCAGCCTAGTCCGAGTCTGAACAGAGCCTGAAAAAAGGCATCATTACGAACAATGGATGTCCTCTCGGTAATGTCGTTCTTGGCATCATTGTGTGCCAACGCCGCGTCGAAGCCTTTTGCGCCGGACTCGCTAAAGTATGCGGATACTGACTCGCGATGCGTTCGATCCAGGAACTTTTCCCAAGACCGGAGAGCAACCCCATTGTTCGGTTTGTGCAGAACTGTATCCAGAGCCCAAATGTCTTCAAAAGATTGCTCTTCATCTTTCGCACGTTCCTTGTCGTCATCTTGATCTAAGCTCGTTCCAAAATGACTCTCACTCGAGGTATCCAGCGTCGGCAGCAGTGCGGGTTCCGGATCAGAGAAGTCGGTGTCGAACACATCGAGGTCCGGTATTCGAGGCGCATCTTTATCGAATATATTGAGCGGTAACTTGAAAACTCCCCCGGAGAGATCTATTCAATGTTTCAGGTAGTCAGCCTCGCCCGCGCCCAGCCTTGTCGCAACGATCGCACGCACCTGGTAACTTCTCATCCCACGGGAAAGATTCCAACGGCTGCAGACATTGCAGGGTGAACTCGGAGATCCTCCACAGGCCCTCGCTGGAGAACGGGTCCCTACTGTACTCCTCCGAGTCCATTTTCACCAATTAGACACGCGATCGCCCGCAACGGCCCTCAGCGCAAGCTTACCCAAAACAAAAGTGACTGTCGTCATGGAGTTGCGACGCGTTGACAGCGCGAGATCATGCCTCACTAAGACCCGAAATGGGTTAGTTCCTCCCCAGGCTACGCCCGGGCCACCGCTTGTTCGGGAAACCGAAGCGGCGGCCGCGCAGACTGGAAGGAATTCGCCCGCAGCTAAGCTGCGTCTGCAGAGCAACAGCAAAAGCTACTTGATCACATCTTGATTGCCCCTCTCCCCTCGGTGACCTCGTCGATCCGCTTCGTTTACACGCACAATCCACATCCAATCGCCATGCCCCCCCGCAAGAAAGCCAAGCTCACACCCCCAGGCGGTACCAGCGAACCCTCCTCCGCAAGCGCCGCCCCGGGGGAAAGCCAGCCGACAGCGGATTACGACCCGGTCACGGACCCTTGGACAGACGAGCAGGAGACGGCCTTATTGAAGGGACTGATCAAATGGAAACCCGTCGGTACGTCGGTCAAGCTTCCCACCCCTTTCCAATCAATGTCTTCTCCGAGCGTCGCGATCTGTTGCTGACCCTCGACATTACCTACCTCTCAGGCATGCACAAACACTTCCGCATGATCGCCATCTCCGAGTTCATGAAAAGCCAAGGATACGCGCCCGCCAACGCAGAACATACTCGAATCAACGGGATCTGGAAAAAGCTCGGAACGCTGTACAATCTGCCCGCGCTGGATGAACGTGTGGGTTCCCAATGCCCCTCAGCTAGCTGTTTCCGTCTGCCACACAACACACCCCACTAACCAGGCTTATATGTGTTCGATAATAGGAAGATTCCCTGATCACCGATACCTCCGATGAAGTGGACGGCACCCGAGAGCTCTACTGCCCGTTCGAGCTGCCCGAGGACGAATACGGCGAGCTGATGTTCGAGCGTAGGTTGGCGATGGAGGGATCCCCGTCGCCGGATCCGAGCGGTCCTGCGGAGTCGAGACGAGGGAGCACGGTGGCTGATACGGATGGTGCGTTTTTAAATTGGAACCAACCCTGTCCCCCAACCCAACTTCAAGCGCTGGAGCTCCCGATTGAGTTTCTGAATATGTACTGACTGTTCTTCCACACGCTATAGAACCCCGCTCGTCTCCCGCGCCATCCCGAGGCAGGAAACCCGGCCGCGTTGGACGACAAGCGGGCCGTGGGACGCGCTCGTCACGGTTCCAGGTGGAGGTCAAGCCCGCCGAGAAAGGGTCGGGGAATGGCGAGGAGGAAGGCGAGTCTGCAGAGGAGTCGGAGGAGGGCGACGATGACGCCTCTGATGCTGGGAAGGATGATAGCGATGTCGACGATGAGGCCGATGGCGGCTCGCCTACCACCCGGAACACACGCGCCCAGACCTCGCGTTCGAAATTGAAGGAGAGGAAGGGCGCGGGCGCGGGCACGGGCACTAGACGCGGCGGCCGGAGACGCCAGGCTTGAGGATATCGCCCCGTCTGGGTTTGCGTTGCTTTTCTCTCTCTCTCTCTCTTTCTTTTATCATTGCATGGATTGATACCTGGTGCTTAGGAGTTGGCGTTGAGGTAGGGGTTTATGTGTCAATGTACTATTACGGTTTGCTTGTTGCGATGTTGGTGGTCTAATGGAATACACAGCCGAATGTTGATTCTGTATTGACTGAGACATGGTCTCAATACAGACTTCAAGGGTGTTGAATGTCACTGTCATTGTACTGTACATGCACTCACATATACCAAGATCCAAAAATACAAGGAGATAATATAGTATCGACATACAATGGGAGGACGTATAGGAAATGGGAGTACACATTTAGTCTAGTCATTCACAGGCTAAAGGAAAAGAACAAGGTATAAAGAGGGAATTGTACAGGCGTAGCTCAATCCCTTACAGACGCGACATGATGGCCTCGGCATACTCGTGGGTCTTGGCCTTACCGCCAAGGTCACCGGTGAGAGCCTTGCCCTCGGCAAGGGTGTCGAAGGTAGCCTTCTGGATACGAGCGGCGTGCTCGGTGAGACCCATGTGCTGAAGCATCATGATACTGCTCAGAAGCAGAGCAGTGGGGTTGGCAAGACCCTTGCCAGCAATGTCGGGGGCGGATCCGTGGACAGCCTCGAAGATCGAGCACTCGTCACCAATGTTACCGGAGGGGGTCAGACCGAGACCACCGATGAGACCGGCGCACATGTCGGAGAGAATGTCACCGTACAGGTTGGGCATGACCAGGACCTTGTCGTTGTAGGGAGCGGGGTCGGTGACGATCTTCAAGCAGGAGTTGTCAAGAAGCTCGGCATCGAACTCGATGTCGGGGAACTCCTTGGCGATCTCGCGGGCGAGGTTGAGGAAGAGACCGTCGGACATCTTCATGATGGTGGCCTTGTGCACGACACGGACCTTCTTCTTGTTGATGGAGCGGGCATACTGGAAGGCGAAGCGGAGGACGCGCTCGGAAGCCTCACGGGTGATGAGCTTGATGCTCTGCACAACACCGTCGACGACAACGTGCTCAATGCCGGAGTATTCACCCTCGGTGTTCTCACGGATCAGAACGGTGTCGACGTTGTCGTAGGGGGTCTTGTAGCCGGCAATGGAGCGGCAGGGACGCACGTTGGCGAAGAGGTTGAAGGTACGACGGAGAGTGAGGTTGAGAGAGACGTGTCCCTTACCGACGGGGGTCTATGATGCACGCCGATTAGCCAAAAATTTCCGTAGCGGTGTCCAAGCCATGCGGGACATACAGCGAGGGGACCCTTCAGGGCAACGTAGTTCTTCTGCACACTCTTGATGGCCTCGTCGGGAATGGCGGTCTTTCCGTCCTTCAGGATGGGGGTGACGTCGACGGGTTCCCACTTGACAGGAGCCTGAATGAAGTATAGGTGAGTATTGATCGATGCGACACACGGATAGTCGAGTATGGGAGAGCTTTACATTAGCGGCAGCGAAGATGTCCTTAACCGACTGGGAGATCTCGGGGCCGATACCATCACCCTCGATCAAGGTGACAGTGTATTTTCCCTAGAACAGAATGGTCAGAACCACAAATTCATAGACTTTCATATGAATGTATATGCGAAAGGGCGAGAAGGAAAAGCGAGTCGTGGATAGGCGCGGCGGAAGTTGCCGGACCAAAGGCCATGGACGGGGCAGGTATGGGAAAAAAAGTTCAGGCGGTATGCCCGGGGCGCGACGACATACATCAGAACCCTTCTGTCCCTTGAACTTGGCGACGCGCTCGTCGGCAGCAGCGGAGTAGGAGCGAAGCTATACAAATAGTCAGTTTTAAGATTCACCTTGGCACAGAACGGACCAGGACAAAAGCTCAGTCGGATCCTTACCTGAGAGAGAGGCGACGCAATGCGAGGGGACACACGTGTGGTCCGCAAGCATTGACGGGCGGGAGCAACAAAGTTCCTGGCAGCGATCATTGTGACAGGTGCCCGATAACAACGACGGACAGGTAAAAGGGGTAAAGATTGAAAAGGGTGGTGAAGAAAGAGGGGAGAGGTGAGGAAGAAAAGAGGAAGTAGAGGAGAGAGAGAGAGAGAGGAGAGGAGAGGAGAGGAGAGATGGTGGATGGGAAGGATGAGAAGGGAAAGGCGGCGGGCGGGCGGTCGGTCGGTGTCGGTGGGTTGCGGGCGGACTGGCTGGCTTTGTTGCAGACTTGCAATGCTGTGCTGTGTGAAGTGTGAACTTCCCTGCCCAAGTTTCTTACTGTTTCTCGGCAGCACCGCTCCCGGTCCGACCTTTCAAGTTCCATGCCGCATTTGGCCGGTTTGGTCAACTGGACCCACGATCTGATAACTAACTAAAAGTAAACGTCAATCAGGGTTGGTGATGCAGCCTGAGGTGCTGCCTGCTAGACTACGAAAACACGGCACGTTTTAGTCTTATCCACTCAATCCGATCGGATCCTATTATCCTTGCCCTATTGGGAAATCTAACTGGTCTCTTTTTCTCTTGGTGTTCTACTACGCCTATATACCTACAGCTGCGGTGTCTGGCTGTATGACGCTGTCTCAGCCCTTCTCTCCTTAGGCGGCTACCCTCAACAGAGCTCACTTCTCTCCACCACCTCCACCACCTCCCTTCTCCTCCTTCCCTTCCTTCCCGTTTTCCCCGTCGATCCTCACAATGGCTGAAGTCGACGTGGCCAGTTACTACAATCTCCCATCAGCTTATCCCGAAGAATGGCCCGCCGAGCTGGACGAAAGCGATCCGGAGGAGACCGAGGCGCTGGACCGCCGCGGCTCACGATCGGAACGCTCTCGCTACTTCGCCCTAGAACGCAATAATAGCACCCGGAGGAGTGTCGCCTTAGGCTCATTCAAGGGGAGCAGTGGGCGGGAGAACCTCAAGGTGGATGAGCCAGACCCCCTGGGAATGAGTGACAGCGTACTCAAGATGCTCAAAGCGCGAGGCTTGTCCCTGGATGAAGATAGCCGCTTGCGAAACCGTTTCCTGCTCTCCTCGACCTCATTCTCACCCTCGCTCTTTCTGTCGCAAGTCCATTCCGACGCGTCGATCCAATCCCTCCTCGATGGCCTCGATTGCCTTTCCCGCTCCATCGACCAAAAGTCGGCGTCGCTGAAAGTCCTCGTCGAAGCCAATTTCGAACGGTTCGTTCGAGCGAAGGCAACCATTGATAGTGTGTATACGGAAATGAAGACTCAAGGTCAAAAGGAGGAGTTGTTAAGCCCTCAGGGTCACCGCAGGTCGGTTGGACATTTCCGGAACTATTCCGGCAGCAGGCACAGCATCTCTACCCCAGCCATTGCGGAAGTAGGACCCGGAAAGAATGCGCTCACGAAGGAGAGTGATTACGGTATGAAAGGTATCCGTGTGCCTTTGCTGGAAGCCTCCGTCAAAGCTGAGGAGGTGTGGGGGCCGGCTTTAGGCGGTCGCGAGAGAGAACAGGTGCTGAAATCCGTCGTGGAAATGATGGAGAAACACCGAGACATCTACGAGATCGGAGGGCAACTCTCTAAGTCTATCAAGCAGCGAGACTATGATTCAGTCTTCGAGCAATTTCGCAAAGCGCGCTCCCTTGCGAAGAGCGCCAAGGATATCGCAGAAACCGCGACGAGGAGGAATCGGCCCCTGACCGACGAGGAAACGCACGTCATCTTGGCCATGGGAAGAATGTGGATAGATGTGGATCAGCAGATTCAAGCCTTCAAGCGCGATCTATGGAGGCGTTTAAGCGACGTGCCAACAACATCAACCACTATCACGGCGACTGGTCCAGTTGAGGAGCACATGGAGCTGATCTGTGCTCTACTAGAATTGGGAGTCGATGATAACCCTATCTGGGTCTGGCTTCTCAGCCGATATGATTTCCTAAAAACTAAGATCACGGCCTTCTGTGGGCGCTGCAAGTCAGAGATAGAGATCCTGAGACGCCGGCTTGCTAGCGGAGATAAGCCTACGCCTCAGGCAGTGGCATCCTATCTCCGTGTTGCACCGCGCGATAACTCGTTGGAAGCCCGGTCGATGCGAGATACTGATCAGGTGATCGAGCTATGGGAATGTATCAACACCTACTTGACCAGGCTTTTGTCGTCCCAAGGAGGTCTTCTCGGTGAGGTCTTCGATTTCTGGGAGGTGGCACAATCGTTCATTGATGGCAGCAAGCAGAAGCTTCTACCAGCCGGGTTTGAGGGAGAAAGCCGTAAGCATCATCGTCTGTCTTCCAATGACATGAGGGATCTGCAAAAAGGCGCGGTGGAACTTATCAACCTAATCCGCGAGAGTGTGTTGTCTCTGTTTGCTGACCCACCGGTGGACGATGTTTCTCTCCTCACGTCTCCCATCTCCACTGCAAGCCCGAACAGCCCTGGGAGCCGCGGAGTGACGCCTACCGAATCTCGTTTCAAACTGGATCCCAAGAACATGCCCTTTCCCACCCCCAAACGTGGGGAATATTGGGAAGACTATGCATTCTGGCCGCCTTTCTCTAATTCGGTCAGTGGTGTGCACTATCTCAGTCAATTTTTGGTTATCATCGGAACAGCGGCTAGTGAAATGGCCGCGTTGGAGCCGGTGCTGAGTAGCGGCAATACCCACGATCTTCTCAAGTCGCTTGTCAGTGTTGCCCGAGAGCGCTCCGTGCGTGTAGCCTGCGCTGCTTGGGGCAAGGATGCCGAGATCTGCAAGATGCTTGAAGACTGGACGCGAGACCCTGAAAGAAGGGATCTGACGAAGATGCCGGGTCTGTTCGTTGCGTTCGAGAATGCTATCATCAGTGGCATGCAAAGGATCCTGTACATCTCCGAGGCCATGGTGAAGGCGGGCTCGGTCGATGTCGTTACCCAGCCTCCTGCGAAGCTGTTGCTCATGGTGCGCAGCCAGTTCGTGTCGAGCGTCTACAAAGCTCTGAGTGGCTTGGTTGAGAATGCTGAACACCCCGCATCAACAGACGGGGACGATGAGTGGGTTCTGGTGGGATCCATGGTCACCAAACCCCAGACTGATCCATCGACATCACTGCTGATTGCGGACGCGGTTGATGTCCGTGATCGGGTGAGTACTTTCCCTTATCAGCCTGTATCGGGCTTCTCGCTGACTGTGGTTCAGAATGTGCGTCTGCTACTGACTCTGTCGAACATTAAGGCTTTCCAAGCCGACCTTGTTCCTCAGCTGGTAGCATACTTCGAAACGTCCTTCTCGGTGAAGTTGACCGAGGAAGCAAACACTGTTCGGGATGTTCTCGGCCAGATCGAAGATCGTTTATTCCAGTCGTACACCAAGCCGACCATAAACAAACTGAACTCGACTATCATTGAGAGCATTACTGCGCCTGAATGGGAACCAAGTGAGGACTCGCGGCCAGAGCAGGTCCGCCCGTACGTGTACAACGCAATATTAGCACTGGTACTGGTCCATACTGAAATCACGACCACGATCCCGTCTACCTTGTTGACCACCGGGAACCGCTCACCTTCAGCCACGCAGTCGCCTCTCCTCTCGGTCATCCTTACATATCTGTTGACTCAGATCTCGACGTCCCTTTTGACCGCCTTTAGTTCCCGGTCTTTGTACACGCTTGCCGCTTTGATGCAGGCGACGCTGGATACCGAGTTCATTGCTCAAACCATGTCTCAATACTCGACTGACGAAGCGTCAGCCATCCAGAGCCAAATCTATGTGGAATTGGACCGCCGAACCACCCACGAAGCTCGCGCCCGGCTGCAGTCAGAACTGAGCGAAATGCGAGTCACGCTGAAGCGATTGAGGGAGAAGACAAAGGGAGAATTTGCTTGTTTCAGGAAACCACGCAGTGGTGGCGGACACAAACCTTCCGCCTGAGTATTTCTTTCAGACTAGCTATTTTAACTATGTATATGAGTTTGAAGCACCCTCCACAGACATACATTTTTGTAGATGCATGGGCCCCAGGATGTGAAAATCAATCAATCGAACTGTATCGTAAGTTCGCGGGTATCATATTTTGGACCATTATTGCTCCTTCATCAATCCAGTTCGTCCCCTTATTTTACCAGCTCCGACTCTTTCTTTAAGCCTGACCAACCGCCCGTTGCACCCGATTCAACAGCACCTTACTCTCCCTGCCCAATCTCCTCTTCCCGCTGTGGTCCGGCTTTTTAGCCCGAGCCATAGCCTCCCGGTCCTTCTGGCGGAACTCCCGCTCCTCCCTCCGCCTCTCAGCCTCCTTCTTCCGTCTCTCAGCCAACTCCATCTCCTTGGCAAAAGCAGACGGCTTGGGTTTCCGGACCCGACGGCCGCGAGCATCGCGATTGTCCGACGATCGTTGTTGGTGTTGGGGCTTGGGCGCGGGTTCCGGTTCGGGCTCGTTCAACATAGCCATTCGGTCCGGGTGAAGTTCCAATGACGCCGGCTCGACCTCCTCCTCCTTGCTGGCGTTCTCCGCATCATCTTGGTCGGCCGTGTAGATGGGCTTGGGAGGCGCGGCCGCCAGCTCTTCGGCGCGGATCTTGGCATAGGCTTTCTTGACTTTGGCTTTTTGGATCAGATCGGACTTGATCTTTTGGGCTGTATTGCGTGCGGAACGTCTGGGTTAGCTTGTCGTTGCGAGAGATAATAGTCTAGAAGAGGCGGAAATGAGCGATGCGATGCGACTGCAACATACCTTTGCGACGATAAGTGCCATCGGGCAGATTGGCAGGGCCGACGGAGAAGCCCTTTCTCTTTTTGACTGGCGCATCGGTCGCAGGGCGCTTTTCTTCCGTGTTGGATTCGTCTCGGGAGCGTTTGGAGGCCATTATGGAGTTATATTGCTTTTATGGTGGTGATGGTGGTGGTGTTTGTGGTTCAGTGCACTTTTTCCCCAAGGATGGAGTGGAGTCTTTCTTCTCTCTTTGTCTCTGGCTGCTCAGGGTAAAATGAAGATGAAAACAGTATCGGAGTGAAAAGCCAAGTCAAGACGGGTGTATTGGGCAACAATTGCGACGCTGTTGTCCCACTCTTGATTGATGGATTGTTATCTGAAAGGGCAAAGGCAGGCAAAAAAAAGTTTAGTCAGTGAACGGGGAGAAGATCCCGTGCCGCAACGACCGCCGGAAAAAGTCAAGTCGTACAGAATGGTCCCCGTCAGGTACGGAACGATGCAGCGTGGGTAATGAACGTCCCTCTGCGTTGTCACCAGCAGAAAATGGACACGAATGGCTTCGGTGTACAGTACAAGGCGGGAGAATTTTGGGAAATTAGTGGGAGATGTAAAGAACTCGTGGGACAAGGGGGAGGGGGAAGCAGGAAAGTACATGAGTAAGTAGAAGTTGATGAACTATAGATCGGTCTGGATTGGAAAAGAAGAAGAATTACCGTGACGGTATCGACTTTCATTCATTCCGCCCTTTTTTTCCCTTCCTTTACTTCACCTCATCATCAATCGTCCTTCCTATTATTCTTTCTTCTCTCCCTACAACTATTACTTCTTCTTCTCTTGCTGCATGTGCAGTGGATTCAGTTAGCGGCCTCCCTGGGTTGGTATTGTCGATGTGTACTTTGTTTCAGCCCATCTTTGCTGTGCAGATCAATAAGCTCTCTAGCTTTGGATCACTTTCTCTGGCTCATTCCTCGGCTCTCCTTTATCATGTTGTAACCGCCTCATCCCGCGGTCGATCCATTCTATTCCGTCCAGGTCATACTCCACTGTGACTTCTTCTCCGCCACTTCGGCCTGACGTGCCAAAGCTCTCTCTCTCTCTGTCCCCCTCCCCCCCCCCCTTGCCCATATATTAGATTCTTTGTTCCCTTTCCTGCAAGGTCTTCCACCTTTCAGGGTTGCGATGTTCGCGATTTCTGCGCATCTCATTGCTAGTCCCATCGTTCGGTGACCATGCCTATTTTCCAATATCTGGACCATCAACGGTCCAATGACCTATGGTCTGATGACCAAACCTCAAGTCAACAGACTCAACATCAGGCCATGCATCCCTGGGAGAGCTCTCACACTCCCCCTGCCAGATTCAGTTCTCCCTCTAGGGACCAATTTGTTCACCCCGAAGGTCCCTCACCATTTAACGCAGTCGATGTAAATGACCGCGGGGATTCAATACAGCGTTTCAAAACTGCTAGCGATCTGAAAGGCACCTATCATCGCTCCGTATGTCTCGTTATCCTTGAAAGTCAAGTCTTGCTGCAGCTCTTCTTACTGTCGAAAAGCCCCCAATTCAACCTCCGTAAAATTGGTAATGATATACTTGCTAACCCGATGGACACAGCTGGGCGAGACGGATGCTAGCCACGAATGTACTCCCTACACCCCGGGACCGGATCCCGCGAGTAGGGATCAGCTAATGGAAACAAGTGATGCGAGTAATCAGCTTCCTCCAGATGATCAGAACGAGCTGGCATCTCCCGCCGATATTGAGCGCCCTCGCTCGGCCTTACACTCCGGAGACTTCCGAGAAGGCAGCTCTCCGGATCAGAATCGACAGCAAATACCACAGACGTCAGTGCCTAGCTTTGCCAACGATGTACACTGCTCTCCGCTCAGTTCTTCTCCCACCACGCCCTGGTTCAGCACGCCCGCGTTTCATGCTCCTTTGCGAGGCCAGGGCTCGTCGCATCATTCTACGACTCCAACAGCGCGCTCTCGCGCTCCATCTCTGGGATCGTTCTCGTCAAGTTATATTCTCAAGGCACCCACAAGTCCACTCGTACATCAAGCCAACAATACAGATTTGGACTTTTCGCCTCGACCGGAATATGCTGGCTGTAATAGCTCCTCAGATAAAGCCAGCCGCCGCCGGACACTTCCTCCAGAGACTTTCCGGGACATGCAACTACCTAATAGCCCCCTTGTGCGAGGGGCACATTTTCAACCCGACTCCTCGGTGAGAAGATGGAATGAGGCTATGGCGCATCAGTCCCAGCCACCCAGACGGTCTTTGACCTCGGGCTATAGCCTTCAACTCGCCTCGTCCGTTCAGACACCGAGTCCTAGATTCAGACGGCCCTCTATTGGCTCTGAAATCTCGTCCAGAGCTTTGGCGCCCATGGTAGGCTCTTACGAGGAGTCGATTCTCCGAGGGAGGATGTCGACGAACCCCTCGAAACCGCTAGACTTCACCGCGCAGATAGGAGTTCTGGGTAAAGGCAAATGTAAAGGCAGCCTTAAGTGCCCGCCCCATGTCACGATTCCGTTTCCTGCTGTGTTCTACAGTTATCCCACCTCAGGATGTGGACGTTCTATTGCGGACGATAGTCCGAGCCCATATGTGGGCATGATTGATCTTGATAATTCCCTTCCTAAGGACACTTCCAGCGATAGTCGGCGCCGCAAACGTCATCAAAGCCCTGGGGGCATGCACAATGACCAGCACACTCGAACCCCACTGGAATCAAGGTCGAATGATCTAGAAAACCTACGTAAAATGGAGAAACGGCAAAGGAGGGCCGAGTCGCCTAAATCTCCGCCGGGCGGATGTTATCGAATCCCACAGCAAGGCCAATTACAGGTCATGATAAAGAACCCGAATAAGACTGCCGTCAAGCTATTCCTGGTTCCCTATGACCTTAGTGATATGGAACCGGGGACGAAGACGTTCATTCGTCAACGAAGCTACTCCGCGGGACCTATAATCGATATGCCACTGAGCGCGCGGAAGAACTACGGGACTGATCGTCCTGAGGCGTCTTTGAATCCCTCGGAAGATCCAAAAGATAAGCCGATTCTCCGTTACTTGATTCACTTGAACTTATGCTGCCCTTCCAAGGGCCGTTTCTACTTGCATTCAAGTATCCGTGTGGTCTTTGCCAACCGAGTTCCCGACGGTAAGGAAAAGCTACGGAATGAGATCCAACTTCCTTACCCCCGCTATTCTCCCTACAAGGTCTCGCGAGAAGCCCACCATGCGCACTCGAGTGCCGTAGGAGAGAAGCGGCCTCGGAAGCCAACCCCTGGTCATCTTACGATCCCCGAGCTGAACAGCTTCGAGGACATGTCTTCCCCGGTATGCTCCTCCCATTTTCAATGCAGTCCGTTCACACGGCACATATCATCAACTCGAGAGCAAACCACTATTCGCAGCGACGAGAACTACAATGTGCGCGACTCATCGCCACATCCTTTACGGCCTCAACCGCCATTCAAGCGGCACGTCAGCCCGTCACCTTACGCAGATTCAGCTGATCTGCGTCACGCTAAAGGTGGGCTGTACAGCAAGCTCCATAAGGGCGACAACGGCTACGGTGGATATCCGTCCAGTTTCGCCGGCGGAACTGAAGCCGGCGACAGTCTCCTTGCTCAGAGACTGAGGAGTCTGGACGTACACAAACATAAGTACCCTCATCAGCACTGATTGCTCTCGACGAGCCAGCAGCGCATAGGGGCTGGTCTGTGACCGTTCAAGCGCGATCGCTACCTAGTAACATCTCCTTCCTTCCACTCCCATCAAAGGCATTGTGCCCCACATCGTACCTCAATCAGAGGTCCCTCAGACACTCATTTCTGGCTAATCACCAGTCCATCCATCCACACATACATACAAAGATGCAGGGCCATCGCTCATTCAGATCACAATCTCCACATTGCTAAATTCCGACCAGGCGCACAGGGTAATAAGAGGGATCAGCAAATATACCCACCATGTTTATAGTTCTACGTTTCCCTTTGAAATTGTCACCGAGTTGCGTATCAAAGCCGGCGCATTGCTTGATTCGTAAGGCGTCCGTCGTTTACTACCTAGCTTTACTATTAGCCTCTGAGCTCCACGAGCCGCCGGTACTGGGCGTCAGCTCTTTACTTTCCTTGAGCGTGGATTGGCCAGATCTTCAGATGGAGGCGGTATGCGGTGCTTACCGGCGATCCTCGTCTATCCTGTATCGCTATCTTCTAGAAAGAAATGAAAATACTTCCAGCTTGTTATTGTCGGTTTAGGGGGGTGGAAGAGTTCTTTTGCGAGTGATGGTACCGTTCACACACTCTCGCGCTCTCTACAATAGCCCAAATTGAGGTAATGTAATGCAGGCAGGAAGACATTGAACACCAAAAGTGGATTTAAATAGACAGATCTATCTACATAGTGAATATAAACCACGGCAGGATTTACCCCAAGTCCAAGCCAACCTGCACAGGGAGAGAGGTATTGCTCAAGCAGCGAGAGGAGGAGGGAATCTAACCGGCATGCTCGACGATCTCATTGACCAAGACTCCGTCCTTGACGTAGGACTTGATCTGCTCGGGGAGGGGACACTCCTTTGTGTCGTCGTCGGAGCCCTCCTTGGGGGGCAGCATGACGTTGATGGCGGTGGACTTGGAGGAGAAGACCTCTGTGGCCAGGCTCTGGAGGCCGAGGTAGACGGTGGCGCCGTCGACCTGGTCGAGGAGCAAGGTGGGGACGACGCCGTCGATCTGCAGGGCGAACTTGGCGGACTTGATGACGTCGAGGCTGCTGACGAGCGAGTCGACGATGATGGACAGGCCCGTGCAGTTGTCGATCGAGATCGCGTTGGCCTTGTTGTTGACCTTGATGATCGTCTTGTGGCACCGCGAGATCAGGATCGACTGGTTCTGCTGCGCGTTGATCTCCACAATCCCGCCGGGGTTGTCGAAGTGCTCCACCAGCCACTTATTGCCCTCCAGGTCCTTGCGCGCCGGCTTGCGCGCCCGCATGCTCTCCGGCTTGGGCTTGGTGCTTGGCGGTGCTGGCGAGCGTGCCCGCGACGTCGGCGACGACACGCTGCTGCCTTGCGAGCTGGGCCGCTCCGGCACCACTGAGCCGGTCCGCAGGCTTGGGTTCTTGTGCGTCATCTCCGATTTGTCGACTTTGCGGAGGCCGGACGTCACGGCGTCGCCGCGGTTCAGTTGGTCGAAGACCGCGGACATGTCGGAGCTAGGTGAGGCGCTGGGCGGAGGAGGGACGCCGGGGGGAGGAGGCGGTGGGGGAGGTGCGCCGCCGTTACCGCCGGAGACGTTGATGGTCGGTACTGGAGGAGGCGGGGGAGGAGGGGGGGCGGCTCTGCTTTCGCTGGGGGACGAAGCCGAGCTGCCGCCGCTCTTGACCTGGCGGAGTGCTTCTTGAGCATCGATGCCGTCCTGGTCGTTCCAGGTCAGACCCTTGGGGTAGTGTTTCTTGAGGTAGGCGGCGAGGGATTTAAAAATCTGATAGTAGGCTTGGATGTATTGGACGTGAGTGCGGTCCCTGAGGGAGGATTGTTAGCACAGTGTAAGGGTACAGTTTGCAGTCGAGTACTAACTTCTCCTTGTAGTCCTTCAGCACCTTGTTGCCATAGTATTCAATGCCTCCAACGATCTCGGTCACGAAATCGGCAGGCTTGCTGGCGAAGAACCAGCCCAGAGCCACGATACCCTCCGCCACCGCGCTGAGGTGGTTGAACAGGTGCGATGCCCGGTTGGACTCGCGAATGTTGTTGATGCTGTCCGAAGCATTGTGAAGCTCCGTCATGAGCTCGGGGGGCTGCTGGTCGGGCTTCTTGGCCTTGGTCGAGACATAGAGGTAGGTGCGCTCGGCCTCGAAGGCTTGCTGGACTGCTCTTGACTGGTTACAATCGTAAGTGGGACGATCTGTTTGAGATTTTCCTAACCTGTCATACCTGTTCGCCGACCAATCCGTTGATCTTCTGTCCCAAGTCCACGAAGGTCCGCACATCTTCGTTAATCAGTGTGTCAAAGTCCTGGATCTGTGGCGGCACCGGGGGAGCGGCGGGGGTAGTTGGAGGAGCCGGCTTGGGAGTCTCGGGGGTGGCCGCTTCAGGCGCAGCGACAGCACTGATGGTCTTGGGCGAGTTTGGGTCGTCCAGCGACATCGCCATGTCTTCCAGGCGGGAAGTCGCGGCTTCGAGCCTGTGATGAGGTATACATCAGCACCCAGAAGACGGGAAATTTGCAAAGGACTCGGAAAGACTCGGAAGAGTTGTGTTTTCCAATGCATCCGGCGCTTGAGTCGCAACGTACCGCTTGATGAGGGTTGTGAGATTATGCATGTGGCTTCCGGACGCCATCTTGAGAGCCCCTGTCGAAGTAAGGAGGCAACTATCGGAGAATAATCAGGGAGGGACTAGGTCAAAAGGACACGGCTTGAATGCGAGCTGTGCAATTCAAGATTTTTGAATAGCAGCAGCAGCAGAAGGCAAGAGAGAGTTAGGCTGCTGGACAGGAAGAGGGAAATGCTGGGGAAGGCAGCAGCAATTGCAAGGTTGTCAGTGGGATGTTGTTCAACTGACAGATGATGCTCCCTGAACCAACAACCCCCCCGGTGCCTGAGGCTAGAGCACGGGCGGTGGGCCCAGCCATACCATACGGTATCAATACCCAACTGCTACTTGTCCACAAGCTGCGCTCGGCCTCTGCGCAATGACGTTGTGGGTATCAGCCCCGTAATCTGTCCGTTCTTTCCGCCGATAAGGAGCCGAGAAATCATACAATAATACTTCCCCTCCAGCCCCCGCCCGTTGCATACTACACGAATTATATACAATTCGCCATTCAAGATTGGTAATTGCCTTAGGGACGATATGGCAGGCAACAATGGGCTTCTATCTGGGGGCAATGTCGATTTTTGCACATTGGGCATGTTCATCCTCGGTACGCTATAACACCCATGAAGGGGATGCGCATAATATATATACTTACTAGACCTCTTGGAGTGCTATAGACGATATCGACTTCGAAGGAGCAAAACCGCCAGTGAAAAATGTTCTCGGGGGTGCTGCAACATATGCAGTCATTGGCGCGCGTCTCGTGGCTGGGAAAGAGCATGCGCGATCCGTGAGCTGGATTGTTGATGTTGGATCCGATTTCCCTGCCGAGGTCCTGAGCGTTCTCAGATCCTGGGATACCAACTGTATCATAAGAGAAGATCATGGACGACTAACCACGCGGGCCTGGAATGGCTACGGGCCGAACGAAAAGAGAGGTCAGTGCCATCGCGTTTGTGTCTCCGCATCGACCTCGTACATGACTGATGAGCCGCTCTAGATTTCAAGTACTTGACCCCTAAATTGCGGTTGGAGCCCTCGATGCTTTCAGATGCGCAAGTCTTGTCGAAAACGTTTCACATGGTCTGCTCTTCGTCACGCTGTATATCTATCGTGCAGGATATCTTGCGACGACGGGAAGAGCTACAACTTGAGGGCAAAGTGCCCTTGCCTATGTCTGCCACGAAGCGACCGGTTTTTGTCTGGGAACCTGTTCCTGACCTTTGCTCGCCAGAAGAGCAGGAGACATTCTTGGCTGCGAACAAAGTCGTAGATGTCGTGAGCCCTAATGAGCTAGAGCTTGGGATGATGTTCGGTCAGCCCGGTTGGAGCGAGGAGACAGACTATGGAAAAGCTATAGTTGATAAGATCCTTTCCAATGGCATTGGGCCCGATGGGAACGGGCACCTGGTGATTAGAGCTGGCAAAGATGGCAGCTATTCGTTCTCTCGGAAGCAGAGAATCTGGCTACCCGCGTATCATCAGCCCGACCCATCGATACCGTCACCCGTGGTCGATCCCACTGGGGCCGGAAATTCCTTCCTTGGAGCATTGACTCAAGGCATGATCAGCTCGGGTAGGACTCCAACTAATATCGGTGCATCGGTGCTCGCGGAATCAGCAGCCTGGCAGAAAGCAATGGCAGCTGGCGGCAACCATAACCTCATCCTACCCGCTCTGGTATTCGCTACTGTGGCAGCCAGTTTTGTGGTGGAACAGATTGGGGTACCGCACATTTCTACATCTACCGACGGAAGAGAGCTTTGGAACGAGACTGAGTTCACGGAACGGGTCCGTCTGTACACACAGCGCTTGTATCGAACACTTGAAGAGTCTCCTCAGAAGCACTTGCAGATCAACTGACCGGTTGAAGAACGCCCTTCTATTGTCGTACAGCCCTCAAAAATGATGAAACAAAAACCTATCATGCCACAGGATTCCTTCGCAATTGCATTTTATCCCACTCGTCTCTTATTCCCCGTCAACCATCATTATGAGTCCTGCTTCGAGGCTTGTTGTCTTCTTTCGTGTTCAATGATTTCCCTGCTCCAGCTATATAGACGAGATAGAGTCAATGACCAGATGCTTAGAAACACTTGATAGGGGATTGGCTGGATTTGACTGACTAGCGACTGGGGAAGAATCTGCCAGGCTCGGGCATCTTGTCGCGGTGCTCGCGGTCGGCACTAATGCTCCAGACCACAGCAACGATTCCGATCATGGTGGCACCCATGATGGCGGTGTTGACCCTCCAGTTCGCGGGCTGAGCATACCAGCCTCCGGCGGGAGACCAGACTTCCTTGGGATACCTGCGCGGGTCATCGGTCAGCACCACGCGGGGAATTAGGATATGAAAAAACCACATACGGGATCTTTCCGCCTCCGCCCATTGTGATTGCAGGTATGTGATGATAGCGATTCGGTAGGGAAAGTTGACAATGGCTCGCTAGGAAGCGTTGTTCTGGCGGGTTTGAAGCCGAATTGGCCGTCGTTCGTCCCTCCCGGTCCCAGCCCAGACCCCGTGACGCTAGTTCCGTATCAGGATTAGCGCAGAATAGGCACTTTCTCCCACGACCGCCAAACCCCGTGACTTCCGCCGAAAGGTGCTCAACTTTTCTCTAGCGACCAAAAGTTCGTACTGGCAGCCCGTCGGACGACCCTCTCCACCGTCTCTTATTCCCCACGCCACGACGCAGTCCTTAATTGGATATACGGTCAATCGGTAATCCCCCGATTTAGGGTGTCTGTCATATACACAAATCGCACAGATGAAGAGACTGCAACTCCAACGATGGAGCAGTTCGGTCCTCTCGCCGCAAGCCCGGGCTGGAAGTCGACTGCCCCGACGTATACAACATGGCCTCCGCTACCAGTCGACGAATCCTTTCCCTGTCACGGATGCTGAAGCCGAACAATTGTTCGAGGAAGAACCGTCTCGGTCTTCGATCCGCCCCTCCCAGATTTCCAAGCACGCCCTCCCTTCTCCGCCTGTCGAGGCCGCACGCGAGTCCGCGAAACTCGCTGCGCTCCATGCACGACTTTACCTTCCCTCACGACTTCCCCTCGAGACCCTTGGTCGCACTCTCGTGGATGAATCGGCCGACCCTAATGCGAACTTCAACAATGAGTCCCTGGCTACTCTTGGTCACGACCTCCTGACCCAGTACACCTCCGAATACCTTATCTGCACATATCCCCGTCTTCCTATGACGGTTATTTTCGCCGCCATGTATGCCTACGTCGGCCCCAAGACATTGGCCGCAATGACGAACGAATGGGGTGTGGAGTTGGCTGCTGCACCGGGTGGAGAGGTTGACCCTGGCCACCTGCAATTTAGAAGACTCGCCCCGGGCACCAACCCGAACGAAACGCCCATGCGTACTGACAGACGCTGGGAGGAACAGACATGGCGGAGGTCGGTCACGTCCAAGGTCGTCAATGACAATGTCTTCGGCGATCCCGTCAGGGCAAGCGTCAACCCGAAACTACTGGCCAAGGCAGCGGCCAAGAACACCGCTGGAGTGTCTGCTGAAGAGGCCAGCGCCCAATTCGTGCGCGCTGTTGTCGGTGCCATCTACCTTCATGCCGGCCGTCCTGCCGCCAAGCGCTTCTTCGAGCAGCACTTCCTCTCTCGTCACCTCAATATCTCCGATCTGTTCAACTTCAGCGAGCCGGCTCGTGACCTTGCCCGCCTTTGTGCCCGTGAGAGTTTCGAGCCTCCAGTTGCCAAGGTGCTCAGCGAAACTGGTCGCTTGAGTCGGCACCCCGTCTTCGTTGTTGGCATCTTTTCCGGCAAGGATAAGCTTGGTGAAGGTGCTGGTTCTAGCTTGCTTGAGGCTCGGTCCCGGGCGTCCGTTGCCGCCCTCAAGGCCTGGTACCTGTACAGCCCGATGAATGTGCGTCTTCCCAACTCGATGGAAGAGGATGGGGCTGCCCCCTGGAAGCCGGTGCACGTGGATCTGGGCGAGGTGATTGTGTAAAGAGGAAGCGTTCATGAGAGCAGTATTTGGAAACGGCGTCACATTTTGATATAGATGTTGTCAAGTGGGCAACTGACGGCAAGTGCAACATTTACATATTATTCCTACCAGTTTCGCAATTTTGCAAGGTTCTGTACATTACGGGAATTCTTTTTATTTCATCCGATGTTTCCTATCACGTCAAGTTCTTTTCTTTTCTTTTTCTTGCCTCTCCAAGTCATAAAGCTCGCCTCTTTTCTTTATACCAATAGAGGTTCGAATGGGAAGGGTTTGAGAAGCGGTCCCGCAGATTGGGGTGATGGACCTAACATGTACTCAATAAATCAATGGATTCAATAGGTTTACTCTCCAGTCATGTCTGCTATCTTATCGGATGCCTTATCGACGAGAAACCCTCCAACTCAAGTGCCTGCAACCAAACGTGCCCATCGAGAGTCCACATCAAGGATTCACAATCTCACCCTCCCAGTTTCCATTTCCTGGGGTTTTCGTCTCTTCATCAACCTTCCCTGCAGGAGTGTCCAACCACCGACCATACTCCTCCCACAACTCCTCGACCCCGACGCCAAACAACCCCTTCCAGAAGCTCTCACCTTCAGCATCACCGTTTTGTACTTGTTCATCCTCACCATCATCCCCCTCCCCCTCCCCCTCACCCACATACCCAACCCTCAACAACCGATCATTCACCAACCCCACCGCCCCTGTCCCGATACGAACCTCCTCCAACCAATCCAAGAAATACGCCGTATGCTGATACCCCTGATCCCACTTCCCAGCCCGTTCTTCCGCGCCCCGGGGCCGCGTCCAGTGCGGGGGCGCCAGTCCAGCCCTCAGCCGCACGAAGTCCGCGATCCCCTCGATCAGACCCCCCGGCGGATCAGGGGTTTGGGTTTCTTTGTTCTGTGGACGCGTGTGTTGGTAGCAGTGCACGAGCTCGTGGGTGAGCATCCCGACGAGCTCCGCCCGCGGGTCCGCGTACCGCGTCGTGCAGCTTGCTATGTATGATAGCGAGAGGTGGATCTCTTTGTGGTCTGCGTCTAGGTCTGTGCCTGTTGTGTAGGCTACGCCTGGGATTTGGCGGAGGTGGGTGGTTATTGAGCGGGTTGGCGGGAGGGTTGGGGTGAAGGTTATTCGGTTGTGGTTTTGGATTGGGGTTTGGGTGGGGGTTGGAGTTGAGGGGGAGGAAGGTGGTGTTGGCTTGGTGTAGAGCGTTTGGAGGATCGTTGTTAGGGCGGTTTCGAGGGTGCTGGCTAGGTTTGGGATGAGGGTGAGGAAGGTTGTTGAGGCGGGGTTGCGGAGGTCGTGGATTTGGAGGAGGAGTTTTGGGGTTGGGAGGTGGGGGATGGTTTGGGGGTTTGTGGTGGTCGTGGTGTTGGTCGTAGTGTTGGTGTCGGGTTTGGTGAGGTTGAATGGGAGGGTGGTGGGTTGTGGTCGTGGTGTTGAGGAAGCCATGCTGGGTTGGATTGTATGGCAGTCTGCGTATCACACTTGTAAGTCAATGAGGTCGGAGGTTGAAGAGGACGCTGTGGACGTTGATCATAAGATATAGCAAGGCATTGGCGCCGTTCTAGTCTGTCAGCACTGATAACCTACCTGCATGCAGACACAAGGTTGCATGCCGCATGGTCATGACGGGATCCACCAATCATTACTGATTACTGTTGTTCTGCGCTGTTGAGGATGAATCAAGTCGGTTCCACTTGAAGACGAGAGACAACACCGGGAGAATTGCACCCTGCTTGTGGTTGGCTGTGCCCCAGGCTTTGCCCGGCGGTGACATCGCAGCTGGTCCAAGTGTCGGCGCGTCTGCCACCAAAAAGGCCCGATCCACCGCCGGCGCGGCGATCCGGTGGAGTGGCTGCAGTGATCGATCGACGACCAGTTACAAAACCTGGACTTATAATATAGACAAGTGACAAGATGCTCTGGATTCGCTGGTAATATTAATTATTTCCAGGGATTCATGCTCTGCCATTTGTCTTAATCCTCAAGTGAAACGGGCAACACTGGAGGTGCCAGGATATATAATAGCGGTGGGTCACTCTCGTGTAGGCTTCTATGAGCACTTACTAGTAGTATCTTCCATGCCCCTTTTTGCATCTTTCGGATTCTAGCTTGATTTGTAACACAATAAACCTTAACTACCATGATCATAGCTACCAGCAGAGTTTTCCCCTAGCAGACGTAGCTGCCCATCATACACTACCCTCTACACAAATTCCATAATAACAGGGAATCATAACCAGGCGGATAGTCTACTATACGACACACGCATCTTAGTTTCAAGTTGGGCAGCTCCAGGCTAGAAGTGAATCAAGTGATAGGTTGAAATAGCTGCCATAACAACTCGGCTTGCCCAAAGCGGAGCAACCATGGCTCCGGCGACGTTGCGGGTCAACAAAGCAACCCAACTCGAAAAAAAAAGAATCAGGGACAACAACAACAACAACAACAACAACCTTCACCCCCACAACCACCACCTATTCACTCACCACCACCATCCCCGGTCTTTTCCACGTAGAAATCGCGTTTATATCCATCTGTCATACCTCGAATTCCAACCTGCTGGTCCTTTACATACCGATCTCCCTGTCAGGACTCAATTGATCCGTTGTCCCTCCCGAGAGTGGAGCTCTTCTAAGCGCTTATCGCCGCCGCGGTTGGTCGCTTATCGGGCCAGACTCCTTCCCTTCTTCCCCTCGATAGAGCAACTACGCCTTCACGCCTTCACGCCTCTACATCTCTGCGCCGGCACCACCTCCTCCTCTCCCACCCTCCATCCGCTCCTTCGCTCGTCGCCATCCTCGTCGCCGCGCCTGCCTTTTCACGACTACACTCGCGACTGCCACAAACAAGCAGACTCTTCCCAGGTATGACTCCAGTACTTGCGCTCCCCCCCCTCCCCGATACTTTTCTCCTTCAACCACCTCTTTCACACTCAAACACCGTTCCCAAACTGCTCTATTTCTCTCCCATTCCAACGTGCGCATCTTCATCACGTCTATACGCCTTCAAGTACAAATCTCGACGTGTACACAACTTTCAGATACCCTTTCTTGTTCATTTCCTAGCGTTGCTTGTGTCTTGTACTCATAGCGTTGCTTTCTGTCTTCGTGCTCAACCTCAAATCTTAAAAAAAAAAACCCTGTTGTGATAAATCGTTGTTTTCGTTTTCTAATTCGTCATGGCCAATAACAGTTTTGGGGCTGCTGTGGCGATTGCTGCACTCCTCACATTTCTCCTACACGGCAAGGAACTCGAGTCATTCCTCTTCAGAGTCGTGATTGAATTTTTCTGGATTGTTGCGAAAGCCGCGACTTCATTCGTCCCTATCCTCTTCTCCCTTTCCTCCTTGTATCGTGACGAACTCGATACTTTCCTTGATCTTTGTCTTGGCATCATGGAAGCCAGAGCCTTGGAGCTGGTGGACACAGCCAAAAATAACAATGTCTCGCTGGATGTGAAGCAGTCCGCTTTGACGGCCTTCAAGTCGGAGATCAAACAGAGAAACGTTCCCGAAGCGGCAGTACCACCGACATTTGAAGCCTTGCGGGTCTTCATCGCATCACCGAATACCATCATCGTCACGCCTGCGTTTAGTATGCTGAGCCACTTAATCAAGCGCTTGTTCATTCAGCAACAACCGCACCTGATTGCGATTCATAGCCGCATCCTCCACCCCCTACTTCTCGAACGTCTAGGCGATCACAAAGAACGCGTAAGAGCACAGGCGGCCCAAGCCTTCACTGAGTTGTGGCCTGCTGCGAATGCCGAAGTGGAACACCATGTTCTCGAAACCGCTCTTGTGGGAAAGAACCCCAAGGCAAAAGAAATGGCTTTGATCTGGCTCTCAAATGTAAGCAGTATTCTCTCGTTTTTGATTTGACTCATGTCCTGACGACGTTGGCTGCAGATGTCCAAGAATCATGGCCTCCGTTTTCGCCAATATGTTGCAAATCTGGTCAACTGTCTCGAAGATGCCGACCCGGCCGTCCGAGACACAGCAAAGTTGACTGTAGTTGAACTTTTCGGGTACGACTTCCCCTCTGTCCGTCCGATGCCATTTTGGCGTGAAAACTAATCTCCGTATTAGGGCTGCTTCGGGAGCGTCCGCACGTGCGAAGTCCGACCTCATGAAACAACTCAGTATCCGCAACGTACGAAAAACAATTGTGAATACAATTGTCACCCATCTTGGACTTGACACCGCCGAAACCGATCACATCTCAAGACCGTTGTCTCGAGCTGATGGCCTCACGCAACGGTCCACAGAAGGACGGAGACCTGCGTCTCGAGCCGATGGACTCGTGCAACGTCCTTTGGAAGGTCCGAGACCAGTTTCCCGAGCGGAAGGCCTTAGCCAACGGTCCGCAGAAGGACCAAGACCTGCTTCTCGAGCTGACGGTCTCATGCAACGCTCTACAGAAGGGCTGAGACCAATGTCCCGAGCCGAAGGTCTTATCCAGAGATCTACAGAAGTTAGCATGTCGACAGGTGACATGGCTACAGGGGGTGAGGTGCCTGCGCCTCGACCTACCTCCCGAGATGGTGAAAGTGTGGAACCACTCATGGTCTCCTCCTCGCGCGAGATCGAAGATCTGGTCCGCGGTATGCTACCTCACTTCGAGGGGCGTGAATCCGAAGGTAATTGGGCACAACGCGAGAAGAACGTTCTGATGCTACGTCGACTGGTCCATGGCAATGCTCCGGTTACTTACTCGAACACACTGATCACGGCTCTGAAGACACTCCTCGATGGCATCTTCAAGGTCGCCACTTCTCTTCGCACAACTATGTCTACAAACGGTTGTCTCCTAGTCCAGGACATCGCCGTTCATTGCGGATCGAGAATCGATTCAATGGTGGAGATCATCATGCAAAATCTTATCAAACTGAGCGCTGTGTCGAAGAAAATCACAGCGCAGAATGGAAAGATGACTGTTGAGACTGTCATTCAGCATGTTTCCTTCACTCCCCGTATCCTGCAACACATCTTTAGTGCCTCTCAGGATAAAAACGCACAGCTGCGGCTGTATTCAGCGGACTGGTTTAAGATTGTCTTGGATAAACAAGTCAATAACAAGGCCGCCATAGAGCATGGAGGCGGGCTGGACATGCTAGAGAAAGGCATCAAGAAGGGGCTGTCAGACGCAAACCCGACCGTCCGAGTGGCCATGCGCGGAACTTTTTGGATATTCTTTGGCATGTGGCCCATCAAGGGCAACGAGTAAGTTCATTACTGCTCTCGTCATGTTCTCGTGAGCTAACTCAGCGCAGAATTCTCTCTGATCTCGACCCCAAATCTCGAAGTCAGCTTGAAAAAGACCCGAACAATCCAAACTTTAATTCAACCAAGGGCAATGCCCCATTGCGTAAGGGCGTTGCAAGTGGGCCTTCCTCTTCGAAGGCTAGTAAAGCTCTGCACGAAGCCATCGCAGCGAAGAAGAGGGCGCACCTGGCACCTAAACCCAGTCAGCAAGTGCGTCCCCAATCAGCACAATCCAGCGTGGCCGAGATTTCCATGCCCGAATCTCATACCAAACAGCCTGTTGTACGGTCTGTCCCAACGGGTGCACCTATCTCGTCGCTTTCTTCCGCACCCATGCGTCCAGCGAGCAAGGCTCGCAGACCCGAGCTGAGCCGACCAGCCACTGCGGAGCCGTATTCAGTGCGGCCTATCGATCATCATCTCACAATGTCGGACCATCGTATCACGGTCTCGGACCAGCAAATCACTGTCCCTGCAACGATTACGGCAAAAGCAAGGGCCAAAAGACTTGATATCGCCAAGACTCGAGGAAAGGAGCCTTTCATGAATGGCAGTCATTTGGATGCAGACGTGGGCGGTCTATCCTCTGGAGGTTCTCAGGTATCTATAGTTCCTAATGAACATGATAACCCTGCCGAAGTCCAGTTGGAGAGTCCCCCTGATACTGTCGTGCAAATGCTAACCCCTTCTGATGTCCCGGCAGAGACAGGTTTCTCCTGCTCAGATGAGCCTGCGGACGATCAAGTTAAGAAACTTATCCCCCGCGAGCCGAAGCTTGCTCCAAGTCGAAACGAAGTACATGAACGTCAACCCGATGCAGTACAGCCCACCTCTGACGCCACAACATCCTATGCCGATCTACAACACCCAAACCTTGGCGGAGAACGAAGACCTAGCGATGATGCTCAGGACTTGTTGGAAAACTCAGAACGTGGAAGATTGGGAAGCTCAGAACACAGAGGAGAACGAAGACCCAGTGAATATGTCGAGGAATCTGTCCCATTGTCCTATGTACAAGCCTCAGATCGGGATCTGGAAAGCACAGGACACGGAGGAGAGCGGAAGCTCAGCGATCCTGGTCAGGAATCGATCGCCGGTGAGCTTGGTCAGGAATCGATCGCCGGCGAGCCTAAGCCTATCAACGATCGAGGCGCAGGGCAACATGAACACAACGTCGGAGCAAGACACTCCGCCCCTAACACCATCAACAACGTCGACGCCGCCAACACCGTCGGCTTCCCGTCCGTCGTACCAGTCTCGCATCCCGACCCGCAAGACTCGGAATTCGAAGGAGAACGAGCACCCAACAATGAGGCCCAGGAACCTATCCCCTGCCACTCGCAGCCTTCTGGGTCTAGCAAGATCGAGCAAAGCCAAGCAGGAGGAGAGAAGAAAACCTCCTTTCCGGAGCACTTTTCCTCCGAACCTGTAAAAATTTTTGAAGACCCCATTGTTACTACGAGCCCCATTGTTAATAGCCCCATTGTTAGTACTCGAAATGTGACTAAAAACAGCGTTTTGGAAGAATTATCGTTAAATGAACCGTCTCATCGCGATCTGGTAGATGGCTCAGAACAACGTCGTCGGAGAAAAGTTGAGAACGCCGAGCGCCGAAGAAGTATCAGCCCCCGTTCGAAAGACCCTGCCAAAGCGAGAGAGATGCTGGAGAAAGGCGTTCAGAAAATCCGGTCCAAGAATATGGACATTCTCGGTTATCGCAAGTTGCAAGGGTTGATTGAGTATCATGACTCTATCTTCATTGATGAAGACAAATATGATGAGATGCTGCTGGTTTTGCTCGAGGAACTGCAAAGTCCTCCGGATGAGAAGCGTCAACGCCTTGGCCGTCCTTTGGACTTGAAAACCCAGGTGCTTCTTACTATTCGCTTCATGCTCGCACACAACAAGCACTATGTTTCCCCTTACTACCCCATCGCCATAGCGGCTCTCATCACGGCTAGAAATTATTACGACTCTTCGAGCCACATCATCAATGGATTGAACGAAACGGCCGAGGAACTACTTGCACACTGTGAGCCTGAAGGTGTCATCGACGCTGTGGCCGACCTCGTATCTGGCGAGGACCCCGAGACAGGCGACCGGGCCATCACCATGGGCTTCTCTGTGATGACGGATATCTTGAAGAAGAAGAACGGCGACGGTGTTCGGTTGCCCGGGCGCCTTTTGGAAAAGGTTGGGTCACTGGCCGGCAAGAGTCTAACGGCCCGGCAGCCTGATGTCAGGCGCCAAGCGACACAGCTGTGCGTACAATTGCACACAATGGCCAACAATGACGACCACTTCTGGCAGCTTGTGGGGTGGCCCCGTGAAAACTCACGGAACCTTCTGACGTATTATATTGCTAGGAAGTGAAGAAAAGGGGAAGAAGTATCATTGGTCTTGTATTATTATTATCATCATTATTATTACTACTTTACTCTCGTGTTCGGTTTTGATACCACTTTCTTTGATTTGGCGCCTCCAAAGGCAATTGTTTCTGTATCACTAGCTAATATCATTTTGAATGTAATTGAGCTTCGTCAATCGCTGTAGGACTTTTGTAGGAAGGAGGCGAAGAATCCAATCGCGACGCGACGAACCGCGCTGTGCTTTGATAAAGCAGTGCGGAGTTTATGGCGGCAAGCGGAGGACGATCCAGGAGCTCATTGCTGAGCGTAGATTGATGGAAGTCAGGGGCCATGACTGCGAATCACCTTACTACTGACTGACGGGCGGACATTATTCCATGGGAGGACCGGAAGTTGGCAAAGGTTATTGGACTCTCCTTTCCCGGCGGATTACATCTATATAGATACATACATCAAGGGGGATCAAAAGAGCAGCCTGGCTTCGTTGGACATAGCCAGACCATCTATGCTCTTGGTGTCAAAGCAATGCCTCTAAGGCGGACGCGAGGGCCTGCAGCTGATCGGCTTCTTTGTGCGAATCCTCCGCAAGGTACTTCCACCAAATCGAATATAAATCACATGACGGGGTTCCTCGAAGATATGTACACTCTGCCCGGAGAGAAGGTGCTCCGGAAGGGAGGCCGGTTTCCCTTGAATAACATGACAGGAGTCCTCGAAGATTTCTGGAACATGTCCGCGAGGGAAGGTGCTCCTGAATGGAGGTCTTCTCTTCTCCACCTGCTGGGGTTTGTACGACGCTGCCAAGCCTAAAAGGCTGCGACTGGCAGGTTTATCTCGTGCCTCCATGGAGGCCTGCTTTCCTTCTGGTGATATGGGAATCAAAGTTGAAAGGGGCCAGTAGCCTTTGTCCAGCAGAGTTGCTCTCTCCCTGCATCTGAATGGTGAGGACCAAACAGCGGTCTTGTCTCCAATGCCGTCCGGCTCGTGGTATTGGTTGTTTGAAACGGTGGAAAAAAGTCCTGCCTCTCGCGCTGGTGCTGTGCGCATCCAGGTTGCTCTCTGTGGTAATGCCGCTCAACCTCATCTTGGAAGCCAGATCGAACCCCATGACAGAATCGGTACAGTCTGTCTTGGTCTGAGTACTCGATGTGGATACTCATGGAGGATAGGGTGGACGAAAAGCGGAAGAGTGATGGAAGAGTAGTATCTCCGGATCTTATGGTGGACTCGTGGTGCTCTTTCGTTTCTCCTGGCGGAGAGCAATGCGCATTCCCTGTATCTCTGTCGAGACTCGGACCCAGTGATTAGTATTATCCCGGGGGTAGGCAATGTTTTCAGGGCTCAAAGGCAAAGGCGACATACAGGATGTTGTGAATAAGAATGGACTGCGGCAGCTGAGGGAGACTTGGAACGATGCGTGACGAGCAGTGAAAGGCATAGGATGCAAATATCGTGATCCTTGGCGGATGAGAGACGATGATGACTGAGTCCTTTGAACTATGCTATGCTCTCCATCTATTCATGTTGTATGATAAATGGCTCAAGAATCCGAATGAGAGGCCAACTCGGATGGAACAACATGTCGGCAGGCATGGCATAGTAGGAGGAAGGCACGTAGCGAGCAACAACGAGAGAGAAGAGCGTACAGTCTATCTTACACTAGGAACCTATAGATAGAGCATACATAAATGGAAGGAAAGAACATTCACTTACCTAGCGTAAGCAGCACAAACATGGGTAAATGTCTCCCTAGTACTTAATACGCTAGCTATGCTGTTAGGGCAGCTGATCACCATTGGACTGAGTAGTTATTTCAGATCTCAGTTGGTGACCAACTTTCTACCAATGACTAAAACAGAACCCAATTCGAGTGGGCGGGGCGACTTATTTTTGGATCTTTAGAGGCAACCCCAACTCTGGGACGGGGTGGGGAGAATTGAGAACTTGTGACTGACTCGACTCACGCGAGGATATCTGAATCACCTTGTTCAAGGTTGCTGGAACATGGTACTACTTATGGAAGCGGAAGTGGCTGACTCGGCAGTGCTACCATCGATGTTTGAGATGCGATGAGACATTCATCGCTCACTGCTCTATAAATATCGAGTATTGGGTGGCCTGCGGGCTGCCTGAGGTGTCAGTACTGTATTGGTGCCTGAGGATTCATCTCGTATCCTGAAACGGGAGGTCTGCAGGAGCTGGCATTCACTCACCACAATGTATACCTACATACATAGAAGTATGACTTTGTCTATAGATGAACATTCAGCTGAATCAATAACCAGGTCTACTGTTTGACAATCGATCTGAGTGAATTGGGATGAATCTGGGGACCTGGACGTGAGTGGTCTATCTGAAACGGGTGGTGTGTTTCAACCGCGGCCTCAAACTCTCTTTCTCTCTTGTCTTCCTCAATAATCGCGGCCTCCTTCTCTCTCTCTCTGTTTCCTCCTTCTCACTTCCACTCTCTCCCTCTTCCTCAACCTCCTCCTCCTTCCACCTCTTTCTTAGACTACTATCATCACACTTGATTCTCATCTTCGTCTGACTCGTTCTCTTCTGTTTCGTCTTGACACATTGAAACTCCCGGTGGTTGTTACGCATCAGCTTGTCTGCCCCCGGATTCAGCTTTGGCTTTATTTCTCTGGGCATTTCCCCCCTGCTGCATGGTACTTCTCCTGTCCTGTCCGGTCCAGTCCCCTCCCCCTCTCCCACACCCCTGGGCCGTCTCAGCGCGCGCAACTTTCTACATTTCTTGTTAATCTTTCCTCCCCCTCCCATTCCCCTCCCCATTTCCGCTCTTTTATACTTCCACCGCTTTACTCCATTCGCTCCACTTATGGCTATGGTCGATCGCTTGTCCATCCTGAAATTAACCCTCTTCCGCTAGGCTCCCTTCCGTAAACAAGACTCGATCCTCCGCCATCAAGTCTCCGTGCCCGCGCTTCAATCCGTCCCCCGGCCCAGCTTCCCCTCCGCCTAATTACCCCCCTTCTGGTTGCAATTACAATAGTCCTTGACTTGAAATCGCTACGACTGCTTGTTCGAGGTCGAATGCCTACCAAAATTCCCGGATCGGCTTCTCAACTGGTTTTGGCTTGAGATTCGCGGGCGCGCCTCCCTCTCCTCTTTCTTCTCGGAGTCTCGTCCATCGTATCCCTTGGACTGCATATCTTCGTTACCATCATCCTTGAATAGTCATTCGCTATAAATAATACACACTCAAGATGGAATCCCCGGGGTATCCTGAGTCTCCTATGGAGCAGGATGACATTCCCTTCCCCTGCAAGGGCTGTGGAGAGGTATGGATTTGTCAAGAGCGCAGATCGAGCAAATCTAGGCATAGAATCGTACACTGACAAGGCTTCGCGCTCGAATAGATTCTCGAAGAGGGTAAAGCCTTTGAACTTGGTAGGTTTTTCGTTCGGTGACCATACTAGCCTTCGCGTGCTTTGCTGACCGCTTCTCTGTATTCTAGCGGGCAACCGATGGCACATCGAATGTTTCTGCTGTAGTACCTGCGGCACGCTCCTCGACTCAGATGCGCACCTCCTCCTGCTTGGCGACGGGTCATTGATTTGCAGCAACTGTACTTACAGCTGTAGTTCGTGTGGGAACAAGATCGAGGACCTTGCCATCCTCACGGGTGAACAAGCTTTTTGCGCACAATGCTTCCGCTGCCGCAACTGCAAGCGGAAAATTGAGAACTTGCGGTATGCCCGCACCTCCCAGGGTATATTCTGTATGGACTGTCATGAGTCGTTGATGCAGCGGCGGAGAAAACGAAAGGCGGCCCCTACGCGAAAACAGGGGACTCCCGGGGTGAAGCTAGACAAATCACTTCCGTCATTACCCCCAGAAGAAATGGAACTGGTCTCGCACGCATTGGACGATCAGGATGCTTATGCCATGCCCGGCGGGGAGACCTCTGCGCGAACGGCTTCCGCGCTGGACGCGGGAAGAGGTCACGGCTCGACCTCTCGCCCCGCGGCAGAAAACCAAGGTAAGTCGGTCTTGCGCGTTGCCTCAGAGGCTTTGGATGATGGTGAAAAGAGAGCTAATAAATGCAGACAACCTGCTTCTCCCATCGAGCACCTATCGCAGCAATCGCCAATCGATTGTGCCCCCTCATGCCGAAGCCGATGGCGGCGAATTCCTGATTCCCCTCGCTTTTGACCCCTCTGAAGAACAACGGTCCCGCGGACAAACAAATCCCACTTCGGGAAGCTCGTCTCCTCACATCGCCTACCAGGAGAAAGGTCGGGAACGGACTGATGATGCCGCTCGCTGGCGTCAGGAAGAACGCGCCAACGGCACGTCTCGTGGCGACAGAACACCTGTCACGCGCTCGGGCTCGGTGCGTAGTTCTCGCTCCGATCTGGGTGGTCGGAAGGAAGCCAGCACGTTTTCCTCGCCCAGCCCCGAGAGCACCAAGTCTACAACAACTGTGCCCAGAGATGGCTCAGTCGCAACGGTCCCTGAGAGCATGACCACACTCCCCATCAGACCCTCTCATGAGCTGTGCCGACTCCACGAAGCCAACTGCTCAATCGACTCCGCGCATTCATTCTTGTCCTCGTCGAGCATGCAAGCTCACCCCAAGCGTGGCGATTCTCTCGACCGGCGACTGAACCAGAGCCCCAGGAAGGATGCTCCTTTGTCACCTCGTGCTTCTTCATTGAGCCCGAGTGAGCAATGGAGTGAAAAGTCAACAGATCGGACAGCATTCAGCAGGAGTACTCGTACGGGCGATTCGATGTGGACGCCTCGTAGCGATGCCAATGAGCACCCCAAGCCTCCGGCACGCCCCAACTCGGTCAGTGCTCTACAACAAGTGGAGTCTTACCGCCATGGCGATGGTGCGGATCTCTCAGCGGATGGGGAGCACTCTCAGATCATAGGTGCCAGTGATGGCTCAGCAGCACAGAACAGCGAATCTTTCCTGCGACGCGTTTCCAATTCCGTGCGGCACGGTCGGAGCTACAGCGACAAAGGCTCTCGCCTGTCTCGTGACGCAAAGTGGCCCCGGTCGCCTGTTAATGGATCTGCAGCAGTCCCTGATTTAGGCAGTGCTTCTCCCGAGGCGACCGGATCGGATGAGTTGACTTGGCTCCGCAACGAGCTCCGCCAGGAACGGCAACGAGTGTTTGATCGCGAACAGAAGATTGCGGAGATGGAGGCCATGCTGAACGCCAGTGCGGAGGTCAAGCAGGTCAACACCGAGTTGAACGAAAAACGCTCCACCATGGTGGTCTTGGACGCTCAGAAGGAGATCGCCATGCGCGAGTTGTCCGTGTTGACAGAGCACCTTGAGGCGGAGAAGCGTGGCAATGGTGGTTCTCTCGACCTTGGCAAATTGACCAACCATGTTCTGCGCGAATTCGTGGAGTCGATCCAGAAGTTGAAGGATTCATTCACCCCGCAGATTGAGGAACTGATCCAGAAGCGCAATGATGCCGCGGAAGAATTGACCAATCTTAACCGCATGAAGGACAAGAGCTTCCAGGAGTTCGAACAGCTGTCCTCAAAGAATGCTCAGCTTGCCGAACTCAACAACCAACTGGTACACCAGATCCAGGAGCTTTACAAGGCCAACGACGGCAACCGTGGAGCGAATGGTCTGGGTATTTACTCTCATGGCAAGGAGAAGTCGCTGTCGTCCATTGAGGCTCTGAAAGCGGCTCACAGCGATTTGGTCCCGGTCACGGCTATCAACATGTCGGAAGAAGCCGAGGGAGCTACCATTGTCCCCGGTCCGCAAGTCGTCAGTATTCGAAAGGGACAGCCGCGTAAGTTCAACTGGAAGAAGGGTGGTCAGAACGTTGCCAAGGGTGTCACCAAGGGACTCAAGGGCGCCTTCATGTCCAGTGAAAACGCCACCACCACAGAGGGAAGCCCTGGCCTGCCGCGCTCTCAAACGCAAGACCCTAGTCGGCCAGGTTTTGGTTTCTTTGGCAATCAACGCAATAAGCAGGCTGGGACTCGCATGCCGACCACCGACAGCGTTCCAGTTCTAGCTGAAACCAATCCTAATGGTATGCTCCATCCTGCCACTTGTCGAATCATTCTGCTAACCTTTTCCTAGCACTCTTTGGTACCGATTTGGAGCAGCGCATGGAGCAAGAAAAAAGCATCATTCCTGGCATTGTCTCTCGCTGCATTCAGGAAGTTGAATTACGAGGTATGTCTGTCCCGATTGATTGTTGGTCCCATATATATATTGACTGACTCTGGCAGGCATGGATATGGAGGGTATCTACCGGAAATCCGGTGCTAGCTCGGCAATCCAGACGATCCGTGAGGGATTTGAGCGGTCTCCACATGATTACGATATCTCCGATCCGGATCTCGATATTCATGCGGTGACCTCGGCCCTGAAACAGTATTTCCGGAAGTTGCCTACGCCACTGATCACGTTCGAGGTTTACGAAAACATCATTGATACAGGTGAAATTACCTCTCAGTCCGGTCGCATTGAGACCCTACAAAAGAGTCTACGCGAGCTGCCGCGCGTGCACCAGGATGTGCTTGAATTCCTGATCTTCCACCTGAAGAGAGTGGTCGAGCGCGAGAAAGAGAATCTGATGACCAGCCAAAATATCGCCGTGGTGTTTGCCCCGACCATCATGCGACCGGAGAGCTTGGCACGGGAAATGACGGATGTGCAGAAGAAAAATGAGGTGATGAAGTTTTTGGTGGACAACTGTCAGGAGATCTTCATGGGCATGCAGAATTGACGACTGGCTTTCCAGCCGTTGCCCTATTCAGGCCTGGGCTTGTCTGATCTGGCATCAGAGTGAGCACTGCCTAGCTGCTCTGGAAGAAGGTCTCCTCCTTGACGCTTTGGTTTAATTGTTTATTTTAGAATACCCTTCCAGTTTCCTGTCAATTGCGACAAATCTCTTGTACATACATATACCACGGTGGCATGACCGATCTGTATTCTTTTCTCTTCCTTGTCTACGTTTTCTTTCCCCTTCTCTCCCGACCTCTAGCTGGACCTTTTCCTCTGACGATGACCATCGTCATCAGCCCGTCGATACCCTTTTTCTTCTTTGATTATCCCTGACTTCACTCTACTCTTGTAATCCGACCCTTTTCTCTATCTCACTTCCCTTCGATGATCCCGCAGGTTCGAAGCTAGTTTACACTCTCGAGGGCACGCGCCCGGTTTGGTGGCTATCTAGAGTGCGCGGGCACAAACTACTAACTAGTCTGGGTCACGTTTGGACTGTTGGAAAGAAGCCCAGAATCTAATATTACCACCCGGAAGTATTGATGAATCAGATAGCGTGGAACTATAGTATGGTTGTAGTCGTAGACATGCTTCCTTAGACTTGAGACCCACTCTAGGTATCGCCGAGGGCTAGGAACAAATAGCTAGCTACTTGAACATATACGACACCAAGAAAGTCACTCCAAAGCTGGTATAAGCATACAAATCTTGGCAAGCCACCAGAAACAGATCTGAAGGGGGCTTGCTTCTATCTAGAACGTCTCATCCTCGAGCTTCTCCACCCTACGAATCACGCTCGGACTCTGCTCCTGAACGATATCATCCGTGGTATCATTTGCGCCGGCTGTGAGTAGTAGATCCTCGACAATCCGCTTGGATGCTTCCTTCGCTGTGGGATTGTTGCGCTTGTTAGTTCCTTTTTCTTCTTGTCTGATTCCAGATTTATTAAGTAAAGGGAGGAGAGGAATACGAACCAGGCGTCTTCATCAACCGACTCTGCGGGATATGGAATTGCATCGTCTTCGGCGGACTGGGTCCTAGATCCTCGTCCTCGTCACTGAACGCGGCTGTGCCGCCGTATCCCCTCACTCCAAAATCATCATCGTCGTCATCGCTATCCCAGCCCCGGCGACCCGTCCCGCCGCCCTTCATCGGGGTCAGGACACTCATCCCGGGCTTGGGCGTCGGCCGAGAGAAAAGCTGTCCGTGGGCAGCGCTCGGCCGTCGCTTGCGGCCTGTATTGGGAGTTTCAGCGCCGCCGCCGCCTCCTCCTTTCATGGGGGAGGAGAAGATCTCGGCGTGGAGTTGCGGGGCTTCGGGCTCGGGGCTGGAGATTGGGGAGTCGTCGAAGGAGGAGTATTTGGATTTCTTCGCGGGGGGTTTTTCGGGAGTAGTGGCGAACATTGGGTTCGTGAATTTGATGGATTTGGAGGTTGAGAGGTAGTGTTTTAGGTTTTGACGCTTCTTTGATAGGGGGGTTGCTTGTACGCGGTAGGTTTTGTCGTGGAAGCGATGGAGGATTGGGTCTTCGTGGGTGGATGTTGGGGCCGGGGGGATAAAAGGTGAGGAGGAAAGCGGGGTGTGCGATTCGTCGTGGTGTGGTGGGTATTGACTTTGTTGGTGTTGTTGTTGAGGCTGGGTGGTTGTAGTGGTGCGGTAGGAGCGAGGTGCTGAGGCTGATGCTGAGTATTTCCCTGGTGTGGTTGGGAGGAACGAGTCCTCGTTTTCGGCATCCGCTAGTTCTGCGGCGCGGGCGAGGTCGCGTGTATCGCTGTCTGGGAGGGAGTCTGGGTCGAGGTATGGGGAGGGGTGCGCGATTGAGGAGGTGACCGTTGTGTCGTTGGCTTGTTGGTGGTGGTGGTGGTTGTGGTGGTGGTGGGAATCGTATGGGCGAGGGGTGCTGTGCGAAGAGAGGCTGAGGGCTGTCAGCTCTAATTCCGGCTCGTGCTCGCGGTGGTCTAGGCTGAGGTGCGATTCGTCTTGTTGCGCCGTGAGCTGTGTGTCTTGCTCATGTGCGCTCAGGGATGGGTCTTCATCCTCCTGTAGCGTCGTGGTGGCGTCTTCGGGTTTCTCTTCGTAGCCCGACAGGGAGACGTTGGCGCTGGCCTCGAAGAATTGTTTCCAGAACTGGGTGGAAGGGTGTTAAGTTAGTGATGCACGAACGCATGGCGTGTGGTGTCGGCTATACCTTGGCACCCTCCCAGACGTCGCGGGAGTTTTCTGAGTATTGTTCAATTAGAGGGAGAATACTGGTGGTTACGATGCGATGGGCTTGGCTGAAGTTGTGGTCGATCTCTGCGGGTTTCCATGTTAGCGGGGTGGTTATAAGATGTCTCATGCGGAGGGTCTGTGGTTACCCTGCAGGGTGAGCGTGATGGATTGCTCGAGCTTCTCGAGCTCTTCCGTGAGTGTCAAGGGCCGCTGGGCCATGGAAGATGGGCGCGACATGATGAGTGTCCGAATGGTCGGGTTGCAGCGTTGATTGAATCAATAGTGGGGACTTGTATACAAGGCAGAGCAACTTATCGACGTTGGTTGCCGCTGTTGCCGCTGTTTGTTTTGATGGACGCGGAGGGGCAACACGTGACACGGCATGTTAGGGCGGGTGGATAAGGGCAGCGGGAGTCATGTGGCGGCGGGGGAAACAGCTGATTCTCGACCGACCAACTGACTGCTGCCTACCTTGTTAGTTCCTGTCTGACTCTTCCTCTCCCGGACAAAACTTCGAGTCGACGGTGCTGACACGATGCCTACGCCTGTTGCGAAAGGTATGCTTGCTCATGAGGGTCATTTCATTTTCCCTTTATTGTTGCAAGAGTGAAAGTTATCTATTGGGGCGGTGTGTGCTTATCAGTCGCTGTTGATGACGATGGATGAGATATCCCCGGGTTTAGCCGGATAGCATTTCGTATTTCCTATAATGTGTTCGAATTTCTTGACTGTGCATTTACAGATTCTGCTTTCGGAGAGCCACTCTGGAATCATGATACTGACACATGCAGGAATCATCATTACCGTCTCGGCGCTCGTCGCTGCCGGGATCGCGGTCTACGAGTCGCCTCAGTTCCGCCAATGGGTGAACAACTCGCGGCGAAAGATCGCACTGGCCTTGCACAGCCTAGGCGACGATATTAACCCGCACGATGCTACGCTCCGACAAGATATCTCGATGACTGAGGAAGTGGGTGCAGCGGCCGAAGAACGCCGGCGATTAGCTCGCGAGGAGCTCCAACGACGTCGTTCCTTGCTCGAAGAGCGTCGCAAGGGCTTGGCGCGAGCACCGACGAATAGCTTTGATACTTTGGTCGATGAACAGGGCCGGTTGCTAGACACTTCGGATTCGAGCGAGATACCGTTGGCCAACTCGACTGCTGTCGAAGTGGCGACGTCGCAGCCTGTGCACCGGGGCAAGCTGGCTGGGGCCCCAGCCTTGCTGCCAGAGAGCGCCCCGAGCCAGACTCAAACCCGCGAGTTAAGCCAGCCGCTGCAGCTCGATATCCCGTCACCTCGTGTCGGTTCGCCTTCACTGGCCGAGTTCACCCCCGTCTCTGAAGCTCCTGACAAAATGGCCGCGTCGCTCTTGTCGTCACATATGGAGGAGGAACATCATGTTGTAGGGGATGACGAGTCAGTCTCTAGCCATACGGAAGGTCACTCGGAAGTGCTATCTACTGGTCCTGGGGACTGGATGACAAACGAAACTGGTCGCGACTTGAGGTCTCCCTTCTCCGACTTGGCGGAACTGCAGTTCCAGCAGGGACGCCCCTCAACTCCATCTACCAGCGACAGCTACAGCCAGATCTATGAGTCCGCGATCGACGCATCGTCAGATGGCACATTGAGCGATCTGGGCCGGTCGACTGGCGTGGCCACGCCAGCCAGTTGGTCAGAGGTGGGCAGTGTGATCAGTAATGACGAGCACATTCATCACTTGTAGGCAAATTGGAATAAGTCGCGTGTAGTACTGCTGGTTGGACGGCGCTGGAGGAAGGCGTTATTGGTATTTGCTTTTCTGTTTTTGCTGGCTCGGTTGGGACTTGGGACAAAGGAATGCCAGGGTCGTATACGCTTCCATGGTTTAGGTGTAGATAAATGCTGAAAATCGCTTTATTTCCCACACATGCTTCTGCGAGTCAATCCCCAAAAAGGGACCTCGGACCGTTTCTTAGTTGTAGCAGATAAATGAGGAGTCGAGTACGGTCAGTGGGACGGTCCGGATAAGCAGCGCTGCAGAGGCCAAATGAACCTCGGCTGTTGCTCGGTTGGGTTGGGGTAGTAAGACACTCTCTCCTTCGACTTCGCGGCGCATTTCAACTCGAGTCCTTCCCTCGTCCTGCTCTTTCTTTCCATCCACTCACTAGCTTTACTCGACAGTTGAGATAGAGCAGTCTTCAACACCGGTAAGTAACGTTTGACGCCACCCTCTGGAGACGAGCGAGCAGTCTGCCTGGCAGTCCTTGCCCGGACTCCGTCGTCATCTTTCCCCGCTCCACTCCATGCTTCAAGGGATAGATCGAACCGAGTGAAGCTGACAGCAACCAGCAACCATGGCAGCAGACCGTCTCAACAACATCCTCAGCCACCTAAAGCCGTCTGGAACGAGCGGACTATCCGCCATGTAAATTCCTCCTATTCCACCCTGCTGTACTATGCACACCGCGATGCTAACAGACACACTAGCACCCAGAAGAACCCAGACGATGTGGTCATCACGCTCGCTCTGCGGACGCCACTGACCAAGGCCGTGAAGGGCGGCTTCAAAGATACAGAGCTAGACTATCTGATCTACGCGCTTTTGAAAGAAGTGCTAGCCAAATCGAAGATCGATCCCAGTGTGATCGAGGACGTGTGCTTGGGGAATGTAAGTTGCCACCTGCCTCCCTCATTAACCTGAACACCCTCCCCCCTCCCTATCCCACAAACTCAAGCCCATCCAACCCCATAAACCCTCAAAACTAACCCCCATACCTAAAGGTCAACGACGGCAAAGCCGCCTACCTAGTACGAGCAGCCTCCCTAGCAGCAGGCATCCCCCACACAGCCGGCGGCTCCAGCGTGAACCGATTCTGCTCCTCGGGCCTAAAAGCAGTACAAGACATCGCGAACCAGATCCAACTGGGGGCAATCGACGTGGGTGTCGCCGTGGGCGCGGAGCTAATGTCCGCGCCGTCAGGCGACCGGATCCCGAAACCCTTCAACGCGGAAGTGCTCCGCAACCGCGAAGCAGCCGACTGCATGCAGCCGATGGGACAAACCTCGGAAAACGTGGGCGCAGACTTCAACATCTCGCGCGAGGAGCAAGACGCCTACGCCGCGGAGTCCTTCCGACGGGCGGAGGCCGCGCAGAAGGCCGGGTGGTTTGACGAGGAGATCGTGCCCATCACTACTACCATCAAGGATCCCAAGACCGGGGAGACGCGCACGGTTACCCTGACCAGAGACGAAGGCGTGCGGTATGGGACCACCAAGGAAGCGTTGGCCCAGATTCGACCTGCGTTTCCGCAGTTCGGGAATCGGAGTACCGGTGGCAATTCGAGCCAGGTTACTGATGGTGCCGCGGCCGTCTTGCTTATGCGTCGGTCCAAGGCTGTGGAGCTGAATCAGCCGATTCTGGCGAAATTCTGCGGCGCTACGGTGGCGGGTGTGCCGCCGCGCGTGATGGGCATTGGGCCTACGGCGGCGATTCCGAAGTTGCTGGCGCAGTTTGGGCTGCGGAAGGAGGAGATTGAGTTGTTTGAGATTAATGAGGCGTTTGCGTCCATGGCTGTCTATTGTCTGCGGAACCTGGGGCTCGATCATGAGAAGGTTAATCCTCGGGGTGGTGCTATTGCGTTGGGCCATCCGCTCGGCGCGACGGGCACCCGCCAGATCTGTACGATTCTGAGCGAGGCGCGCCGCACTAAGAAGAAGGTTCTGGTGACGAGTATGTGTATTGGGACGGGCCAGGGGATGGCGGGGTTGTTTGTGAACGAGCAGGTTTGAATGTAGCTCCAATTTGACTGTGGTATTATCGTCATGAGACATAGCGTTATATCAGGCTGACAAAGAAGATTCAAGCACGCAAGCATATCGATCGTACTGTGTATATACAAGGCCAAACGGCCGGTCACTTCTCACTTCTCACTTCCCCCCCTCTCCCTCTCCCTTTTCATCCTCTCCTCGGCCGCCTTGGCCAGAACCTCCCTCATACTCCCTGGCCCCGTAGCACTACCACTACCACCACCGTCCCCCTGTCCCTCCGCCTGCTCCGACCCTTCCCCAGACCCCAAAACAAACCTCCCACCGGTCCACCCCCTCTCATCAAGAACCAACCCCTCGCGCATAGTCTCCTCCCACTCCCCAGGATTATAGAACTCGTCCTGGCCCCCCGAACCCCCAGCACCAAGCACCCTCACACTCCTAGTATAATCCCCCCTCTCCACCTCCCCCTCAATCCTCTTCGTAAGCTCCCAAAAGTCACGATCATGCTCACTATGCACACAATGCGCAAGCTCATGACACAGCGTCTTGCGAATAGTCCGATAATCCCTGTACCCGTCGTAGGCATCGGTCCTCAACCTCAACTCAATCACCTGGCCTTTATTCCGATTCAGCCCCAGCGTCCGCGAATGCGACGTCGTATGCTCTGCGGGATCCATCTCCGTGAGCAATGGCACGGAGAACCGGTGGATGCGCATCGCGGACCGGATACCTGGGTCGTCGCGGAGGCGGGCGAGGAAGTCGTGGCTTCTGGATGGGTTGGGCAGGTGTGGGAGGGGGAGGAGTTTGTGGAAGGTGTAGTTGTCTGGTGATGCATCAGATGATGATGATGATGAGGAGAGGGTGTGGATGCGGGAGATGGCGCTGGAGACCGAGGAAGGGGTTGCGGTTGCGGCGTATTTGGCGTGCGTGCTGCGGCGGAGCTGGTCGCGGGCTTGTTGTGTTGCGCCTTGGTTGTTTAAGCTGGTGATCTCGGCGGATGGGGTGCCCAGGACGGTGAGTTTGAAGCGTGGGGAGGTGTAGGGTAGGAGAGTTGATAGTGGGGTGTGTGTGAGGGCGGGGCTGAAGGGTGGTTTGCACATTCCGGGGCTTGGTGCGATGAGCAGCTTTTGGTTTGAGGCGGGGATGTTGAGTTTTTGGGAGAGGTGCTCGGTCAGGTCGGGGAGGGTGGAGGTTGCCGGTAGGCTGATCTTGTGGGCTGTGCCGCGGTGGTGGATTGTTAGGTGTAGCGTTTCGTTGCTTTGCGATTCTGTTTCTTCGGCGGCGGTAGTGGTGGTGGCTGCGGCGGCCTGGTCGTCATGGTGTTCTGGGGGACTGTTCTCGACTGGAGGAGGGTTGGGTGTGGCGTCGGCCATGTTGGGTGTCGTCTATCGAAGATAATGTGGGTGGTGGTGAGGTCGATGACTAGAGGTCAAGGGAAAGTGCATCTATAAAAGTGAGAGAAGGCGTGATATGGTTGGATTCGATCTTCTTCGATTGCGGTTTTGTCAGCCGGAGAGGAGGCGTGGCGTAACTCCGATAGTTCATATCAGTGATCACATGGTGATAACAAGTGAGCATGGTTCCTGTTACTAAGCTTCTCCATAGCCTCAGGCACAGAATGAATGATCGTCGCTGCTTATTCTCAATCCTGATTACGTCGGAGCTGCCTCAGATAGAGAGAACCACCGGAGAACAGCACCCGAGCAGACACATCTCCGTCTGCTCGGTGGTCAGTGCTATGTGAAATATCACTTGATTATCTTCTCAATAGATCGATTACATAGTATTGACTGGCCTGTACACCATTTAAACAACCCAACGCCGTTCCATACCGTTCAGAACGCCCCGACACCATTCTATGTACCCGCCACTATGCTCCGAATAGATGGTATGTCACAGGGACATTGATGAAAGAAAGAAAGAGAAAAAGAAAAAGAAATGTACCTCGTCGAGCCAGCATCATTCATACTGCCGGTCGTCTTTATCGTCCTTCGCCTGCTGCTCCGCCTCCGGCTCCGGCTCGTCCAACAACCATTCTTCCAGGTCAGGATCAAATGTATGACTGATTGGGCAGGTCAGCAACAGGAATTCGTCCCTCGACTCGGGGCATCACTCACTTATGGTAATGTGTGTTTGTCAACGCCTGTTTTGTGTACTCATTCTCCAGGACCTGGTCGTATTTGAAGGGCACCTTCGCCGAGACCCCTTCGAACGTCGTCCGGCGCAGAGGATAGATATCTTCCGTCTGGTATTTGTGCAGGTTCTTGCATTGCCACTCCGTCGGATTGGTCGCATTCAGCCGGCTCAGCCCCGTGATGTCGATATACAAGCCTGTGCCCATGTCGATCCAGCGCGCATCGATGATATTCAGCCCCTGGCCACGATTGCGTTGACGGGCCCACGGATTGACGTCGACAAGGTATTTGCGCTCCACGTTCTCATCCTTCGCGGTGTACTGGACGACGGTCTGATTGTAATGGTCGGCGAGTTGGAACAGCGTGGGCTCCATGACTTGCGTGTCAATGTCCCAATCCCAAGGCATGACCTAGAATTCGCCGTGAGTTTTTGTTTGGAATCGACCCCGAGGCGCAGCGCCACGAGAGATGGAAAGGCCTACCTTTCCGTTCCACCACCACCCCAGAAGCGTACCGTGCGCAATCCACGTCTCCAGCCCGTTGTCCTCGAAGAAATTCAGGTATGCGCGGATCATATGCGTCAGGGTGAGGGACCGCTCCTCGTCGGGGACGGGATTGGTGAAGAATCGGGAGTCATAATGGCCGAGGATGTCGTCGTTGCCCGGTTCCTGGAAGTATTTGAACTCTTCCGATCGGTTCAATCCATATTGTTCCCACAATGGGTCCGGGTCGTTGTGGTTGAGAAGCTTGCCATAGGTGCGATGGATCGCCGGTCCCGGCTGCGAGTCGGGTGAGGAAGTGGCTGTTGTGGTTGTGGCGAGGAACCCGATCGTCCAGACGACGGCCAGCAGGCCTCGGAACTTCATTCCGGCAGTGAAAGTCAGAAGTGATATGTGTGTCGAGTGTGTTTGCATGTGCGATTGCCAGGGATGGGGGCATCAATCACGCTTCTGCGTGCATCCTGGGTCGAGGCGCAAGGAAGGAGGGAGGGTGAGTGTGCACGTTTCGCCAAGCGTCTTAATCTATATGATTGTTTTCAAGGGAGGGAGGAGGTTGAAAGGAAAGAAGGGTGCCCATGCGCCGAGAGTTGGAGGTCCACGCAGCGCTAGGATCGCATGCTCTGTGAATCGGATCACTCAAGGTCCTTGGCCGTTGGCCCCGGAGATAATGACACCTTCGGGTTCGGTTGACCGGGTTTTATTGGAGTCAGCCAATGACCTCGAAATACACCGACCAGGGCAGGACAAGTCAAGTCAAGTGGGAGGGGGAAAGGAGGGGAGGGGAGGGGGGTCGTAGAGCGAAGCGAACCCTCGGGGATTATAAAGGAAATAATAGTTCAAGCACGGAATGACAGTAGCTAACCCCAGCCGACGATCCGGCCGATCCGTAGAAACGGGGGGGGGGGAGAGGGAGATTTTTCTGGGAAAGAATAAATTGATAATCGATAGATAGATTAGGAAAGTAAGGAAAGGAATGGGGTAAGTAGCAATAATAATCATGAATAATAATCCGACATGACTTCAACCCAAGCCAGCGGGGCGGACATTTGGCACCTCCACCTAGACTAGCGACTTTCGAGCCTTCACGAAGTTCAGAAGGTCAGTCACTCCCAATCGCAGCATTTCTGGGCATGGTTCCATGGCTGGAACCCTAATCGTTTCCTCAACTGCGATGACGACAGGGCGCATCGAAAGGACCCCAAGGAAGAAGAGAAGATGGAGGGTGAGTAAGTGATGGTCAGGTGAACGTTCGTGAAGAAGATTTGTGGCATTGCATTGTCTTTGGCTCAATAGCTGATCATTCTCTTTGTCTTTTCATTTGATTCTCATTCTTGCGCTCATTTGCAAAAGGGCCAAGAGAAACGAGGAGTACTAGTCTCCTGCCAGTGTTGTTTAGTTCCTGGTCTAGTCGAGTAAGTAGAAAGTTGGAATCTCCCGAGTCCGGAAGAGGAGATCCTCGCGTGCCATCTTGCCCATCTGGTCTAGTTTGACCCCACCCAAACCTGAACTCCTAGTAGAATGTAGATACATATCAGCCAACTGGCATAACAACAATCGATACGGAGTCCATACATATACTGCAACATGAATCAATGAACAAATCCATAGCAAAGGAGACAGACAATCGCCGCCCACGTTACACAGTTCTCGGATCAGTGCAGTCTGTGCTCGTTCTTGTTCAACACAACCCCCATGTTGCGCCTCTACCAGCAAGCAAAGCCGCCATGATTCAAATCTCTATCCATAGTCAATCAGACTAAGGGCATGCCAATGCCATAGGGTTGAAAGGGCTTGCCTTAGCGTGATCTCTACCCTGGCCTGCCATTCCCATCTCATCCACACCAACAATCAAGCCAGCAGGTAGGCGCCTGTACGTAGAACAAGACCACTCAAAAATTCCGCCGCCGCCCGCTCGTCAAGCCACTTGAAAGGCTGAAGGCTGAAGGGCTGAGACAAGTGACGCGAACTAACTTGTACCTTATCTCAGCTACACTTTCTACCTACTTATATGTATCTCCAATCTCGGCATGGATATGAACTAGGTATCTCTCCGAAAGAAGCAATATTCAGTCAGTAAATGACAGCCCACAGTGCACACAGTCATAAAACTTATTGTAAGTGTAGTCTACCCCCTTTTCATAATTCTCCCACATCCGCCGCCGAGCAACCCGCGAGCCCAAAAAAAAAAAAAAAAAAAAGGGCTCCACTCCCAGGGAAGCCGTTGCTGCAGCGGATAGGACCATTCCTGCTTTCCTTTATCCTTGGCGTTGGAGACTTGGTTGGAAAGGGGGACATGGGGAATCCTGCCAATCAATCCGATTCGGTGGACGGGGGAAGGAACCTAAACTCCGTTGCGACTCGCTTTAGCCCAGGGCCAAGACGGTCTCTCATCCAAGTCATCTGGGAGATTGAATGTTGAACTGGCCAGTTGGACTTGGACCCAACTTGGCGCTTGGCCATCTCACGTCTCACAAGTCATTACCACTGACGCAGAAGGGGGGTCATCGAGAATTGACAGGACATGGATCATCGATCACCCCAAAACACCTATCAACCTCACTAACCTATCTTGGCTCGTGTTCGTATTGACTCAATGGAGCAAGGAGATGAGATGCGATGCTGGGAATACTCGGTCACATGACCCGTCATCTTGGGCTCATCTCATCCCTTGCTCTCTTGGCTTGTACTCCGTACAAGGCTTATTGACAATCATCAACAAAAGAGCACCCTCCAGATTACCAATAGTATTTACCAGTCATACATATCCTTTTGCCCCGGTCGGATCGTCTATCAACAGTTCCATATCATATCTATGTCTTTTTATCCTTCCGGCTGCTTTAGCCTTACCCCGCCCATCAGCAAACAGCACCGCTTGAAGCGAACCGAACACAAAAGGACAGGACAAGGCAGGCGTACACAGCAGAAGTGGCTCGGGTCGTTTCTACATCACAGCCAACCGATTCTCGGCGACACACAAAAAAATAAGACGAAGAAAAAAAGCAAAAGCAAAGTAAAAACACACGGGGGATCAAGATGTTTGTATTGATTCGTGACCACATTGCCAGCACACTGCACCCACCACGCCACTAGGGCAGTGGCTCACCCATCAAAACGGACATTTACTCCTGGGCCTTGGCCTCGCCCTCAGCCGGGGCATCCTTCATCTCCGTATCGTCAGCCTTCTCATCGGCCTTCTTGGCCTCCTCCTCAGCCTTGCGCTGAGCCTCGGCCTCGGCCCGCTTCTTGGCGGCCGCCTCCTCCTGCGCCTGCAGGACAGCCTGGCGCTCGGCCTCAGCCTTCTCGCGGTGGCGCTGGATGATGGGTCCGGCAATGAAGCGGATCTCATCCATCTTAGCCACGTAGACGGACTTGGACGTGTCCTCACCCTCCTCATAGAGCCAGTCCTAGTGACCGGTTAGCATACGATCAATGGTGTTGGGATCACAAACTCGGCGAGACAAGAACTTACCTCGGTGTCCATGAGCTTAGCACGCAGCTTCTCCTTCTCCTCCTCGCTGGCGAACTCGGCATACACGCCCTCGATCTTGTCACGCAGCTCGTAGATGCTGGCCTCGAGCTCGTTCTTCTTCTCGTCGGTCTCAGCGATCAACTTGTCCTCCATGTACATGGCGTTCTCACGCTCGGTGAAGGTGTTCTTGAGCGACTCATCGATGCCGGGGGTGCCGGAGGAAATGGGCAGGTCACCCTTGCGGACCTGCTTCTTGACCTTGCGGGTCTTCTTGGGCTGCTCACCAGCCTTGGCATCGGTATCCATGGCCTAATCACGTTAGCCTCTATCTGATGGATGCATTTCAGAAAATGGAAAACTCACCTCGCCGTTCTCACCCTCCTCAGGGACGGGTTCCTCGACTTCCATGTCCTCAACATAGTAGCCGGACTCAACGTTAAGGATACCGTGCAAGTTCAGGCGGGCCTTGAGCTTGCAGATCATGAAGTCATCGTTGGCATCAGCCTTGACTCCCTTGACAGAGAAGCGGCCAACCCAGGGGTTGATCTTGCCAGGGAGCTGCTCAGGATTGGCGTAGCGAGCCTCGAGATCGAAGGGCTGCTTGCGGTAGAAAGTAAGGATCTTGGTGGAGGGCATAACATTGCCACGGTTGAAGACAGTCAGGCTAGTGTCTTCATCGGGGATGTCGGCGGACTGCTCCCAGGTGAACTCAATGGGGTAGCTCACAATGTCGTGCACGGAGAAGTCACGGACACGGAAGACGGGGGAGAGGATGGCACAGCTGAAAGCACAGCCACGGGCAATGGCCTCATCCTGGTTGAGGGTGAAGGACAGGTTCTTGCCGAAGAACTTGGCAACGGCATCCTTGACGGCGGGCACACGGGTACAGCCACCGACCATCTCGATGGAGTCAATGTCCTCGGGCTTGAGCTTGGCCTCGGCGAGGGCCTGCTCAAGGGGAACGGTGATACGCTCAAGGAGGGGCTTGACCATGACCTCCAACTCCTCACGCTTGACGATGGCGCGGACATCAACATCCTCCATCAGAGACTCGATGCTCATGGGAGCAGCAGGGTTGGCCGACAGAACCTTCTTCATCTTCTCGGCAGCGGCGAGGGTACGGGACCAGGCCTTGGCGTTGGTGCGGACATCGATCTTGAACTTCTCCTTGAACTCATCGGCGAAGTGCTCAGTGAGAGCCTTGTCGAAGTTACGGCCACCGAAGTGACGGTCGTAGGCAGTGGACTTGACATTGAGCTCACCCTTGCGGAACTCCACGATGGAGGCGGTGTAGTCGCTGTAACCGATGTCAACGAACATCACACGGCGGGGCTTCTCCTCGGGGCCGGGCAGGTCCAGCTTGGTGATACCGTATCCGAGGGCCGTGGCGGTGGTGTCGTTGATCAGGCGGAGAACCTTGAGGCCAGCAATCTCACCGGCATCGATCATGGCGCGGCGCTGAACATCGGTAAACCAGGCGGGGACACTGATGGTAACGTCGGAGACGGGCAGCTTCAGCTCCTTGGCGGTGATGTCTCTGATCTTGGTCAGGTACATGGCGACCAGCTGAGTGGCAGTGAACTTCTCCTTCTTGCCGAGGTAGTTGACCTCGACACCGGCCTGGCCATTGACATCACAGATCTGAGCCGTGCTGTAATCCTGCTCAACCTGGACATCGGGGTCGTTGAAGGAGCGGCCGATCAAGCGCTTCAGGTTGCCGACCGTGTTCTTCAGGTTCGAGGTCTCTTGAGTCTTTGCGGCCTCACCGATGTGTCTGCTTCTGGCGCTGAAACCAACCAGGGAACTATAGCACAAAATCCGGTCAGTATGATCAACGCAGGACAATGGAATTGAGAACCAGTCGACTTACGGAGTAGATCTGTTGGAGACTTCATTGGTAATCTAATTGTGATCAAGAGGAACAGGGTTAGTTCTCTGTTGGTAAAAATGAGTTCTCCGCCAGCGCCGACGATAGAAACGGCGAGGAGCGGGAAAATTGCGTAGAGGGGCAGAGATGGAAAGAGATATACGCACAATATCAATACCCTTGTTACGGGCAACACCGACCTTGGTGCTCTGAGCACCGAGATCAATACCAACGACAGACATTGTAGAGAGAGTGTGTGGTGGTGGGGGAGGGAGGGGGGGAGGGCGAAATGGAGAGAAAAGGTGTAATGAGAGAGAGAGGTGTTGGTAATATTATGGGGGAGGAGGGGAAGGTTGGGAGGGAGGATCCAGAGCAAAAAGAAGAAGAGGGACGAGGGGGGAGAATTTGCAGTTACGCCACTATCGGGCGGTCAGTTAGGTAAACCTAGGTTGAATCCTGTGGCTCAGTTCGTCACTTGGGACTATGTCGGGCAACAGCGGGCAGGGAATGGGTATCAATCAATATTAGACTACACAAAAGCGAAGTTGAGTTTAGGCAAAACTAAGGAAGCATCTAGCAATGAGGAAGGAAACAGATTCCTGATAGAAATAACCTGGATTTGACTCATTATCCTGCCAGTATATGATCTATCTGGCGCACTCTTGGAGGCAAACGCTGAGGAAGTCATCGAACCTTCCAGCGCCTCCTCGAGTCCTCCCGCGCCGTCACCGCCCTTTGTCTGCCTGGCATTTTCGAGTTCACCGCCTTGGTGGGGCTTATCGATAAAATCAGAGTTTTACTTTCCCTGCTATTGGTTCAAAGCTCCCTTGCTACTGCCTCAGGCCTCCAACTAGCACCTACCATAGCGCAATCACTCGGGGATGTTCTAGAGACATCGACCAAAAGTACTCTGGGCATGTTAGGTAATGAATATGTTAACTTGCTTGGCGACAGCCATCCTCTCATGCAACAAGTGTCTACGAGCCTTGGCAAAAGCAGTACCTTGTTAGACAGCTAAATTGACAAGCTGTTGATGCAATACAACATTAGAATCTTCCACACGAAGAAAGATGAAATCCAGAATGCTACTAAAAGAGAGGCGCGCATGTCAACATTTCGCCATTGAACATGCATAAATTATCCCGAACTCCATGAATGCATGCTCCGCTTCCGCTTCCCTCACTCCGCCATCTCTTCGTTTCTTGGCCATTACGTACAATCCCAGTACGCAGAACACGTAGAACGACTGGTTCCTCGCTCATCTAAGTTGGGGAGAAAGCAGTGACAGAACCGTTGCGCGGATGTAAGGAATCAGGAAAGATATTCGGGGCTCTCATGCCTGATCCGTCCGGTGATAGGTTGCGACACTCATTCGTCTCGTCCGCCGTTTCATTCGCAGTGCTGTATGTGGCCGGAGGCTGGGACTGATTGCTTGGCTGCTGCACTAGGTCACCCTCATGATCCTCAGCTGATGGCGAATACGGTTCACCCACTGCAGCGTCAGGGCCATGAACTCGTTCGGTATGTGGTGTCGACCCGATAGATCCCGGTGCATCATAGGCGGGATAGACTTTGGCTTGCTCTTGTCCTTTCACTAAGCTCTCCACAGGCAGTGGGAGACAGATTGAATTCGTACCAGAGTCTGTCGTCGCCACCGACTCCAGAGAGTAAGAGGGATGTAGGCCTATTCGGGGAACCCCTGGCAGGGGGGTCATGTATCTAACCATGGCGGATTCGAGGTCTTGTTGTTTCTGAAGATCGCCGTAGTTTTCAGGGAGCGGCGGTGCACCCGACAAGCGTCCATGGAGTTTCTTGCTTGGGCGGACGGGAATACCCCGTTCATCGGCCTTGGTACGAAATGTATCGACCATCACATTGAGCTCATCACCCTGCTCCCTGGCCTTTTCCACAGCTTCCTCCGGTGATGTATGCTCGTCGGCTTTCGCCGCGTCAGCTCGGGGTCCTCCCCACGTGCGCTGACCGGCGGTGAATATTCCATACACCATGTAGAGCCAGTTAAAGAAAGGATTCACAATGAACATGAGTGGGTAGAGCCAAGCCTTGAATCGCTTGAGCTTCAATCCAAAATACAGCATCAGCAGGTAGTTGAGGCCTAATGAGATTGCAATGAAGCCCACGGGAAGGCTTTTGATCTTGCTAGAAGTGGTGATGAGCGACACAACCAGGATTAAAAACAGCAAAGCGGTGGTCCGAATTGTGTTCTGCATGAAGCGCACCAAGCACAGAAGAGGATATCGCCTCCAGAGTCTGGCATCGGTTAGCATACACACTTCATTGGTGATGAAGCCGAGAAACCAGCGACGCCGTTGCTTTAAGAGACTACTGAAAGTCTGGACGGCTTCCGTTTTGCAGAATGCACCAGTGCACATTTGAATCTGATAGCGCTCAGCTGCGCCAATCATGAAGAGATGCGTCAGCCATCGATCTTCACCAAGGTGGCACTTTCCGTAGTCGAAAAGGTCCTCGCACTGCTCTGCTTTGTCCGCGAAGTAGTACTTCGCCATCTTGCGGAAGGCTGAGAATCGCAGCATCGTTAAAGCTCCTGGGAGGCAGGTTACAGCACCACAGCCAGATTCGACTGAACGCTCGAAAAGTTGCCCGTGCACATACTCCATATCCTGCAAGACGGTGATCAGGGAGTTCTTCGCTGTTGTCGACGTGATGATGCCGGTCATTGCTAGCATGTTATGCTTGCTTCCCGGTTTCAATTCCATGTCATACATAAAGTTCTGCAAGCACAGCTTGTCAAGGATGCAGTCGGAATCGATGAACAAAAGGAAGAGGTCATCCTGACGCTTGAGGTACTCAGCGTATACTTTGTCGATCAATTTGAAGGTTTGTTTCTGGCAATGCCGTTTCCCGCCGTGCTTGAAGCGTGAGACTGTTATCCTTGCGCCTTTGTATGTCACATCAATGCTCTGTGGGTAGGACTCCAGTGAGATTGGAATACCAAGATGATGGATAACCTGGAGGTAAGGCTCATCAATGCTGCCTCCGTCGTATGATAGAAACACATGGATACAGTATGCTGGGTAATCACTGCAAACCACTGAGTCTATCGCTTTGATCAGTACACATGGTTCCTCTTTGAATACGGGCATGACTATGACCGTCTTCGGCGCAGTGCGGTCATCCAAGGCTTGCTTGACCCGCTTTGTCCTCCCAACAGAATTGATAATGAGCCGGTTCACGCAAAACAGCCAGGGTATCACGAGTAGAACAGAGAATGTCCAGAACGCAAACCATTGAAGGATTGAGGTCAGCTTTATCGGAAAGTATCGAGTTATCTGCGCTGGCAAGGGAAGGATAGCGATCATGACTGGAAAGAATATTCCCCTGGGCGCATGAAACATCAGATCTTGTCGGATCAAAACATCAGCTTCAAGATAGTCCTACCTGAGCAATGAGAAAAGTATAATCATAACTACTGCCAGGGTTCTGATGCTCCAATGGTCTGCTTTCCGGTAGACTTTGACAAGACAGTATATGAAGGCGGCAAGGAATAGTATCCATTCCAGAAGGGCGGCAATCAGCAAGGGCCCTAGAATTGAGACATAGATGATCTAGACGTTGATCAGTTACGGCTTGCTCACGATAATGCGAGAGAGTTCTCGAGGTACATCTCTGATCGGCCATGGCTGAAGCTGCACCGGCTGTCCTTGCATCGCCATCTTGGAGTATGTCAGCTATCTGACACAACTTTCTTCGAGCAGCCGAGATAAGAGGCGTGTGAATTCAAGCAGACGAGTGGTCTTCACAGGAGAACAATGCGATTTCCGGTCATTCTCTAGGCAGCCACTGTGCTTTGTCGTAAAACGCACGGGTAGATCTGATGCTGTAATATGCAACGATGCTGATACTAACGGAATAGCTTAGGCCATATATGTTGGCATGGTAAGTATTGGCGAGACAGTGCCTATTCACCATAATGAACAACAATATTTCAACAGGTCCAGGGAACCTGCACAGCCAGAACAGCCAGAACAGTCTGCAGAAAAGGCAGGTGCATCTGATGCCGGAAGGAAAGTAAGAGTTGCTCGGAACATCTTCAAGCGTTCTGACCAGCAATGGCACAGGACCAAGACCATAGGGAATCGCAGTGGATTTTTGTAGATGCGGGCAAGGTTTATATTGGTTGCTTCTGAGTACGTCGCGACTCATGATGAGGCGATGAATGTACGCACACCCGGCAATACTGTATCTTCCAGCTGCTGAGGACATCGGCAAGTATGCTTTCTCGGTTTGGACTGGAGCTTCTTCGGTATCGTCATATACAGGTTAGCCGCGAAGCGGGGAGAAGCTGAAGAGCCGCGATGGTGTTTGATTGGTAGTCGCTTCATGTTGAATTGATGCGAGCTCAAAATATCCGCAGGTGATGTTTGAAGGCTGCAGTTAAAGGGAGCGATATATAGAACCAGAACATATGCAGACCGATTCAGAATGTCCGTCAGCCTCCAGGATTTATGATCACATACTTCCAGGTGCTCATTCATATCAGTGTGAAAACGTAAGGTTGAATCATGGATAGGTCATGGTATAGTCCACTACATTATGTCCCAAACTGGTTAGTCACTCGAGCATAACCATGCGCCACACCTAGTTATGCCTGAGGCACTGTGTAGAACTAATGTGGCGCAAGCTCCGCGGGCGCATCAGAAAAAATTTCCCCCTCGCGGCGCATTGGCCTGCGAAATTTCCCTCTTGCAGCCGGAGCAGCAAACCCCCATCCTTCTTTCACTCCTTTTTATTATTCTTTGCTTGCAAGGGTCTTTTGGTTCTGGCCGATCTTATATTCCTGTGACCAATTCTTCTTTATTTTTTGCCCTGAAGATATTCCAAGGTGAGCATTTGACTCCGAGTTAGCAAATTCTCCTACTTTTTGCCCCCGCTCCTGCTGCACACGGACATATTCGATCATCATTGGCCGGGCTGATCCGTATCGCGACCCCGGCGAGAGAATTCGATTTTATTTATGCTCGCTTACCACCCTCGCGCATTACTCTATTATTCTTCAGGCGCCATTACTGATTCTTGGACAACTACAGGAGGAGTATTCTTTTATCATTCACTCAACCCCCGCCTCAGTCCTACCTCCACCCTACAACACCACAACATGTCTGACGAGCAGAAGCCCGTCGCCCAGCCCAACGCTGAGGCCGAGAAGGATGTCCAGAACGTTCTGGCCGAGCTGAAGGGCGATAGCAGCGAGGCTGCCGCTGCTCCCGCGGCCGAGGAGAAGAAGCAGACGACCGACGAGGCGGCGGAGGAGGCGCGCATCGTGGAGGCGGCAGCCAAGCTGGGCGAGCAGTCCGCGAAGGCCGAAGAGGCGAAGCAGGAGAGCAAGAAGCAGGACGAGCAGCGCTCGAACAACAACCAGGGAGGTCGCAGCGGGCGGCCCAACTACCGCAACAACGTCAAGTTCGACCCGTCAAACCAGGAGGTGACTAGCGACCCGGTGCAGATCCGCAAGCAGGTGGAGTTCTACTTCTCGGACTCAAACCTCCCGATGGACAAGTTCCTGCTCAGCAAGGTGGGCGGTAGCAGCAACCGGCCGGTGTCGCTGGAGCTGCTGCACTCGTTCAAGCGCATGCGGCGCTTCCAGCCGTTCAGCGCGATCGTCGAGGCGATCAAGTCGTCGGAGATGGTCGAGCTGACGGACAACGACACGTGCGTACGCCGCAAGACCCCGCTCCCGGAGACGGTGACGGCGAACCACGACCCTACGGTGGTGCGCACCTTCGAGGACAAGTCCATGAACCGCAGCATCTACGCCAAGGGCTTCGGCGAGGAGGGCCCCACCACCCAGCTTGAGATCGAGGAGTTCTTCGCCCCCCACGGCCCCGTCAACGCCATCCGCCTCCGCCGCGCCTACGACAAGACCTTCAAGGGCAGCGTCTTCGTCGAGTTCGAGTCCGAGGAGAAGCAGCAGGCCTTCCTCGCCCTGGACCCCAAGCCCAAGTGGAAGGACCAGGACCTGCTCATCAAGAGCAAGAAGGACTACTGCGACGAAAAGGTCCGCGAGATCGAGGCCGGTCGGGTCAAGCCCAACGGTGGCCGTGGCCGTGGTGGTCACCGCGGCGGTCGCGGTCGTGGCGGCAACCGTGGCGGCCGCGGCGACAACAAGCGTGGCGACTGGAGAGACCGTCGCGGCGGTGCTAACCAGAAGAATGGCGCCAGCGACAAGAAGGAGGAGCCCAAGGAGGAGCGCCGTGAGGTCCAGAAAGACGCTCGGTAAGTTTCTCTTTTTTCCCCCGTACACCCACCCTTCCATTACGCATCACAACCACGATCCAATTCTAACCACCCCCTCTTTCTAGTGGCGTTCCCGTCGTTCAGAGCACCACCGAGGAGTCCTCCGGCCAGAAGCGCTCGCGTGAAGAGGACGGCGCCAACGGCGACCACCCCGCCAAGAAGGTGGATGCCAAGCAGGAGTAAAAGCGACAAAAATCTTGATATTTTCCAAAAGAGATACCAACCGGTTAAGAAAACCAGAGAGAGATTTGAATTCCTTTTGGGTGTATTTCATGGATGATGGGATGGACTTTCAAAAAGAAAAAGCATGGCCTGGCTCGAAATTTCCCTTGACTTAAAACAGAAGACCATATCATAATGGCGTTGTACATTTACCCTCTTATTTTCATTATTCTTTAGCTTTCTTCAACAACAATGGACTTGGGTTCCGAACAAGGGCGCAGCGTGTCCAGGGATGATTGTAAATGTACTAGCATCGTCAGGACCGAATGGATGGGTGGATTTGGTTTGGTGGAGCTTCAAAAGGTGGTTTGTGGTTGGATGAGTTGTCGGAGAAGCGTCGAGGTGGATGCGAGACTGTAGTGACATTTGTGGTCTTCCAGCTCAAGCCAAGATACAATGACATGTAACCTGTATGTACAATTGATCGTGGGTCCGTTCCCTTCGTTTTCTCCTGGGTATTCTTATACATGTCCTAATAGTATTCTTCTTTTACTATCGACGGTTCTTGCTTCCAATAGCAATTGTCCTGACTATGGATTGTATGCCTACCCAGAGTGCATCGCTACAGACCTATTTCTTCTTCTTCGTCTTATCCACCACGTCAATCCACTGCGTCCGCAGTCCGCGCCGAGTCAGTGCCTCTTCTAACGCCCGCCGCTGGTCACCCTGGATCAACACTTCCATGACGCCCTTGGCTGCGCCCGTCGCCTGCGCGACACTGGTGCTGCTGGCGCATTTCTTCTGCAGCTCCTCCGCCAGCAAGCTCGGAATGATGCCGAACACTTCAAGTCCGGAGACCTTGGTGACGGTCTTAGAGCCCGTGCGGCGCTCCAAGGTGATGGTGGCTTTAGGGGCGGCGCCAGCCTTGGGCTTCACGCTGGCCAGGGTCTGGCCCGGTTTCAGGATTACGTAGTGAGCGGTCATGAGACTGTGGTCGTCAACGAGGCGTTTCAGGAGCGCGTCGCGGGTGGTCTTGCCGCGGGCGAGGGTACTGCGGTCGTCCGACGAGGGGGAGGTGAAGACAGTGTTGGCGAGGAACGGGTTGAGATTGATGATGCGTTTGTTTTGCGGGTCGATGAGGGGGGGGCTCTGGGACTGGATATACTGGTCCAGATGACTGGACACGTCGGAGTACTTGTAGTAGTTGCTGGGATGGGTGCTGGAGAGGGCTGGGAAGATGGTGGGTGCCAGCTTGCCTGTAGGACGGTACAGGGTCTGGACTGTGAGGGTTTGCCCGACAGAGGGATCACCATCTGAGGCGACGGACTTACTAGCCGCTCCACCGGGGGCGACGGGCTTGCCGGCATTCTCGACCGCGTTCTTGGATGGCAGTCTGTAGGGGACGAACTGCTCGACTCGGCGATCATTGAAGTCCACATCGAGGATGACGGTTTCCTGTCCGTTACGATCCTTGGACTTGACCAAACGCTGCTTGTCGAGGTATTTGATAAACTTCTTGACATTCTTCCAGCTCGTCTTCTTGATTTGGTAGAACTGGGCTTGTTTGGGCGTGAAGATGGGAAGATAAGGTGTAATCATGTTCGACACCAGTGCAGAAGGTTGGACCGGTAAGGCCAAGCCGTGGTTGGGCGCGGAAGGGTTGTCTTGTTTGAGCTTGTGTAACGAGTAAAGGAAAGCCTTCACAAAGGTCTCGTCGATTTCTGTGAACCATCAGAATGGAACAAGAGAGATCATCAAAAACAGCAACAAGTCTTACTAACCTTTAGTCGACGGCTCTTTCTCATCAACGACAGGCTCTTCCTCGGCCGATTGAGGCGCTTCGGCAGAAGGCTCGTCATCTTCTGCAACCTGGGCCGGGGCCTGTTCATCTATATTGAGATCATTCACAGCGCCCTCAATCTCCTTGGTGTCGCCTTCGTCCTCTCCTTCCACCTCGTCCCAGCCTTCCAAATATTCAGGCGCCGGCTGACCCGGCTTGGACGACGAACTCCAAGCCCAGAGCTCGTCACCTTCCCAGTGGAGTCCGCGAACAGCGTGACCCTTTGTGCCCTGCACTTCTCCCAGAGCCGAGACATCAATTTCACAGACGCCCACGAATCGCGGCACGGTATACCTATCCAGATCAGCCACAGCAACGACCGCACCCTTAACCGCACGCTCATCGAACGGCGGCTCATTCGCAAGACCAGGAGTCATCAAATCCGCTCCTCCTTGGAGCTTCTGCATCACCATCCCCGGGGTGTGGAGCAAGGGTACTAGGTCTGCATTGTGCCATAGTGTGTAAACGGTCGGGTAAAGACGTCCATCAGCGCCCGGGCCGTGGTCGACCTTGAACCACAAGACGCGCTCGTCGCCTCCAGCATGCGTTCCCACATATACTGTGCCCTGGACCTCCCGAAGCTGGGGACCGGCCGTCGTGGCGAATCGTGCGGACAAGCAGTTGTCGGGGAGAAGAGCATTCCGAATCGAGGTGAGGTTCGGCGCCGTGGGGTTGGACGCGCTGGGAGCAGCAGCCGAATCGTCACCACTGGGCTCCACCGGCGCGCTCGATGGGATCTCTATTTTATAGTCGGAAATGATCTGATCGGCGATCTTCCTGCGATCGGAGGATCGCAAAGGCGCAAGGTTCTTGATCTATAGTGATCAAATTATCAGTGATAAAATTCGAGCAGCGACTCGGAGAACTGACAATGCGGGGGAGGGGTAATTTACGGTAGGCTTCTTTTTGAACATGATGGGCGGAAATAAAGATACAGGATAATGCGTATGTGTGTATGTATGATAGAAGAAAGTCAGTACCCTTCCGCCATTACAGGATTATAGGCGAGCATAAAGAGTATTGGAGCTCAAAGAAATGAAAAGGATGTAGCAGCTGGTGGGGGTGGCAGGAGTGATGGAGATGAGTCCGTCTGCCGCAACAACAATCGGCCGCTTTTTCCCCGCCTTCGATTAAATCATAGCATACAGTAGTTAACTACTTGATAACAGTCCTCCCCCCACCACCATCCTGCATCATTGTACCTCCTTTCATCGAGGTTGCCTTGTCAACACGTAGAGTCCCCAGCGAGAACGGCCAGTGCTGAACAATCATATGAGTGCTCGCGCATTGTACTGAGACTGGTCGAACTCACATCAGTAAAGCAAAGTGCAGTTCATCGCTGGTAGACCTGCTACTTCTTCGCCATCTGTCTCTCCTCCCAAGCTTTCTGGTCCATATCCCTCAAGCCTTTTAGGATGGCCATGGTCTCCTCAAGATCATCGGGATTGTGTATATTCAAACCGTAGGAGAGCCCCAGATTCCAGACACTGCCATAGCCGGAGTCCTTGAGCCACTGGTACTGGCTCTTCTGGTTGGGTTCCATGTCGGATGGCGCGTTACGATTGTTCTGCGAAGGAGGCATGGTTGTAAAGAGCTGTTTCGTAATGGTGAACGCGAGCGGGGAAGCTGAGCGAAGTGACTCTGTAAAACAGCCAGGTGAGCTTGAAGACGAGATGGGTTGAGTGAGTGTTGAGTTGAGATGAGCTGAGTCGGAGACACTGGCCGGCAAGTACCCGCTCTCTCATTCCAGACGGCAACCCGCTGCTTCCTGTTTGGGCACACTGTCATGAGGACGAGGCAGTATATGCACAAGTATCTTCAATGCCCTCGACTATAGACCTTCTGCAGCTGCAATCATGTACGCAATCATGGAGAAAGAATACCAAACCATATCAAGGCGAGCCTTATTTTCAAATTACAAGGAGAAAAAAATTTGAGAAACCAGTGCTTCAGAATTGATTTTATAGATACATAGTTGGATGCCCGACCCGTAATGAGAAGAATAATCACATTGAAACGGGAAAGCGCGGACGCTATTTATATGGAAAATTGGAAAGGAAGCGTGTTCGATCTATAGTCCACACCAGAGAAGAGCGCTTAGGCGGAGAGGTCGCGGGCGTGCTTCTTCTCGCTGACCAACCAGGTGAAGGTCTGCTTGAGAACGCTGAGGAACTGGTCAGAGCTCAGAGACTCGAAGTAGCTGGTGAGGTTGGTGCTGCTAGACACAGAAGCGCTGGAGCTGCTGGAGGAGCTGCTGGAGCTGCTGGGAGTGGAAACGTAGGTCTGCTGAGGAGCGCTACCGGTGACGGTAACCTGCTCAACATCAGTCGAGGTCTGGTAGGCAGTGGCAGTCTCGGTCTCGACAGCGGTGGCGGTCTGAGTAACGACGGAGCCAGAAGCAGAAGTGACGGAAGAAGCAGCGCTGGTAGCGGCGGCAGCGGCGGCAGTGCTAGAGCTGCTGGAGGCAGCGGCGGAGCTGGAAGAACCCGAGTTGGAGCTAGAGCTGGAGGAGCTGGAGGAGCTGGAGGAGGCGTTGTACATAGCAGGTCCGGGGATCTCGTAGGAAGACAGAGACTGGTAGATGTTGACCAGGATACCAGCATCAGTGTCCTTGTACAGGCTCTCACCAGCAGTGCCGGAGGGAGCGAGATCGCCACCACCCGTGACCTTCAAATTGAAGCACTGAGGATAGTTCTGCGCACCATCCTTGTTTCCGGCGGAGTGGAGAGCAATGATCTCGTGACGCAGAACGTAGTTGCCAGCCGCAATGTCGGAGGGGATAGTCACAGTCCAGCTGTTGTTGTTGGCGATCAGGTTATCACTGGCCCAGGTACCGGGGACGTTGTCATCACTGATAAGACCGCTCTCATCGATCTTGAAAAATTCGAGGTCGGTCTTAGTGACACTGCTGCAGTCACCGTTGCAGTTGGCAAGGTAGGTCAGGACAGGACCGTGGTGGCTCTCGGGCCAGGTAGTCCACTGGAGCTCGACAGTACCACCAGCCTTGACCTCAGCAGAGATGGCACCGGGCTTAGCACTCTTGTGGCAGATGATGTCGGCACTAGCATATTCGCTGCCGTCGACGAAGCCCAAGTCGGTGGCGCTGGTGGACCATCCAATGGTCTCCGGGGGGTCGCTCGAATAGGGGTAGGAGGTGACAATGTAACCGCCATAGTAGGTGCCATCGACAACAGCACCCGACACGTAACCGTGGCCAGCAACGAGAGCGGCCGAGCCGAGGATAACACCAGCAACCTTAGCGACAGACATTTTTTAGATTAACGCACAGCGTGAATGTAAATTTGAAAGTGGTGATTGGGAAGGAAAGAGTGACGAAGTAAACGGTCTTCAATCAATGAAGCCTGGAAAGAGAGTGTAAGAGAATGGAAGGTTCCGGGACCCAGGTAAAGAAAAGAATGAGAAGCTGGTGAGAAGAATGAAGAAGTCTCTCAACTCGTGCTTTGGCGCCTTCTTATATCTCCTTCCATTCTCTAATGCATCGGGGTTCCGCCAGCGCTCAGACCGGAACCACCGAGGCCAGAATAATGAAAGGTTCATTGCAGCCGGCCATGCTACACGTAGATTGCCTTGGCACCTGTCATGTTTCCACTTTCTATACGGGGTATCGGAGGCTGGAGATTGACTGAGATAGGTTCAACGCAGCAAGGCAGGTCTGAGATTGATGAAGACAGGCACCGGGCCACTAAGCGCCAGCCCGCCGGTGGGGTTCCAGATGCGACAATCCAGACATTCTCAGGAACACAGGCTACATTTGACTTGGCGCTGCTTGAAGGGGGGTGCTGGAGCGACACCAGGAGGACCCGATGGTACTCATCCTAACGGGCGAGTGGAGCTGTAAGCGCCGGTGCTCTGGCGGCAGCCTGCGACAAAGCACGTTTCAACTGGGAGCCAAGCTGCTCCAGGTCCGCCCTGCCAAGAAATGACAATTGTAAGGAGTTGCAGAACGCATCTCTGTAACCAGTCAAGTTTTAGTTTTAAGCAGTATCCGCAAGGAAGCTTTGACTTGACGATAGCGTTGGAGACTCATTAACGGCGATGATGGTGGCGGTTTTTATCACATGGATGAAAACCTTGAAGAAGTAAGCTAAAATCAGCAGCCACGTGCCATGCCGCGCTACAGACCGAGGGTCGAGGAAGCTTACCTGATCCTCTACTCATGCTCGACTTTATTATCGCCTTCCCATCATGGCTTTGAATCGCAGAAATCCTCGATCATTTTTGATCCATCTATACTACTGGGAGGCGGTGGACATTAATGGAAACTCATAATTCGACGGGGGTCTGGGCATGCCGAAGGCTCATCCTAGGCCTGTGAGCCGGCGCCTCCACCTTTCCGCCTAAATGGCGCCATTTGGTCACATACTAATTAATCCTTTAACAGGCGCTCAATCCGTTGGACAGGTCCGGCAGGTCGAGATCGAGACTCCTGATGAAATTACAAGGGTAACTTGTCAATTCGGTCTTGGCTTTCAGAGCACTGCCCTACAAGACTACGGAGTACAGCCCGACTCCTGCATCTCCATATTTTCCCGAGACCTGGAGGCTGGGAGCACCTTCTCAAATCATTCATTGTGTGAATGCTACTCTGCAATGCTAGGTTCAGCCTGCGCTCTACAAACGTAAATTCAAGCGTGTGGCTCGATGCAAGGATAGCGTCTCAGGGTCTAGCAACCCATGCAGGGTCACGCATAAGCTGCTAGCAAGTCGAAACGCCCTACGGAAAACGCACTCCTAGTATCGTGGGTCGAGTCGCTGCCCAGTGCCTTGCCCACCCTTCTCGTTTTCATCCTCATGGGCTCGGAGGTGCAAAGTGCATACCTTGGTCATAGGTCTTTCTACCTGAAACACCCTTCCGCGGGTATTTTGACCGTTTCCAAGATTGTAGCTCCATTTCAACCAACCAAGCTTTCTCCAAACGAGGAGATGGTGCTTGTTTCTTGTGGAAGGCTTGATGTCTCACTCGCAGCTTGCTCGGTGTCTTTAGAGGATATTAATTTTTGAATGTAGTTGAGTCACTTCGAGAACGAGCCTTAGCAAAGCCTGGCCCTGCTGGATTTTTATAAAGACATCTACACAATGTCTATGTGGGGAAAACACGCAGCCTTTGTGTCTAGGGGACGCTTTATGCCGAATTGTGAACGGAACAAGCAACGGAAAGACCTCATCTTCAAATTATTGTTCTTCACAGTGACTTGTGGACTTCCAGTATATCCTTGTCATTGCTCCAGTGCGCGGGGAAGAGTAAGCGAGGGCCGCCCCTGTCCACTTCAACTTCTGCAAGAGAATCTATGCGCAACCATTGCTCTCATAGTCACGTCTTGTCCAATCTAATGACCAATTACCATTAGCTTACTCAAAATTTGCCATGTGGTCATGCGCTGTTCGCTTGTGACACTTCAGAATCTAACTAGGTTTAGACAATATGGCCATCGTACATATGCCCCTGCAGCTTCAGATTTCGTACCACGATCTGGTAATAATAGATCGGAACATGGCGAATAGAAAGCCATTCACGCGGAATCCCAAATGTACACTTTTCCTTCCCACAAGCCTATCCCCTGTGCATAGAATCGATGAAACTCTACGGTCTTCGATATATCTTTATTCAAGGTCCCATAGAGGGTTTGTATGTCAAAATCGTCGACTAGTTACGAGGCATGAAATCATTCGAAGGCCACTATTGTCTTCTCTATAATTTCACACTGTCTTATACCCAGCTGACGCTAAGAACCACAGCTACATGTCACTATGGTAAGCACGAAGCTTTGCTTCGGAGATTTTGAGTGTCCGATTCAGGATTCTGATTGTCTCAATTTTCTAGCATTTTCAGAGCCCTATTCAGTAAGTAAAATTTGTCGCTTGCGGCCTCATTGTTGTGACCTATTATTGTGTATTGGTCAGCATCAAGGGTTAATTAACAATTGCCATGTTCACTCTGTTCTTTGTGCCTTGCTCGGCCCCTGGACTGCAAACTGCACTAGCGCGACGATAGAGGATGTGCGGCCCATCTCCCGCCACAGACTTCAGAAGGAGTATAAGCTTCGGATCTCAGGAATTTATACGACACATAGGATCTCCTCTCGTTCCGAGGAGATGCAGATAGGCGACCTGCAGTAGTCGAATTCTACCGGATATATACTATCATGCTCATTACGGACCTATCTCGCCAAGCAGTGACTGAATCTAGAACCCGACCAATACGGTCTAATGATCTCGCTACGTCTACAAAGAAGGATAGGCGCCCTTCTAGGGCTGGACTCAGATGCGGCACAGGCTGGTGAGGGGTACTCCATAGATTAGGCTGCTAATGCGTCCTGATAATAATAGAAGCCCTATGGAGTTACACCAAATGAGTGCAATCTCCCTAGAAGATCGGTTTGCCCAACGTTCAATTCCATCTTATCATCCCCGCACGACGAAACCTAAATCGAGAGATGTCAAGAAGACTGGCACACTAGGTGGCCCGGGGCTTTTTTGTTCGTTTGCCTCCCTGGCCATGGCCACGTAAGCCAATTAGATGGTTGACCGGGCCCTGAGGCACTTTGCTGACCAAGATTGACCTGTTTCTCCTGCGCACTAGGCTCAAATGACAAGATAGAGGTGGGAGCTTCATGGGCCTGACTCTCGCTCATTCCTCGTCTAATCAAGTCTCCCAGTGGGAGTGGTGGGCTGGGAGACGCTGTGCCAAAGTGGAATCCGATGAGATCAATGATAATGTGTGCAGAAGGCGCCGACCGTGAGGTCACTATGTAGCACAAGCTTGTTTCCGAGGAAGGGAACCAAAGTCGCGATGGATGTGCTCACATGATCTCCTGGGCACTATCTACTAGCCAGTAATGGCGTACTATTCCGGAGATATGTCCTCTTGCGACGCAATAGTCTTTACCTAGACACATGTCGATTGCTTTTATCCCCGGGAAAGGTATGCGGAATGTAGGGTGGATGAGCGTGAGCACAACCCACCATTACTTCTAAAGCCCTCGTTTCCAGATCATAGCTTTCGTAAAGGCCTACTCCTGCCCCGTTGACCAGAGGAAAGATGATTGAAACCATCGATAGCTAAAGTTACAACAGGTAGTCAGGTTTAGTCACTCATTTGAAAACCTCCAGAGTTTATACGCCGCGCGCATATCTACCTACTACCTACCACCTGGCAGGGGACATCATTTGGCTGAGGGGGCGAGGATCATCGTCTCCCGTCCAATTAGAACTCGGCGGCCTGGTTACTCCGGTTCCTGACTGGCCGATGTCTCGACAGGGTTTAGACTGAAGCTGCCTCACCGCCAAGGCACGAAAGTCCGAACTCGACTGCCTCTTACTGGCTAAAGGGCAGTGGCACTCAACAGAAACTCTCAGCCGATAACCACCGAGAGTCAGTCAGGCTGAGCACTCACTCACTCACTCACTCAAGCCTGCCTCCACCTCTCTCTTCCCTTCCCTATTCCTAACCGTACACATCCACACCCACATTCTACTCATCCTCCTCCTCCCCCCCTTCTCCCACACTCTCCAGATTTTGTCTTATCTACGGGGCCTTGCGTGGTCGATCACTATTATTGTCAACCTCATCTCTTACTTTCCCAATCACTTGTCATATTTTCCGATCGAGTTTGGGCACGATTGTCTCCCAAATCTATTCACCTCGCCAACTCCAACCGTCGCTCTGATTTTCCTCCCCTTTCCCGCGCGGCCGCACCTCCGCCTCCGCTCTTCCCCCCCTACTACGACAGTTGTTGCCCTCACTCGCTCACGCCGTCTTTCCCTTCACAAGGTCATACGCTTTCCAACTTCCTCTGGTTGGCCAGAAATTCGATCTTCTACTCTCAACGGGATTCCAACCACCCAGTCGATCGCCCTTACGGATGTATTCGCAATACCGCTAGTTCGTCAACGTTGATTGAGTGCGCCCGCTTACTGCGCCCCAGTCTAGCCCCAGTTACCTTCGACAGTATAAGGCTTTTGGTTCCATTCAAGTTTGGTTCGTTGTGTCAAGGCAAGGTTTAGTCCGGGAGCAGCCTGTGAGGCTCGTCAGGGAGAATCGCCGGCATCTTCCTCCTGGCCACCTGCAGACTATTGTGAGGATCGAAGGATGGGATCGGCAGAGGCTGCCTCTTCACCTGCTTTCCCTTTTCTGGAACCTATTGTAGTCGACGACGACATGGGTAACCCTTATCAAGATACAGATTTGGACTTCCTAGACACCGCAAGGTTGCAAGTTTCGTCCGAAGGCGCGGGGAGGGATTTCGACGATCTCTTTTCTCACGCTCCTCCCACCCGCCAGAACCGGGACTCCGAGCCAACATGCCTGTCACCTTCCGAACTCTCGCTGAAACGGTCATATCAAGAGCAAGATGCAATGCGACAATTCAATGTGGTCTCCGCGGAGTCCCCCGCGGAGTCTCCAGATGGTTCAACTCCGAGTTCGTCTTCTGAGTCACCACGGAATCATCTTCGCAATCCGTCTGTAACATCATCCACGTCGGCAGTGCATAGCGAAAACACGATGATGCCGTTTGGCTACACAACGGAGGATTGGATGAACCCGGATCTCGCGTCGGTGAAGGAGGAGTCGCTATTTGGTTTGGATCTTTCTTTACCAAATATAGGTGGTCCGTTCCACGCAGATGCCGATCTTGAGTCGAGCAACAAGGCCATGGATGCAGCTTTCGATTTTGAAAGTGCCGCCAGTAGCCCCAGTCCTTTGAAATCCGAGACAACGCCACAGCCGAAGTATACGAGAAAGTCCAAATCACAATTGCGGAGCACGTCTGGCGCTTCCGCCAGGCAATCTGCCTCTCCGGTAATACCACCTCAAACGAGAAGATTTTATTGGCCATTATAGCATACTGATATTCTATCGTGCAGGTTTCCGGTGCATCTTTCTTTGCTCGAAGTTCTAAGGAGGCTTCGCCCTTTTCGGTCTCTCGTAATATCAGTCAAGGAAAGTCTTCCTTGGGACCATGGGGTGGCCATTCCCCTTCATCGTATTTGGAGGAGAGTTTTGGTGGCATCAACATGAACGGTTCTCCAATGAACTCGACGCTGAATTTTGGACCGAATAGCTTTCCTTTCGGCATCAATTTCGTTCCGTCGCCGTCCCCAAGCTTCATGAAACCGGAAGCGACACAGCGACATATGTTGACTGTCCATCCCACATCGCTCAAGTCACGCGTGGAAACACAGATTCCCATCAGATTGACACTTTTCCCATTACCGCCTGGCGTGAAGAAGGTTCGCTTGCCTAGCCACACTATCTCAAAGCCTAAGTTTCTGGCACCGCCGACTATTGAACGTTCTCCGGAGATCGTGGAGCTTCACACAAGCCTTGTCTGTACCAGCGCAATGCAAGAACAGGATAAGCTCAAGAAGGCTTTTGCTAGAGCGAGAGGCGAAAGTCGATATCGGTCCTCCAGCTCCAGCCCACGTGCTGCTGACGACGTTCAGGAGGACGACAAGCCATTGGACGGAGGAGAAGTTAAGATATGCCCTGGCTGTATACAGCGCGAACGAAAGCGGGCGTTCCGCAAGAAACAGAGAAAGCCCGAGGAAGACGAACTGTTTCAGAAGGACGAGGAGAAACGAGTCATCGTGTTCAATACCAACGAGATTAAGGACTGGACGGAACCGTCGAAAAACGCCATACCTGGCTATGGGGATGGCCAAGTTCTAAACATTCCAGCAGGGGCAATGCAGGTAGAGCTGCCGATGCGAATAGCATGTTATTGCAGGCATCAAAATGAGAAGCTTGGATTCCAGTACGTGTGCCATCTCCAACTGACTGTTCTACTCGGTGCTGACATCTCAATCCCAGGGTAATATTCACTGTCAAGGATCATAAAGACAACGTGATAGCTCAGGCGATCACGAATTCGATTATGATTACGGACGACCACAAAACACATGCTCCACCAGCTCCACCAGCTCCTGGCCCCTCCCCCTCTCTGCCGGATGGCACACAATTGCCAGGCGTTGGTGTCTTTCCCTCAAGTCCAAGTGTGGAGACCGGGAAGACGTCAGCCTCTGCGCAGCAGCCGAATCAAGCTGCTTCAGCGACTGACTTGCAGGGACTTCAGCAACAGTTCAATTCACAGTACCAATTGCCCTCTAGCTCGTTCCCAATCAACCAGTCGTCAACGAACGGCGCAGCGTCGAATTTGCAAACACCACGCAGTCTTTCGAGACAGAACTCGCCGAATGACTTTCAAGGGCCAATAAGCAAAAGACGCAAGCATAGTAACTCGGGAAGACTTCCCTCGGAGCTTACTATGACCAAGTTGGAGAACACGCAATCATCGGCCAACGCCTCCAGCTCGTCAGCGACCAACGGTGAGCCACAGTTCTCAGGAGTCCGCGGATTCGCGTCACCGGTGGAAAGGCCCTTCGTGACCTCATCCGCCATGACCAACCAATTTCCCACCAGTCCTCCCACCCCGAACAGCGGAGACAACAATCCGTTCCTCAGTGCGGCACTGCAGCAACAGAGCCTGGACAGTTTTATTCAACAGCAGTTCATGTCTGCACCAAACTCTGCTCAGCCTAGTCGTCCCGGTACTCCCGGAGGCTCTAGGAACAACTATCACGATCAGTCTTTCAATCTGTCCCTAGGTCCAAACACATCCGCACCAATGTGGCCCCCACTCACCAATGCCGGGAACCGCTTGCCCTCAGTCATCCATAAGCTCGTTCCCGCCGAGGGTTCCATCACAGGAGGCACCGAAGTCACACTCCTCGGAAGCGGCTTTTATCCTGGCATGGAAGTTGTATTCGGTGATACTCTTGCCACCACCACCACATTCTGGGGTGATAAGTGCCTGAATTGCTTGACCCCTCCTGCTCTTCAGCCTGGAATGGTGCCTGTGGTGTTCAAGCACGAACATCCCACATTTGGCCAAATACAGACACCCCAGCCTTTGATGCCGAAGCAACAGCAGTATTTCCGTTATGTAGATGATCGCGAGCTGCAAATGTACCGCTTAGCTCTCGGAATCCTAGGACAGAAGCTCGGCAGTCAAGCCGATGCGTTCCAGACGGCTCAGCAAATCATGGGCAGTGACATGAAGAGCGTTTTCAACATACCAAAGGATTTTCAAGGTTCCTCAAGTGGACACCAGCGACAAGTGCCCGGTTATGAGTCGCAGGGTAAATTGAGCGATCTCGACTCGAAAATGTTGACTTATCTCGAATTTGTTGACCTCGACGACAGCCCTCGGCCGCCTAAGTACAACTCGCGCTCGGCGACTGGCCAGACGCTGCTCCATTTCGCCTCGTCTCTAGGTCTTACGCGATTCGTTGCTGGACTACTTGCACGGGGCGCTAGCCCCGATGTGCAGGACAATTCTGGGAATACTCCCATGCATTTGGCAGCTTTGAGCGGCCATGCACACATTGTGCAGCGGCTGCGTCTTGCAGGAGCTGAAACCACTGCCCGCAGTATACGGGGATTCACGCCGGCAGATCTGGCGACTAATTTACCCGCACACCAGGCTGCGCTCATTCCTGCCCGCCACCGCTCACGTAGCGTTGGTTCATTGTCATCCTCGCGCCGCAGACACAGTTCTGCATCGTTGCACTCACTTTGGGAATCTTCCTCAGCATCTGACTCGTTTGACCATGCTGCTGATGACTCTGACGATGAGGAGGATGAGGAGGATGAAAATGAATACACGATGTCGCGACGGTCGAGTATTCACCACGATCGACCAGGGCCGATTACTGCACCTGAACAGACACCTCAAGCGGAGGATAATAGACCATTCTCTCCGCCAGCTGCTCTGGTTGCTTGGCGCAATCAACTCCAGACTCAAATCAATCAGTTCCAACAAAGCGTGGCCAATGCTTTCCCCAACCTCCCTGCTTTGCCGCCCATGCCCGCCTTGCCTGACTACCAGGCCCATCCCATGATGCGTCGTATCACCAATCTTGTTCCGCACCGCCCGAGTACTGCGCGATCGTCGAAGGATGGTTGGTGGGATATGCTAACGGGCAATTCGACTCCTGACACCTCGGCCCCATCTGCAGCGGAGCTGCCGTCATATGAAGAGCTTTACCCACACAAGGAGAACCAGGGCGGAGAGGAAGAGGCAACGCGTCTCAAGAAGGCTAGTTTGTTGCAGGCAGCTGCAGAAGCTGCCCTTGATCAACACTTCGAGGCCCAGGCCAGCACCTCGGAAGCCGTTATCGCCAAACCGGACAGTGAGGAGCTCAGAGATATTCGAATTGGTCGCAAGGTGATCTCTCGTGAGCAACAGAAACATCTCCGGGAGCAACAAGCACGGAGAATGAAGGGTCTTGGGAACGATCGCAACCTATACTTCATCTGGGTAAGTCTACTTTCTCGTACTTTGGGGTGTTTCCACCACTAACGTTCTCCAGATCCCTCTTCTGCTTCTGGTCATAGGCGCCTGGGTCCGGAGTTACGTCCCGGGCATCTGGGAAGGCATCTACAGCGGCTATGAGTTTGTCAAAGCTCGATATGCGCAGCGCGTTCTAGAAGCTGGTTCTTGAGCAGTTCTATCATACTACCTGCTCCTTATTCACGTTTACTTGACATTTGTCTTTTCATTCATTTGAGCTGGGGCGTTCCGTCTATTGGACTGGTACTGGTAATACAACGGGCATTTCCGCCCTTGTTTGCGTATGATGTTTCTATAATGATGGGATATGATGGGTCTATTTTCATTCCACCTTGTTTGTTTGTGCTGGCATTTTTATCATGTTGTTAGAGCCTTGTCGTCTCCCACGGGTCCTGTACAGAATCTATATAGCTTGTTCTTTTTTGGGCGATTTTGACACATTCATTTTAGATATAATGGAACACAATGATGCTTAAATGAGGGTGTAATAATGAATGCCAAGAGATGACGGCCGTGGACAGAAGGCGGAAAGGCGGGCGGTGCTCAGCTTGCGGCCAAACAACTCGTCCATCATCACACGGCCTGGCATCGCATCTCCAATCCCCCACTCCTGATTATCCTTCCCCGCACTCCCCTCTTCGACACGGAGATTGAATCTATTCCTCTCTCCGGCTGCTCAGACGGTATGCTCTTTGCAAGTGGTCTGGCTTTCCCCGAATAGTGTTCGGGACACCATGGACCCATCACCGCAGGGGGGCTCGAGCAGTGTCACCGGTAAATGAGCCCCGTTCCCGCCCTGAGGTACTTGTGCTACATGTTGCTCACTTTTCTCCTCGGTGTCGCCCAGTCGAGTATACCGATCCCTCTGGCCTGTTTCCAGCCCTTCAGCCCGTTCTCGCCGATAAACTCCCACTGCGAAATCTCCACTGGAAATCACCCACTCGCCCTGTGCGATCCATCGAGTCCCTCCGGATCGGCTTCGTACCGGCCCAGCATGAAGGGGACGAGCAGAAAGCCTCCACCGACACGACCGGAACCACAGTGACACATCGCCGACATCAGATCCCTGGCCTGCGGCAAACGCCGTACTTGAAGATCTTCCTCCTCCGATGCGACGATAATGATACCTACAAAGCTACGGCGCGGAGGGCATTGCGGGATTGGCTCAAGTCTCACGCCTCCACCTCTCTGTCCAACACCACCACGACTGGCCAGGAGAAACACGATGCCTTCGATTGGCTGATTCTACACGTCGTGCCGGATGGAGAGGGCGCCGAGAAAGCTGCGCCGGCCTCCAAATGGGGCCGCACTACTACAACGGTCCTGGAGAAGGTCCGGGCTGACTTCAACGGCGCATCCAAGTCCGCCGTCGACCGCGTGGCCCAGATTCGTCTTCCTAAAGCAGGCAGCGCGGCTAAGTCGCCAGAGTTGACCGATCAGGTTGAGGATTTTGTGGAGAAGATGAAGAATGCGATTCTGTCGGCTTTTGATCTCCGCGTGGCGCAGTATGAGGAGGATATCAAGGAGAAGGACTCGCAGCGCAGCTTGCCCGGGTGGAACTTTTGCACTTTCTTCATACTGAAAGAGGGACTCGCTAGGGGCTTTGAGAATGTCGGGCTATTCGAGGATGCCTTGCTAGGGTACGATGAACTCGCCGTTGGCTTGGACACGGCGATCCATGAGCAGCTAGAAGGCACCGGAGATCAGCATGGTGGTGCCTTCCTTACCCACAGCAAAGAATGGCAGGAGTCAGCGATCAAAGCTCTGGAGTCGGACGGTGGTACTGCACCCAAGGATGAAGACGATGCAGAACCAGAACCTGTTCCCAGCATCGACACGGGCGATTTTCCTATTGATTCGAACAAGAAGTCGTATCGCGAGATGATCTTGGCTAGCAACATCTCCATCTTTGACTTCCGCACGTATGTATTCTCTCGACAAGTCACCCTACTTCTCCGGGCAGCCAGGGCTCCGTCTCTGGCCATTCAAGAAGCGGATGGAATCAAGAAGCCAACCAAACGAGCCACGAAGGCCGAAAACCTGATGCTGCTTTCTCAGGTCTGCGATAGAGCAAATGAGTTCATTAGTCTTGCAGCACGAACCCTTCGAGCCGATCTGCAAACGGGCTTGTCTGAGATTGACAGTGCTGCCAAACAAGAAGTGATTGACAATTTGGTGTCGTCGTGGGTTTATGCTGCTGCTTCTCAGATCCTCTCTCAGACCTTCAGTCCAGCATTGACTCTTCCGGAGACAACTTGCCAACCGAACAAGGCATCGGGGTCTTCCACGTCTGCGGAAAGTGCAGGGGATCACCCCAAGCGCATTAGCTCGCTTCCCAACTCTTCCTCTGCTCGTTCTTCACGCCCCGGGACATCGGAAGTTTTATCATCTGAGAGCCTCTCGATTAATACCCGAACTGGTTTCGAGATTCCAAAACCCACCCCCAAAACCGGTTCCGAGCAGTTGGCTTCCGGGAGAGCGGAGTTATATCTCATGGCTCGAAGAGCTTTGGAAGAAGTCTCTGGCAGATACGGTTGGAAAGAGAAATGGAATGAAGAGCGGTTGCTGTTCGACGACGAAAATAATGCGGAGAGCGATATGGCTGAGGTTAGTCTGGATGATGAACCACAGAAAATTACGGAAGAGGTGCCAGAGGCAAGGTATCTCTGTGGTATTTCTCTTCCGGAATTGAGAGTCGCTCTTCGCTCCAGGAAAACTTTCCGAATGCATTTCGAAGACCTGACAGACCAAATGTACCGACATCATATCGCTGCGAATCGCACCAACTCGGCGCACGCCGCACTTGCCGATATGGCCCTCCTACGGTATCGGCAGAGTGACTTTGGGGCGGCTGCCTCGTACTTCCATCAATTGACGCCTTTCTATGGCAACAAACATTGGGCTGTCCTGGAAGGCGTGTCGTTGGAAATGTATGCGCGCTGCCTGAAAGAGCTTGATCGCAGCGAGGAATATGTCCGGACAATTCTGCGCCTCCTTGCTAAATTTGCCGCTTGGACGGAGTCAAACTTGTCCAGCCGGCAGAAGACTCTGGACGCCTCACACATCTTCTCCGAGAATGCATTGGTCTCCGAGTACGTTGATGAACTTTTCAAGGCTTCGGGAGCTTTGAATAAAGAAGTATACGCACCGATGACCGATTTCTTTGGGGACCTCAAAGTGAAGCCGGCCATCATCCATTATGAGGACAAGGATGGATTCCAACTACAGCTTGCATTGAGGTTTCTTCTCGGAAAACGAATCGAAATCAATTCGCTCAAGCTGCGGTTAGTCAGTGCACATAATCCTCAGAACAACGAGCACTGGTTAGAGATGCCAACGGGGATGACCATCAAGTCGTCGTCTACCAAGGTGCTGGTTGATTCATCAGTGAGTTTATGTCGCTTGCATCCAACATTTCGTTTCAATGTATTCCGATATACTGACCTCTGAAGGTTTCGCTACAAGGGAAATACTTTGTCGACCGTATCGAGATACGCGTGAGGAATCTCATTTTCACCTTAGCGAGTGGGAAAAATGCATCCCTACCCGTGGGGTTCAGAGAAGCACTCGAGACAGAAGAGGAAGACAGCCGTCCATACATCTATTGCTTTTCGCCCCCTAATGGCCTGCAGGCCAAGATAGTCTCCCCGCATCTTGTCAACTTGCAAGAAATGCGGACGCTGGAGCTGGAACTCGACAGCGGATGGAACGACATCAAATCGGGCACTTTGCGTGTGAGGCCGGCCACTGCTGGTCTGCGACTCAGGATCACAGAAGCAGAGTTGGTAGAAGGCGAGATCCAGATTACTGCGAACAGCGATTCGGGTAACATCGAGTTCACTGAATTGAAACCTAGATCGTTTGTTCGGCTCCGGATCCCGTACTCAGTGGAGGAGCATCATCCAGTGCTTTCCGCAAGGGCAGAGGTGGTTTACGAGACAGGCAGTGGATCCTTTTCCTACTCTTCCCTTCACAGCATTAATTCAGGCCTGCCGATCAGTGTCAACGTGCAAGATGTTTTCAAGGATAGCGTGCTATTTTCTCGGTTCACAATCAGTCCAGCGTTGATGATTCCTCTGCGGATTCTGAGATGCAGCATTCCAAGCTCAGATGCTTACGAGGTACAATCAAGTATTGGTGACTCCGTGGCGCTCGATGTCTTTCCCAAACAGCCCGCGTCCTTGATCTACAAGATCCGGCCACAGCAGGAGAATGTGTCCTCTCCCGAGTCCAGGCGCTCGCTTCGATTGAGTGTTGATTTCACGTGCGTGGACGATGAATGCTTGAATGCCGTCGAGAAGACGTTCCACGCCAGCGTTACGGCCAGCGAATTCCAGCCATACAGCACGTTACTTACATCGCATATTGTTGACACTTTCCGCACCCAACTGACGACCTCGGACATGGAGGTCATTGGATTGTTGCGGGAGGTGGAAACGCTGGGGTATGCAGATGCGCGATGGGAAGGGTTACTGGGCGCCTTGAAGGAGCCAATGGACGGGCTCAGGACTTGGCTCAAGGAGTGGCACAAGGTAAGCAGCCGCCAGCACATTGGCCCCTATATCCTTCTTCACCTGGGCTCAACAGAGCTCAAGCGAGGAGGTCTGAGACACCCAACTGACATGCACAGAACCACCCGGTGATTCGTCTCCCCACATCGCCTCCTGTGCTCAAAAGACACATAATCATCCCCGTGGATATCCCCCACATTCAAGTTGTCCACACGGCCGAGCTTCGCCTTACCAATCTAACGGACCAACCTCGACACGCCGCAGTCGGCCAGATGATCGCCGCCGAACTCAGCATCCATCACACTCGACGCTGGTGCTCACCCGATCAGCGTGAGCAGGCAGACGGACCGCTCGAATTCACGTATGAGCTGCACGCCAACCCAGACTCGTGGCTAGTTGGCGGCCGACGTCGCGGGAATTTTACCGCCAATGAGGGGGAGACTAAGACGTTTGCGATCATGCTCCTTCCCCAGAAGGCCGGCCACCTGCTTCTCCCCGGGCTAGAGATTAGAAGCTTTGTACCACCCTCGGCCTCATCGCCGGCAGCCCCGCCGCCACCCACCACGCCTTCTAAGCCACAGCCTTCGCCTGGAGGGGCAGCAGCAGATCCCGCGACGGCCACGAACCCGCTACAACGACGACCCATCCCGTGCGAGGTGGACTACCGTAACCACGGGGAGACGGTACTGGTACTACCCGATTTACGAACGACGACCGTGAGTCTGTCCCTGTCAGGCGGTAGCCATGGTGGGGCATGGTTGATCGATTCCGAACGGTTACATCAACCTGTGAAAGGTACATAGATCTGGAAGTGATTCTGGATGTGACTTGTTCTGTACTTCGTCTGTACATGCGTCTTAACCACATAACCAGCCCGTTTAGACTTTAGAAAATATATCAGTGCATAGGCATGGGCACATGGTGTAAACTAAGTCAACTCTCTTTGAATAACCAAGCTCATTGCCAACGACCAGAAATATGTGGTGTCGATCCAAGTATGTCCATCGCATTCTCGCCTCAGCTTCTGTAGTTAGTTCGATAATCTTGTCAAACCCAACCTTAAAAAGCCCCGGCCGGAACTACAAACACATGCCATTTATCCGTCCGGTCTTGTGAAAATTTCCACTTCCAGCCCACTTTATCATACTTAGTTTCATACAAAAAGTGGAACCCCGAGTCAAAATTACTGACCCTCGAAGCTGGGAACCAACCAATCCACACGAATTTGCTCAGCGATAAACTAAACTAAAAAAATACAGTTTAGCATCCCCGAGCGACCGCCCCAGTTATTTTTCTCTGCTCCGATCCAGCCACCCCAGAGCCGCCCCACCGGAAAAAGAAGAAAGAAAAAGAAAAAAAGGGGAGTGGGTCCCATCTCAACAAAATGGCTGGTGGTGCCCCAACAGAAGTTTGACGTGCAGTTGTGTAGTTTTTGGGGGGGGGGATGTCGGTAGAGGGGGTTCCGGACTCAGGTGGTCATCTCCTTTCTGTCTTCTATGGGTGCAATAATGGGTTTTCGGGGTATGTAAGCCTCAGTCATGCGATTGGTACTAGTTAGTTTGATTATAGAGATGGGTTCCCTTGAGGAAAATCGCATTCTGTCCCTGCTGTGCGTATACAAAAGAGGTACTTGTAGTTCGTTCTTAGTATCCGCATATTCAACTCGTTTGCAAGGGAAGGGTGGCATGTGGCAACATTGATGACCCTCAGTACGAGTAAAAGCGATGAGCCAATTAGATGCTCTTTAGTTCTGGTTTGCTGCTTCCTCTGACAGAAGCCAAATGGAAGAAGTTGCTTATCCACTTGGGCTGCCCAGTGGGCTCCGTAGTTCTTCACTTTGGATTCCTAGCTCCATTGATGTGGATCACATGGGCGCGTGGGTTTTCCTTGAGTGTGTTTTTCTTTTGTGGTCAATTCCGAGGACTGAGCTCTATGTTGTGCTGATCTATACAATCGGGGCTGAGGCTGAGATGAGATGAAATGGGAATATGTGATGGGATGACGGCGATCGGGGGTACAGTATTAGGGAAAACTCGGGTTGGGATTCCCGAGAGGGCATGTGAATCTCATCGACTTAGACTTACAGAGTACAGACTGGGGATGCGGTTCGCATCTCAGCTTTGTTGGGGTAAGCCTGATAAAAACTGATAAGCTCCGCAGCTTATGGCCGAGCCCATCTTTGATTGCTGTCTGCTTCCTCTTTGTCAGTCTCAGACTCTAAGCCAGTTTCACATGCCACTTTGTCCATGTACTCCTCAACGAATCAGAGGGACGGAGATATCACCTGGTGAAATATCGGCCTGCAATTAGTGGTGATGCTTTGGTTCCCTCGAACAAAAAAGGACAAACTCGGAAAAAGAATGGAAGGGGGATACAGGCAAAGAGTGCCAAGATGGTTGAGAAGCCAAATTTCTGCAGCTCATCGCTGATTGGACTCAGCGGGGCGGTGGGATGGGAGTGGGGCATACACTCCCCGGTTCTCGGTCCCTGGTATTGCACCAAACCGTCACACGTATTTTGCAAACCAATCTGCTTGATTGGGGATTGCAGATGCCGGCCGGCCACATGGAGATACTACATCCCTTCGATCAATGTATGACCTGATTAGCATCTTCCTCCACCTCTCTTCTGCGGCGAGGACCTGCAGAGGCGAGAAATTGACTCGCTCCTCAGCCACCATCAGTCGGACGACTATTAGTCAGACTCTCTGCCTCTCATCAGCCTTATCACACCAGACCAGACCAGACCAGACCCGACCAGACCCGGTCCGAGGTGGCGAGCTTCGCGTCCTCATCGGCAGCGTATGGTATGAGTACTTCGGACTGTAGTCTAAGTCAGTAGTCAGTCAATCCCTCGGCAAGTCAAGACCAGATCAAACCTGTGCTGTGCTGCGCGTTCATCACTTCAGGAAATGCACATCCATGCACCTAAGCATGCAGCTTTGAACCTAATCCCAGCTGACACAGCCATAGGCTCAGGTTCAGGCTCAGGTTCAGGTCCAACCTCGGCAATTGTAACTGTAAAGATCAGCCCTTGTGAATCACTGAATGCACGCCATCCACAAGAAGATGAAGCCGGTGGCCATGCAAGCTCGAACAAGTGCACGGAGCGATCCGAGGCAAATCATCGGCAGAAAGAGGAAGGAGTTGCAAATACCGTGGATGGGGCCATGGTAATGCCAAGCGGGGACTTGTCAGACATCTGACCAATAATGGCTGTCCCACCCGATGCAAAAAAGTCTGACGGGAGATCCGCCATACGGGAATGTTACAAGGGCCAGGAGAGGAATTTGTTTCTCGATGCTCGCATTGCAATTGTCCAAGTAGGAATCGGACAAAGTCATATTTTCACCTTTCCCTCTTTGCCTCTCTTTCTCTCAGGTCTCTCTCTCCTAACCTTTTTCTTTATTTTTGCAAATTACAATCCTTCACCTTTTTCTTTTTGCCTTCCCTATTTGATTGTTTTTTTCCCACACGCTCCCTGAATCAGTCAGTCAATCACCGCCTCCTTCAGCTCCCCTCTTCCCTCCCCCGGGTTCTACTGGGCTTGATCACCTTCTTATCACGCCTTATTTTTCTTCTTCCTCTCTCTCGCCTCCTTCCGTCTATCCTTTTTCTTTCCCTTCTCACCCCTCCCTCCCTCTTCTCCTCCTCCCCTCATCTTCCTCTCCCTAATCGGTCAAGGCTCGTCTTTGAGGTGGTCTGTTAGGATCATCTTGTTGTCGCCCTGCCTCTTTGTCCTTTCCCCCGGCCTAGACGCTCTTCATTGTGTGGAAACTCCTTTCGTCCAGTGTGTCTTGACGGTCACATCCTCGAAGCAGTGCTTTGATCAATTGGTGAGTTCAGATAGACTTCTTGAAAGTCCTTCCCCCCAGGAACCTGGCTTGAATTCGTCTAGCTCCTGCGTGGTGAAAGGGTCACGGCTCGTGTATGGAACAATTGATTTGGCTAACATCGTGTCAGAACCCTAGGTTTCTTTCCCCCTATAGAGCTTGCAGATTCACCAGAGGAAAACATACTCAACATGTCCTCCACGGCTCTCCCTAAGCGCGTTGCGCTGCACCGCAACCCTACCACCGACTCCTCGGTGGCCAGCTCCATTGCCCCATCCCCAATGGACAGCCCTCGCCAGTCTCCTTCGTCCACCTCGCTGTCGTCCCTGGCATCGGAGGCTGAGGCCCGCAGCAAGATGCTGGATACCTATGGCAACGAGTTCAAGATCCCCGACTTCACCATCAAGCAACTCCGTGACGCCATCCCTGCTCACTGCTTTGAGCGCAGTGCCTCGACTAGTCTGTACTATGTCTTCCGCGACCTGTTCTGGTTGGCCACAATCTTCTATGTCTTCCACAACTATGTCACTCCGGAGAACATTCCCTCCACTCCTGTTCGGACCGGATTGTGGGCCCTCTACACCATTGTGCAGGGGTTGTTCGGAACCGGTATCTGGGTTCTGGCCCACGAGTGTGGCCACCAGGCTTTCTCCCCCTCCAAGGTCTTGAACGACACCGTTGGTTGGGTCTTGCACTCCGCTCTGCTGGTGCCCTACTTCTCCTGGAAGATCTCCCACGGCAAGCACCATAAGGCCACTGGCAACCTTGCCCGTGACATGGTCTTCGTCCCCAAGACTCGCTCGGAGTTTGCTACTCGTGTTGGCAAGGCCATCCACGAACTGAACGAGCTCATGGAGGAAACTCCCATCTTGACCGCTACCAACTTGATCCTCCAGCAGCTGTTTGGATGGCCCTTGTACCTTCTGACCAACGTCACCGGTCACAACAACCACGAGCGTCAGCCTGAGGGCCGTGGCAAGGGTAAGAAGAACGGTTACTTCGGTGGTGTCAACCACTTCAACCCTTCCAGCCCTCTGTACGAGGCCAAGGACGCTAAGCTCATCCTCCTGAGCGATATCGGTCTTGCGATCACCGGAACTGTTCTGTACCTGGTTGGTTCCAAGTACGGCTGGATGAACCTTCTCGTGTGGTACGGTCTCCCCTATCTTTGGGTTAACCACTGGCTCGGTAAGTTTGCATTTCCCTGTTTTCTCCTGGTAAGATTAACCGCTAATCTTATCTGCTAGTTGCCATCACCTACCTTCAGCACACCGATCCCACCCTCCCCCACTACCAGCCCGATGTCTGGAACTTCGTCCGTGGTGCTGGCGCCACCATCGACCGTGACTTCGGCTTCGTCGGCCGTCACATCTTCCACGGCATCATCGAGACCCACGTTCTCCACCACTATGTCAGCACCATTCCCTTCTACAATGCCGATGAGGCCAGCGATGCCATCAAGAAGGTCATGGGCAACCACTACCGCACCGAGGCCCACACCGGATGGACCGGTTTCTTCAAGGCTCTCTGGAACAGCTCCCGTGTCTGCCAGTGGGTTGAGCCCACCGAGGGTGCCGAGGGCGAGAGTGCCGGTGTCCTGTTCTACCGTAACACCAACGGCATTGGTGTCCCTCCTGCCAAGGTTGCTCAATAGATTCGCCGTTTGGTCGGTACATAGAACGCGAGTCGATTTTCCTTTCCTCCCGGCGGAGGAATTGCGTCTTTTTCTTTTCCCCCTTTCATTTCACACTTTTTCGTGGTGCTCTCGCAGGATCGAAATGGCCACGACAAGAACAGCACTCGTCGGTAAACATCCTAGATCATCTGCTGCGAGTCTGATCGATTGGCATTCGAGCCGAAGGCGTATATGGTGCAGAGGAGGTGGAGCAAGACGGGTCGGTTTTTTGTGATTGTTTCGATTGTTTGATGTAAAGAAGAAGAAAACAAAAGCAAAAGCAAAAGCACAAGCAGTCTCAGCATCTATCCTTTCTTTCCTCAACCGGGCAACTCTTAATATTTTTGGGAGCCATTTTCTTGTGCCTTTCTTTCTTCTTTCCAGGCCAACTCATCATCTCTCATCATCTCATGTATGATTTCAAACTCATAGAATAATGTCTGTATTGTTTGAGATTCTCGCATCTTCGATTCGGACTAAGATTCAGGGCATCTCAGATGCTAGCCCCTTCTTAACTCTGATGTGATGTTCAACCCACCGCACCGTCACACAATGACGTCTGTAAACAGTCCCCAGCCAACCGTTACACAAATGACAAAACCTCAGCGTTGAACCTTCCGATTCCCATCGCCCGCATTGCGGGGAGGGAATGGGACGGGGATGGCGGGGTGTAGCACTGCACGCGATCAAGTTATCGTTGATCTGACCACTGCATCTTTGAGTCTAGACCCGATAGATACCCCAGTATCTCCAGCCAAGCTAGAGTCTATTTAGCTCCAGGGGGATGAATTCATAATAGGGATGAAAGCTTTTTGTGTTCAACATGAGTCTGGGTCGTGCAGGGGCCAACAAACAGTTGGGATATTTTCTGTGAATTCTGGGGTCCAATGTTCCGCCGCGGGCTTTCCGGGCTGTCCTAAGTTGGTGCGGTGGTGCGGTGGCGCTAGTACTAATGGGGTCTATCTCTATCTCTCTACCTATCTGACTGGCAGGCTGTGAATTGGTGTTTATCGGGTTGGTTGGGATTTATTCTTTGGTCATGTTTATTGTGGTTCTAGTCGGTTATGTACATGTACAGTACTTTGTTGGTGAGGATTTTGTTGTGAGCGGAGGTGTGGGTGGGAGTGCGAGGGAGGATTGAGGTATAATCGATTTGTTTGTGCAAAATCTATTTTGGGGGAATGGGATGGGATGAAAGTTGTTTGTTCAATTCTGTCGCGTGGAATGATATGAACGAAGGTTGTGTTATCCATGCGTGCAATCCACAGTGCATCGCGCTTTCACGCTTCACCGTGATTTGACGACTAGGAAACCACACCCCTGATCCCGCCCTTCCAGATCTCGAAGTCGACTTCGTCTTGAACTGTAGGCCGTGTTTGCTCCCCCGGGCCTGGCGCAGGGATGAATCCTCCGGTCCAGGGTGCGAAGACGATCTTCATTGTCCGGCGGACGGGTTGCGGCGCTGTGCGCCGGGGGGGTGGGGGCTGTTGTTGGGTTGTGCGCTGTTCGGCTGGGGCGCGAGGGATTGGTTGTTCTAGTTCTTGCCTGTCTTCTGCTGGTGCTGGTGCTGGTGCTGGCTCGGGGTGGGTGGCGGTTGTTTTGTCCTCTGCGGCGTCAACTGTCGGTTTTTCATTCGGGGCTCCGAATTCGGGTTCCGAGTCGGAGTCGGCGATTTCATCTCTCGCGCTTGTGCGTGTGATTGCAGGAGTTTGTTCATTCTTTGCGTCTGGGGGTTGGGGCTGGTCGGGGTTGCTCTTGGTCGGGGATCGAGTGTCTTTGTGAGCTGGACCTGAATTGCCCTCCTCATCTGCGACCACATCCTGCGTCGTATACGGTGCCTGGTCGTGGCGAAAGAACTCGTCCTCCCAGTCAGGCTCGAACTCGAATGCTTCCAGCGGTCGATTCTCCTTCTTCAAGGCTATTCGACACGCAATCTGCGTCGACCATACCAGTCCCAGCGTTGGAGTCTTGGAGGTGGACCTCGTAGATCGGAAGTGATAGCTCGGGAGTAGAGACTCTGGTGTATCGCCCCATCCTGTGAAGAAGCGTTGCTGGTGCGCGAGACTTAAGATCTCGTTCCGGACAGGGTTGCCGATGAGATACGAGCCGTCGAATTGTTGCTGTTGCTGCTGTGGATCGTCTTCGGCAGGGAAAGGCGAGGAGGAGAAAGGAGATTGGGAGGACGGGAGAAGCATCGCATTACTGTGGTGGTGGTTCATAGGGGTCAGGTCCACGTTGCTGGTCTCGGTGGGTCGATAGCTGCGGGGGACTGGGGACGAAATTCCTCCCCCGGCTTCGGTCCGCGGTGTTCGTTGTTGCTGTTGAGTGGAGGGTAGAGATGAATACGGAGTGGCCGCAGTGCCTGCGCGAAACAGATGTGAAGGATTGTCGCTTTCGATGCGATCTGAAACTTGATTGGCGACGACAATGGCAATGTCTTCGCTCACGGCGAGATTGCGCAGCAACTGGCCCAGTTTGGCGAGTTCACCGGAGCGGGTGGAGAGGCCGGACAAGTTGTGGGAGGAGTGTTCGGCTCGATAGTTGGAGGTAATAGAGTCGATGACGACGAGTCCGACGTTGTAGCGCTTGATCGCGACAGGGAGTTGGTAATTGAGTATGTGATCCTGGCTCTCGAGGTCCATTGCATTGATGGAGAGGACCTTTTCTAACGAGGGAGATTGATCCTTGGTCAGATCCGAGAGATAGGGATGGTAATCGATCAGCTGAGATAGTCGCGGTGTCGATAGAGGAGCTTCTGTGGAGATGTAGATAGCATTCTTTGCCAGGCCCCGTGGCGCAGGAAGCTGGACCGCCAAAAGGAGGGTAAGGAGGAACTGCGTCTTGCCGCTTCCACTACAACATGGTCAGTCCTCTTAATCTCTGTAGAAGTGCATCGGTTAAAGGTGACAAGAGCGCACACACCTCTCGCCCGTCACTTCAGTCACGTAGCCAGTGGGTATCCCACCATCGAGCAAGGCGTCTAACGCGGGGTCGAGCGTGCTGATAACACGCCATTGCGACAAATCTAGCGTGGTTGCTGGACCCGGAACAACAGGTATATCCTCGCTAAGGCTGGACCCTGGCTCTTCCGTGTCAGGGCCTTGGATCTCTTCGAACCCGACATCTTGGTGGAGGGCTCGGATGATCTGGGTGGACAATCGACGGACGTCGGCTGCGGGGACGTGGGCGCGTTTGGCGATCTCGAGGGTATCGAGGGTGATGAGATCGACCGTCGTGATGTGGTTCCGCTCCAGAGGAGGAAGAATATGGGAATATCGCTTGGTTGGGAAGTCCGGAAGGACTGATAACAGATCCATAAGCGTGAGGAAGTCCGGAGGGGCGAATGTCGAGGCGCATCGATTCGTTTTCCATTGCGGCGACGCGGAGAAGGACGCGGGCGCACGTGCGCTATGCCATCACTAATTGGAGTTCCCAATTAGGAATTTTCAACACTTCCGTCACCAAGGTTGATTTCTGGTTCAATCCAAGTTCAAGGTTCCAAAGATTCAAGTGTCAACCATATCCAATAACCCCCTTGACAACAGATTGAGGTCGGTGAACCTATAATTACATAGTTTCAGAGAAAGATTGTCATAATGGCCTATTCGAGTCGACGTCTTTCCGCGCTTCTTTGCTGAAGGAGTGTCAAGCTAGCTATTCGATCTATGATGCTTATAAAACAAGAGATTGACGTCTGGACCTTCGCATATACTTTCTCCTTTCTCGAATACCTGCGCACATGTGAGCAGGCTGTGCTATCCTACCTTGGATGATGGACTCCTACAAAGAGCCTCACGGCGTGAAGCTTCCGTGTCCTTGAATTATGCTCGGTCCTCTTTACCCCAGCAAGATGACCTTATGCACCCATATACCGCAGAATCCTAATCTCGGGCAACGATGATATCCGGAATAATCAATGCGGCATCAAAGCCGAATGGCAGCCTGTTACGAGCTGCGAGATTTGACGAAACCCCCCCGACAAGCGTAGTAGTGCAACCTTAGCGCGCGGCAATCCTCGTATTCCAATAACGGAAATGGTCACCAAAAAAAAAGCTGAAACTGGGATCATCGCAGGCCACCGAGCTTCCTGGTCCAAGGGACTTCCTCCTGGAGGATGAGACCATGATACATCGTCATATTCTGGGCTTGAGATCATCCTTCAAGGGTGCAATGATACTTCCAGATCGAGCGATTGTGGATGGAACGGTGCTGTATCGTACGTGTAGTGTGTGTGTGTGTGTGTGTGTGTGTGCACCGTGTTTTGAGCATGGGCCATCGCATTGACGACGGTGAGGTAGCAGCGTTACCTCTCGGGATCGGGTGGTGTTCCCGGTAAGGAAAGCTTCGTCTCGGAGGGGCGATTGGAAGCAAGGATGGTCAACCCGGAGAATATTGGCCTGGAGATATTGGTCTGGGAATTGCGGGGAGTCGGAACCGCGTTTGCGTTTCACGGGTGCTTTTTATGGAAACATTCACCCCAATGCCATGGTCCCTCCTTTGATTTCCATTCGGTGTAACTGTAGACGCGAAGATTGATGATTGAATGGACATTGAGCATCTGCGACTTGATCTAGAGGACTGGGAATGGTGAGATCTCTGGCATATGTCTAACAAGCCTTCCTCGGGTCTGGTTACTTACCTCGATATTGAGTAGGTGCAATTCAAGAAGTTGCAGGTTGGAAAGTGGGGTGTGTAGGGATGGCATCTCATCATTGGGGATGGAAATCCCAAGCAAGAAGCTCGGGTAAGATGTGTATGACGTGAGTGATCTCTCTCTTCAGGGTTGAGGGTATCTACAGGACAGCGCACGGACACGAAGTATGACACGATAATGCGTCGTCCAGGCGCCAGAAAAGTAGGAAGCACCTGGGCAGACAACGGTGCCCTGGAACGTTGATAGGAGGAGATGCGAACAAAGATCAACAACTCGCCCTCCGAAAAAGAGACAAAATCCGTTCTCTACGCCTGGTTCGACTACTGCCTTCCCTCCCCTCGCCGGGGGAATACGAGAATCGCGAATTGATAGATCACATTTGAAACTGGATCTGTCGATAGCCCAAGGGAAGCTACCCTGGCCAAATAACGGTCGGCTAGAACAGAATGAGACTAGTAACCTTGATCGTTAGTTCTGTGATCAATATTTTGACAGCAACATGATGCCCAGATAAACTAGGGAGGCGCCAATGGTGGGTTGGATGGGGCCGACTAATGTCTGTCTGTTCTTTGAACACGGTAGGATTTCCCCCGCTACAGTGCTCAACTAGATCAACTAGAGAATTGGCTATTGTCTTGTAATTAGGATCAGCCAGCTATTTCGATATGACCAGAGCGGCATGGGCGCTACCACTGGCCAAAAAGGTTTCTCCCTTTATCTCTCTTTCTTCAACTTA